CGAAATTCGATGTTCGCTGGGGTTACAACAACATCCGGATTAAGGAAGGAGATGAGTGGAAGGCTGCGTTCGCCACCAACCAGGGACTCTACGAACCACTCGTCATGTTCTTCGGCCTAACCAACTCCCCGGCGACATTCCAAGCTCTCATGAACTCGATCTTCTCGGACCTCATTGCTGGAGGAAAGGTTGCGGTATATCTGGACGACATCCTTATCTTCACGGCTACACTTGACGAGCACCGACAAGTTGTACACGAAGTTCTGCATCGCCCTCAAGAAACACGATCTGTATCTCCGGCCAGAGAAGTGCGAGTTCGAACGTCAGGAGATCGAATACCTTGGGCTGATCATCCGCGAGGGCGAAGTCAGCATGGACCCCGCCAAAGTCGAAGCCGTCCGCAACTGGCCAGTCCCCCGCAACCTCCGCGCCGTTCGAGGTTTCCTCGGATTCGCCAACTTCTACCGCTCGTTTCATCAAGGATTTCGCCACCATCGCCCGACCGCTCAATGACCTCACCAAGAAGAACGTCCCCTGGCAATGGAACGAACCTCAGCAGCAGGCTTTCGACACCCTCCGCAACACCTTCACGTCTGCCCCCATCCTGGCGCTCTGGGACCCTGACCGCCCCACTCGCATTGAAGTCGACGCTTCCGGCTTTGCCACTGGTAGGAGCCCTCCTCCAGAAGCAGGACGACGGCCTCTGGCACCCCGTTGCATTCCGGTCCGCCTCCATGCAGCCCGCCGAACGGAACTACGAGATCTACGACCGGGAGATGCTGGCCATTATCGAGGCTCTCAAGGACTGGCGCCACTTCCTGGAAGGACTCCCTGAACCATTCGAGATCGTCACCGACCATTCCAACCTTGAATACTGGCGCACCGCACAAGACCTCAGCCGTCGACAAGCTCGTTGGGCCCTCTACCTTTCCCGCTTCCGGTTCTCACTCACCCATCGCCCTGGAAAATCCAACACCCAAGCCGACGCCCTCTCCCGCCTCGATATTCACCAGGTCTCCGACGCTGAGGACAACAAACAACAGGTGGTACTCAAACCCGAGCTGTTTGCCAAGCTCGCCGCCTCGAGCATGGTCGTCAACCCCTTGGAGGACCGTATCCGGCAGGCCAGCGCCCGAGAATCCCAGGTCCTGGATGGACTCGCCCAACTCCGCAAGACAGGTCCCCGTCGTCTCACCTCTGGTCTCGCTGAATGGGAGGAGGATAACGGCCTTGTTTACTACAAGGGTCGAGTCTACGTTCCCCCAGACGATGAACTTCGACGCGACGTTCTCAAACAGTGCCACGACGATCCTACCTCTGGACATCCCGGCGTACACGGAACCCTCGAACGAGTTGAACGACAGTACTGGTGGCCGACCATACGAGCCTTTGTCAAGAAGTATGTGGAAGGTTGCGACATCTGTGCCCGGAAGAAACACGCCCAGCACCCCCGCGCCTCGACTCAGCCCTTGGAGGTACCCGATGGCCCCTGGGAGACCGTTGGAGTCGACCTTATTACCCAGCTTCCTGATGCCAATGGACATGATGCCATCATCGTCTTTGTCGACCACTACAGCAAGCTCCTCCACGCGCCTTCCCTGCACTTCCGACATCACCACCGAAGGTGTCGCCGACATCTATTACCGAGAAGTCTTTCGCCTCCACGGCCTCCCACTCCGGTTCATCAGCGATCGCGGTCCTCAGTTTGCCTCCAAGGTCATGCGCACCCTCCTCAAGCGTCTAGGTATCGAGTCCAACCTCACCACTGCCTATCACCCTCAGGCCAACGGACAGACTGAACGAGCCAACCAAGAAGTCGAGAAGTATCTCCGCCTCTACGTCAGCCGCCGACAAGATGATTGGGACAAACACCTTCCTATGGCCGAATTCGTTATTAACTCCCGAATCCACTCTGCCCACGACCGATCACCCTTTGAAGTCCTCTACGGCTACATCCCTCACTTCAACATCCCTGTCGGTAAACGAACTGACATCCGCCCCGTCGATGAACGCATCCAACAGCTTCAAGAAGTCCGCAAGGATGCCGAAGCCGCCTTACGCCTTGAGAAAGCGCAACAGAAGGACTCGTACGAATCCGGCAAGCGATCAGCTCACCAGTTCAAGGTTGGAGACTACGTCTGGCTCAACGCTAAGGACATCCAGATCAAAGTTCCTACTCGGAAACTTGGCGACCTCCAACTCGGCCCTTACAAGATCATCGAACGAATTGGCGACCTCGACTATCGTCTTGAACTTCCCCCATCCCTTTCCCGCATTCATCCTGTGTTCCACGTTGACAAGCTCTCTCCCTGGAAAGGCAATGATGTCAATGGCATTCTGCCACCTCCGCCTGAGCCTGTTGAACTGGAGGGGGAGCTTGAATACGAGGTTCACGACATCCTCGACAGTCGTTGGAAAGGACGAGGGAAGAATCGCAGGCTGGAGTACCTGGTCAGTTGGAAGGGCTACGGATCGACAGAGGATACTTGGGAACCAGAAGAGAACTTGGAGCACGCCCCCGACGCCGTCAAGGAGTTCCACCAACGTCACCCCTCTGCACCCCGCCGCATCTCAGCCACCACCTTCGCTTCTCTCCCTTGGCGCTCGCTTGAGAACTTCACGGATACACCACCTACCGACTTCGACTGGGAGCTTGGACGACGCCTGCCAGTGATCATCGAGGACGATGAAGCTTAGAAGGGGGGTAATGTCGTGAACAGCAAGTACGAGCCCCTATTTTTCCTTATCTTATCTTATCGCTTTCATCGCTTTTATCACCTTTTCTTTATTCTCATTTTTGCTCTTATTCTCGACACGGACACTTTCTCCCATGGAACACTGCCTCGTTATGCCCTTCGCCCTACGTCTTATTGTTCTCTCCATTCTTGCACTGCCTCGTTACTCCGTTATTGTTTCTTCGCTCTTCGCGCAGCCTTCGCGCAGCCTTGTGACTCTCCTTATTGTTCTTTTGTGTCTCGCCATCCGTTCGTCACCTTGACTCATCGCGGCTATGTAGACTGTAGAATAGGTATATAAGCTAGGTAGATTCCTCTGTATTTCCTCAGCTTGACCTCTTCGTCAATACACCGCTTCAGCATTCATCTGCCTCAGTCCCTCATCGCTCTTATCTCGCTCTCTGCTCTCATCTGCTCCGCTCTTCTGGTCTTTGGTTTGGTTTAGTGTTCGCTCTTCGCGACAGGAAGAGAGTTGAGAAGTGGTTGAAGTAGAAGGTACGATGTCTGAGCGTTGAGCGTCAGATGAAACCTCCTCCTTCTGGGGAATAGGGCCGGGGAGGGGAGAACGGATCGGTTGCTTAAGCGACGGACGTGGGGTAGTGGAGCCGGAGCCGGAGATGCGGTGATGAGTGATAACGGGTGCGGAAGTAGTGAGTTTAGCGAGGGCGGCGTCGAGGGCTAGTGCGGGTGACGGTTCAACGGGGGTTTGCGGGGTGGAGGGGTTTACTGCGGTTTCCTGGGTGTCGGATTCTTCGGACGAGTCGGTGGGTAAAGCGTAACCCTTGGCAGTCTTGGCGGTAGGCGCAGGGGAAGATTCGGCAGAATGAAATGCTTGCGGGGATTCCTCGGGTAGAGGTTGATCAGTGGCAGGGGGTGGGGTTGCTGGTGGTGCGGAAGGCGACGGTGGCGGGTGTGCGGAATAGAGGACTGTGCGGTAATTGTCGGTCGAAGCCCTCAAGAATGAGGGCGTCTGCTGGAAGATTCTTTCGCAGGTAATCCGGGTCTTGTCGTCGGAGTGGGTTATAACGGTGCGGACAAGGTTGCTGTTCACAGAGTGCGGGTTTCTTGCCTATATATCCGTCGCGGTAGTGGCTAGTGTTGGGTCGATGGATGACAAAGTGCGGCCTAAACTCGCAGGGCGGAATCTTGACGGTGAGAGGGAACCAGAGTTGCCAGAATGAGACCTGATCGGCAGGTCAGCCAGGGTGCCAGGGGAGCCGGAATGCAGGGACAACGATCGGCGTTGCCGGTGCACAGAGGTAGCTTGACCTAATGTCGCGAAGAGCGAACACTAAACCAAACTAAAGACCAGATAAGATGAGCGGAGGCGAGATAAGAGTAGTGGGAGCGATGAGAGACGTTGAGCAATAAGTTGGAGCGACGAGTAGAGCAGTGTATTGACAAAGAGGTCAAGCTAAGGAGTCTACAAGGCCAACTACACAACTTATATACTGTAACTACAAGCTACATAGCCGCCGTGAGTCAGAATGACGAATAACGATGCAATACATGAAAGACAATAAGGGAAGGTCACAAGGCTGCGCGAAGGCTGCGCAAGAACAAGGATGAAACAATAAAGAAGCCACGATAAGTCATAACGAGTCACAAGGCTGTGCAAGAAGAAAGGAACAATAGGAAACAGGGCAAAGGGCAAGGCGAGGCAGTGTTCCATGAGTGAAAGTGTCCATGACGAGAATAAGGGGTAAGGTAGAGGCGAAGATAAGATAAAGGAAAACGATGAGATAAGATAAGGAAAAATAGGGGCCATACCGGCAGTTCACGACAGTTTATGTATGTTCATAAAATCTATGGATATTGTATGGATAATGGCCGGGGTATGGGCTTCGTTCCTGAAGGGTTGTCAGATTCTAGTTTTATTGGGAGGTAATTCTCTATCCACATCTCACTCTACTCTGACCTGTACGGTTGCGCGACATTGAAGTGAAGGAATCGGCTGTCTGAATATCGCCGATGGGTCGAATGTCAGTGCCTCGTACAAGGCGGCATTAGGTGCATCATTTGGTTCCATTTTTACCCATAGACATGATTGAGCCCTCTACCTCCAAATAAACATCGCATTACAACCAAACATGAGTTAACCACACCCGCCACGTAGAAGCATTCTCAACAAGCAATCCCCCACCCGCCTCCCATGGTCCACATTGCCGAGTCGGAGACGTGGCCCACATTGATGGCACGTGACCGACTTCAATTTAGTATAAGGCCCTGAGCATCAGACACGTACTTGCCAGACCGTCCCTCGCCATGCCCCTCGTCCGGTTTATCCAGAAATACGCTAAGGAGTGAGTATTGAATAGAATCTGATACCTCTGCACCCCACTCAAGTAACTCCTCAGGTATGACGAGGCGTTCCCCACAAGCATCGAGTTGGGACCACCAGACACCCTTCCGAACGAGCCCCTTTCAATCCCAGGAGTCGCGAACGTCAGTGCACCGACGTATTATGCGGGATTCTTCATAGACGCGGTGTTTCTGCACTATCACTTGAAGGATATTGGCTGGTCCCCCAACCCCATTTCGCTCGACTTTGATATCGGCCGGGAATGGAGAACGCGTGGTAAACCGTAAGTGCGGCCATCGTATTCCCGTCGAACACGAGCAGCTTCGTTAACTGTATATATCTATATCCCACCCGCTCAGAGAACCATTCGTCATTCCCAAAGCTATGCCGCGCCCCTCTGGAGATTATCTCATTTGGTTCATTCATCGAGCCTCGCCTCCCCAGTTTGTGCAGAAATTCCTCACACATCGGGATGAGGTCCTGGCACGCTTTTGCGACATGATGCGCTTCACGTCAGAGGAAGCGGCATTCATTCGAGGGAACGTCAAGTGGCAAAGATTCACACATGAAGATCGGGAGCTTCCGCCTGATGTGATTCTCTGTAAGGAATCTTTCGGTGGAGATTCGACGTCGGAAGAGGACTCGGAGTAGTGTGTATACTCTAGTGCAATAGCGGGAATACTGTCCTCCATGTACCATATTTGTGTTCAATGAAGCCTCTTGTTCTGTTCTATCCCCGGTGCAGACAGATCTCAATCCGCAGGCAAACGCGAGCTGCTCTGAGTCAGATTCTCAGACTCAAGCGCTAGCCCTCATACACAAACGAAGTCGAAGCAGCCCTGAATGCAGTGACAGAAGAACCTCTCTCTGATAACGATGCGAGGCATTTACGCACCAGGCTTCCTCTTTGACATCAGCAGTGCAGACTTGGTTGTTAAAGATCACAGGGTTCGTGATGTATCGCCCACATCTACGGAGTATCGTTTTTTGGTGGGGACTCTAGCTGATAGCATCTACAGCTATCTGGGAGTGATGACCTGGGATAGCAAACCCCGAGCTCTTTACCACGCCGAAGGACATGCAGATGTGAAGATGAAGGTGGTACACCTAAGGTTTTTGGCTTCGAACTCTGCCTTGGCGAAGAACAGAGAAGGAAGTGTCACTCCCCATCTGTTGCCCTCAAAGGCCATGGGATTCTATTCTGCATGGGGCGCTCGTCAGGCCAGTGGTTTTAGATATAAATTTAAGAAAGAAAAGTGAAGCATACATATCCTGGACGCAACTTTTGAAGGACCGTACTCCGAGCCCTCAAATCCAGTCTACTCGTACAAGCGTAATCTCCTCTTGTTCAGTCACTGAATCGTCGCGGTGCATACCGACAACCATCATGGCTGTGGTACTGGAAGAGAAGACAATTGCCGACCCGAAATTCCTCCTCGATGGCCCAGGATGGCCAGATCCTCTCATCTGCGAGACTTGGGGCTACCGCGCCAGAACAGCCGCAGGTATTATTGGGATTATACACGCAGGTACGCAAATGTATAAAGGTCGAGGCCAAGAAGCTGCTTAGTACTCACATTGACACCATTAACTTCGTCGCAAACCAACACATAAATGCAACTTCTAATTACTGCTGCTAGTCGTCCAGCTATTCCTCTGGATCTATATCATCATGCAGTCCATAACCCCGGGTCGTCCATCAGAACACCGATTCTCTACATGGGAGCAAGCTTCTGTCTTTTCACCGTGTCTTCCATCGACGGGGCAGCGGGACTCTGGCAGTTGTGTAAATCCGTTGGGCTGGTCGAACACACCCGAGAATCAGCAATCGCTTACTTCATCCAGAACGTAGCCAGTATCATCGGTAGATGGATCGGGGATGCGCTTCTGGTAAGTGACAATTAACTCGTAGCTGCCGGCCCGCTGAGGGTTGGACGAAAGCGTAGTGGTAGTGGTAGGGAGGGTAATTGTTCACGCTGACTGATAAGTAAGGCCTACAGGCTGTGGATTATCTGGTATGATTCTATATGCGCGAGGCTAATCACCCTCTGCGTCTTCCTAACAACGATAGGTGCGGAGATCGCCTAAAAATTAAAATACCACTAATCATTACCCCCTAATCGCCAACCCACCAACCCAGGTACAAGCGTCTGGACGCTCTTCTACCCAGGCAAGCCAGGCATCTCCGGGCTCTCAGACACACGCAACACCACGGCGCGGTCGCTCGACGCCATCCTGCACGCAGTGCTCCACCTCTCAATCACAGTCCTCATCTCCTTCCGCCTCCTCCGCACCCGCAGGCTGCTCGAGGAATCAATGCAAGGCTCGAAAGACCGCGTGTACTCGAGGATCATTGCCATCCTCGTCGAGTCGTGCGCCATGGTCGCGATCTTCGGCCTCGGGTTCGCGATTTCCAACTTTATTGTCCTCACGTGGACTGGCTTCCAGGCGTCGTGGATTTTTGCGATTGGGTATGGTACGGCTGTGGTATGTGCTACTCACCTCACTACTCATGATATCGATGCATTCCCCAGTCCCCGGGCCCACTGTTTCACGGTCCCCCTTAGACTCTTCCCGTTCTTTTTCTTCTTGCGAATCCCACCCAGGCAGATGGTTGACGTTTCTTTCATGTGGAAATTGGTGGAATAACTTAGGTCCTGGCGCCCCAGTTGGTTATATTTAGAGTGGCTGTTGGGAGAACATGGTCACATCATCGGTCGTCGCGAGACTGTTCGGCCCCGCTGCGCTTTGTCGTAGACGCCGATCCTGACGTGCCTAATGATTCTGAGGCTAGAGTAGGGACGCCTACAGCCCCTTCGCAGTAGTGGCAGCGAGAATAGGGACATCCCCGCGCTCGATGGTTAGTTGGGAATGTTGGGGATGTCTATTTTCGATTATTTGTTTTTTGCCTTGCGTACATACATCTTGAATCTAGAATGTCTTATACCGACGTCCATGGTTCTGAAATGGCACCTCCAACCAAATCTTCTAATAATTCTCCTTCATGACTCGGATTGCGATTTGGTCTTGCCAACTTTTTCGAATCGGAACGAGTTACGACACCCAATTTCGTGAAACCTTTGAGTCTCCGACTGTGGAGCCCCTATCCTTGCGCCAAGCACCACTTGACTGTCGCCCACCAGTCGCGATCGCTCAGTACGCCGAAGGTTCCGCTCAGCGCCCACACCCGAACCCGAGCTCAGGGCGAGTACGCGCACAATGGCTGACAGGATATGGCTTCACTCAAAGGACTACGACGAGTAAGCACATATTATACCCTATCCCCTTGCCGACAGTCTTAAAATAAACGCTAACTCTCTAACTCCGAACTCAAACCCTATAACTCCTACTTACCTCAAACCCTATCCCTCGTGCTTAACTCAAACCCTCCCACCAGATGTCTCGCAACCTTCCCCGCAAGCATCGAATTCGCCGACCAACGCGACGCACTCACTCTCCCCGTCGAGCCTATCCGCAAACCCGGTGGTAGGCCCACGATCCCTGCACCAGTCTACATGGCCGGTTTCTTAGTTTCCGACGAATGGGTTGTGGAGCGGGCGTTTCGTCAGAAGGAACCAATTGGGTGCGATGAGATTTGCTGAAGAGTCGGTAAGGAGGTGGCATGCGTTGGGGAGTCCGTGAGTGGAATTTACATACACATTTCATCCAAATCAGTGCATACTTGGTACTTTATTTATTAACGTTAATGGACCTACCGTATGTCCGTCACGCCCCAGGGAACCGTACATGGCGCCGATGATCCACCCCTGGCCAGCAGGCGGATTCATCATCCACTTTACGACCTATTCCTCCGGCACTTCGCACCGCGAATCTCTAGAATACTTTAACGAACGCCGTCCTCGATCGGACCCTCGAGCTTATGGATTTCACGGAAGATGAGAAGAGGATTGTGAAGACGAGGTTGGTCAAGTGGCATCGGCTGTTGGTGACTGTGGGGAGGGAGGTGGAGCCTGTTCCTGAGGATGGGTGCTTGAGGAGGGTTGGGGAGGTACGTTTCATCGAATCAGCTCCCTGGGGAGAGGTCTTCAGCAGCGTATATACGCTTATAACATTTCGTAATGCCACATAAAAGAGGTACACTACGGTGTCACCGCGTATGAGAGTGAGGCAGATTCGAAATGCTCGTTCTGGATCGAGACAAAAAGAAACGATTGGGAGAGCCCTGGTTCGAACTTGCGCCTGTGGGTGTGAGAACGAATTCCAAACGTGGTGAGGTGTGCGACTGGGGTTAGGGTTCCCATCGGGTCTTTTCGTCGACGCCGGTCAGCTCTGTCCACGACAACCACGACCACCAAGGTTCAATTTACAATGGTATGCCTCTATTTCATTCACCCATTCGCTATACTCCATTTACAGAAGCTAACCAAAAAACTATTTCGTTCACGTAACAGGGAGGAGGCGCACGATACCCATATCCTAAACACGTCTGGTCACCAGCAGGTTCGTGAAGCGCTTCGTTGGTTTTGTTCGACTTTCGGCATGCCTTCAAGGGGTATTTTGGTTGGACGACGGGGTTTGGAGGATGGAGAGGTGGAAAAGGAACGAACGAAAGCTGACTGGAATCTGTGTTGTGCGTTATAGGTGGCTGGTGGGTGCAACCCAAAAACTGGGCATCGAACACCGCTATCGCTTTTGTCGGCGTTCTCGCCACCACATACGCTGTTTGGAGCGTCAGCGCGGACAAGGAGGTGCGTCGAGACTTTAGGCTATCTGTTACACAGCTACTAACGACATAATATTGAACGTGTTTAGCGCCGGCTGTCGCAACCGGATAGGTGGATTCCTTCGATGCTGGTGAGTCCCCCCTCTACGTCTTTACTCCCTGGAGTATAGAACTGACGGGGACTGCTAGTGGGCGAAAGAGTACAACAACGAGGAAAAGAAGTAGTTTGAATCGGCTCTTCCGAACTCGTTCACTAGACAATCTGTTATAGACCATGTTACCCATCATAGGCCTCCAATCCACGAACGAATACAATACGCTTTCGAGCTGCCAGTGATTCATGCGATGAAGACCTGTGGTTTTGAAGCCCCCTTTGCCTGCGCGCCGACTGGACGAGAGTGTCCGCTTCGATTGGCCGCCGTCCCCGAAGCTTGCAGGGGCAAGCCACCAACCCTCGCCGTTCAACGTTTCACCTTGCCACTGCTGTTCACATGCTCACATCTCCGCCCTCTTTTCAGCGAGTTCACCAGATGCGACGTATACCAGCACTGGGAAGACACCAGACTTGCACCTGTCGCCAACTCCCCTCGGTCTCGTAGGTCCGCCACTGTCCGCACGTGGCCATTGTGGATACCTCCAAGTTGGTGAAGGCAAACTCACCGGATCTCTGCTCGTCCTGGGGCGCGACGTCGATAATGAATGACCGATACTGTTCCTCAGGACCTTTCCTCGAAGGTTGCTGAGAAAATTACCGGCGGGCGACGGGCGGCGAATTGGACGTCTGGGAATCCCTATATGGCGTTGAGCGCTGAGCATTGGGCGTCGGGAGTTGGGCGCGAGCATTGGTGGGACCTGGACTGTGCAGTTGGAACGCTGATGCCAATCTATTTTTGGAAGATGGAAGTCCGGAAATCTGGAAGATTCAAGACAGGCACTTGGCTCGTTTCCCTTTTTTACTGTCGAACAAGACTTTGTCGTTGGATCACGGGTTACGTATTCGTGCTCCCCCAGGTGAGTCGCCGAGTTTACATTCGTTCATGCCATGTTGAATCCATGTTCCTAGGACTCTATCCCAATGCGACGACTTGGAACGTCTTGCCCGCACCATCCCCTTCAGCGTCGATGGAAGCCGCGCACACCTCTACTTTCGACAAAACTGATCATCTGACGAGCGCGCAGATCGCCTTCGGCATGAAGTTATATGTCCTCTATGAGGAAGATTCCTAAGAATATACCGCTTCATGTGTCTAAAACTGGTATTAGTTGGGAAGGTATGTGGGTGCTGGTGGAGTAGGCAGGCTGATTTTAATTTCCTTCGTTTTTGCGAGGGTAGAGGGGGGACATATGCTCGCTCTTTCAGCCTGTTATATGGTATGGTATCGTTAATCACGGTCAGATCCCATGACATTAATGCCGATAGTCACGATACAGAGGCTCGAGCTTTCGGGTACTACACCTTGATACCTACGAGGTATCTCTCACAGATCCTGATTGTAGGGGCTCATTCATTCTTACATGTATAATATATACATATGAAATGCATTCAACTGAGTGGGTCACGTCAGGTAGTGATTTTGGTACCATGAACAATGTGAACAATGTCATCACCACTTGCACCCAGTGAGGCCGTTGCCCCGCGGGCAAGGGCACCTTACAACCGCAATTCTCACGGGGCACCTGCCCTACCTTTTTAGGTGATCCCACTGCGCAACAGATGGTGTGTTGGTTATAGAAGTGGTGCCTGGTTTGTACCGTTCCATGTATCAAGAATTCTTTGGGTTAAACTTACCTTCACACACGTCAATGACAAGGGAGCTTCCGCTATCTCAGCAAGGCACCTCTACCTGACAAGTGTCGGAAGTTCAGTTAGCCACGGAGCACCTTACCTGCACGCGTGAACAGTTGCATCACCACCTGGTCTGAGATGGCCTAGGGACCCACCATTTCCAAGGTCAAATCCATTGCAGTATTACTGCCCCTCTGTAGGCTATATGTGTGGAGGTTACCATGGGCTAACAAGCCCAATAGTATTGTGATACCTTTACCCTCTTATGAATATGCTTTTGTTCACTTTGGGAGATGGGTCACCCTTCCACCGGTAATCACGATGAAGCTTCATGCCACATTCGAGGAGGAGGTGCGCACGGGTTACCATTTGGTACATGCCCGATATTAGTTGGATATATCTGATCCATTATCACCGAGGCCGCTGCCTAGCTGTGGGCTATGGTGAAGGAGGTTCCGCGTCTTTCTCTCGCTCTTCCACCGACCGTGACACACAGGGTAGCCCCAACCCCAGCACCATGACACCCTCGCCTCCCCTGATGCTGGCCTTCCCCATGCTATCGATGGAAACTGCACGGTTACCATCGATCCACCTTCCGGTGCCTTGATAGGCCTTGTCAGCCTTCCCCGAGATTAGCGTGGTAGATCAATGCCATCACTAGACAGGACATCTCAATGTGCAGCGCCAAGCAACCTCCATCGCCATTGAGCACCCAGTGCCGAGGATAGAATCCATTTTGCTGTAGCACCTGAACATATACTATCGACAAGGGACTCATGCATACCGCGCCATAGTCTACCGAGGCTAGCCTCTCCAATCGTTTCGTCACCATCGATCCATCCTCCCTAGTACCTTGATAGGTCATGTCGACCCTTCCAGAGCTTAACGGGGTAGATCAATGCCGTCAGTAGAAAGGACATGTCCATTTTCACTTCAATCACAACCATCCACAGATGACGATGATGCAAACCGACAATGGTGTCAATAGCCCTCACCGCGGAACCTTCCCCGACATTAGCGTCGGATACTATACCAGCAAGAATACCACCACCTCGAACTGGCACCTTCCTCGACACATTAGCTCCCAATCAACACCGGGAACGGGGTCCGGATGGGTACCGGAAGGTTAATCATCCTCGTCACATCCACCCATGCCAAGAAATATAATTTCGACATCGACAAGTTTCCCGCATGTGGTCGACGAGACGGATGGTTCAAAACTAATTCGTGTGTGACAACCTAATACTCTAATCTACTCATCCCCTTCCACATCGACTTCCTCCGCAGGGTCCAGAACCTCGACCAAGCTCCTGGCAACCTCGAGCCCCGTGCGGACGGCTGATAGATGCCTCTTGCACTCGGTCATCTGGTTGAACAACTCCTCTTGGCTGTCCATGATTGAGGAGACACAGCTGTCCAGGTTGGGGTACTTCCTAGTAACGATTGTCAGCACATGCTGTAGGTTGCGCATGTGTTCCCGGGCAGCCGCTGAGAGATTGTTAAGGGCAGCAGCGCCCTTTTCTGCATCATCGATGCAGTCGCGATGGGCTAAATAGGGCGTCAGGTACCCGAATGTGGAATTCGACAAAAAGGTTCTACTCACAGTCCTTCAGGTATCTCCATCCCAACTTCTCGATCCGAAATCTCCTGCGCTTTGCCTTTGCTGGTGTAGTAGAGCCTGTTCTTCGACGTCTGTTCTGAGATTTTGTGCTCCTGCTGCTCGTGGATAGGTTGGGGGAAAGTAGCATGTCGATTTCCCTGTCGAGTTTCGAGGACATCGTCGTTAGAGATTAGGCAGGTCGGATCCTGAGGGCGCTAGAGTAATTAAAACCCTGGTTACTCTGAGCTCCGCTTAAATTCTCAATTGGCCCAAGGAATCTGGCGCTCTCGGATTATTGGTTTTGTCCAACATGCCCTTTACAAGGAGGGTCGAATTCCAACTCCGCGCAAAAAGGTGTCAGCTCATGCCAAGGCTCTAGGGATTGGCGCCTTTCAGGGTTCGCGTCAACGGAGGGTTCCAAAGTCCTGATTTGGTAGGCAATGTACACTCTTGGCATCTGTGCACTTGGCGCCCGTGGAGCAATCACTGTATCGGCGTAGTTTAGGCGCTTAACTTCTTCTAACCCAATTACCCTGTAGGTTAACCGCAGTAAAGACAGCATAAAGACGGAGTATTTATTTCCCCGATTGGCGGGCAGAAAAGACGCAACGAAGGACAGGTATTGTCGATCATCGGTTAGACTTCACTATGTTCAACAGGAAGGTCGCCATCTCAAACTCTGTGAGGACTTCAACCAAAGACGCCTGTGCCTTTTCAACATTCCCCTCGAGTGACTTCTGGTGAGTCTGGAGGATTCTAAGGAGGTCCGAAGAACATTCACAGTCGCAATTGCAGCTGTGAATGTGCTGCTGGAGGTCGGAGAGGAGTGACTTCACAGAAGCACTGATATCGCGGACATAGTCGGCGGCGTTGGACGCATCCTTGTGGCCTTTGGTTTGAGCTAGAAGGGGGGACCCTTAAGCTGCACGTTCAGGGTACAATTTTGGTTACTCACCCTTCCTAACGTCCTTCCATCCCCAGGGGCCGTCGTCATCAGAGGAATCCGCCTCTTTGTCCCGTTGCTTAGGCGGCTTTCGACGGCTCTTGCCAACGGAGTGTTTCGGTCGGTTGATGTCGACGTCTTTCGGCATCCTGGAGGGGTGAAATAACAATGGAAACAGGGAAAGACTTCGAGGGGTGAGGGTGATTATGATGTAGAAGGAATTTTCTCCCCTGTGTAAGTCGATTATACATACCTATTTATTTTGAACTCCGATTGGCTGATCAGAACTGAAGTTCGGGGGCGATTCAAGTAACATGGATTTATTGCTTGGCAGAAACAAGTATGTACCTCGTACTCGTACATGGTCAGAGAATGACAAGACATGTGCAACGGGAATTTAAGTGGTCGCGGGCGGGTCTGTCGAATCCACGGAGAGCTCCCCTCTGGAAGTCCGCCGCAAGGAAACTGCTGAATTTATAGCGGACAATTGTTCCGACAGTCTCAGGCGAGTTTTCGCCAGAGCGTCGAGCCTTGCCAAGGCGTCCATGTGAATGGCACGAAGGTGATCCAGGTGCTGTTGGAGTATTCTCTGGAGGAGAGCTCTGGAGGCTGAATCCTGCCCAGAGTCTTTCTAGTTAAGTTAGTCTAACCCACGGTACGCTTGCTAACGATGGGCTTACCCGGGCACGCCCAATGTCTTTCGACTCAAGGAAATCGGAGTCGTCGTCAAAAGCATCATCAGACCATGACACACCGTCCGACATCTCGGCATCGGAATCGGCCTTAGACTGCTGCACCGCCACTGCGACATCACCGGTCGACTGTTCGTTATCTGAACCATCATCCTCCAAATCGCCCTCGTCCGAATCCAATACGTTCTCATCCGAATCTGAATCAAACCCTCTGCTCGCTGAGGCCATATGTGAGACAGTATTCAAGGTATATAGATCTTGAAACATAGCCTTACTCGCTGACGAGCGTGCAGATAATGACGGCGTGTCCAAGTCTCTGAATTTTGGCGTCGGCGGGGGCACCTCCTCTTCCTCCTCCTGATTGAATTGGGATACGGTGTTTACTATCTCTCTTGTGAGAATGATGCCTTTCAATCTCATAGAATTGACGACTCACATAGCATCGGCACCGTAGTGGGCGAGCAAAGGCGAGAGAATGATGGTAGGGAGGGAACCTGCGCGACTTGGCATGGCAGCTCGGCGCGGATAACATCAGGTGCGCCCTCTAGTTTTCAGAGTAAACAAACACCTTTTAACATTTCATTCCTCCTTCCTCCCAACTCTGAACCCATCTTGAAATTCCCACCAAAATTTCATTTCTCTACCACCATGTCCACCGCTTCATCCAACGCTGTCCCGCCGGGCAAGGCCCTTACCTCGGCTCTGAGAAATCTCGAGAAATTCATCAACAGTCGGCCACACACTTGGGGGAAAGATAAGAGCGACGACAAGGTTTTGTTTGTTACGGCTTCGGTACGTCTGTCTACACCTCACAGGGAAAATGTTCTGAAGTTTAATTAGTACTCTCTCATTGATCTCCTCGCCCGAGACCCGAAATATGACCCATACCGGAAGAAGGAGTACCTGGGAGATGCCATTTTTCTCTGGCTCAAGTACCTTGCCAAGCGCGAAGGGCTCAGAAAGGACCCCGAAACTGTCAACCTCGCACGCTTCAAGCACCAGGTGTTCCAAGTCCCCATTGACGTCCCGCTCCTGTCGGGCAAGGCTTACAACCCCCATCCCTCTCTCTCTGGACCCCAGGAACGCTCGCCTAGCGCTGCACCCACCAATCTTCCACCATCCACCGGCAAGCGACCTGCGCCTCCAGTCCCCAAGCCTCAGCCAACAAATCGGAGTAAAGTTAACGATGTCGATGAAGAAACTTCACCGACGGAGTCTGCGAAGGCAGGAGGCTCAAAGAACACATCCACGAGTAGGACTGGGAAGGGAAAACAAGCTTCTCGGGCAGGGGATGGTGAGGACAGCTCGATGGAGGTTGACGAGAACGAGAGTGCCCCTAAAAGGAAGGCAAAGAAGATCAAGGCGGACGATGGCCCGTCTTGGAACTCCAAGGACGACACCGACGACTCCTACCGCGAAAGCGACGATGACGCCGACGAAACCGACTCGGATAAACCAAAGGCAATCAAGAAGGATCTCGCCAAGAAGAAGGCGTCGACGTCGAAGGGTCCTTCGGTCCCTGTTAAACGCACAAGAGCCGACGACGATGGCAACGCTGGGGCTGCCAAGAGGAGTAAGCCTAACGTCCCCGATGGCTATTACGAGGCGTCGAAACCATGCGACACATGCCGTGACAAAGGGTTGACTTGCTTCATTTCGAAGCCAAGGGTGGCTTGCTACAGTTGTAAACCCCCGGGCCAGAAACGTGTTGCGACTTGTAACTTTAGCGCTCGCAGGAGGAAGGCTCAGAACGACGACGGGGCAAAGGTAAAGGTTTCTTGGCAGTCTTTTCCGAACCCCAGCTGATTCACTGTCGTGGACTTAGGATGACCGCCTCCCAGAGGACGTCACAGAGGACGTCTCCACGGTACTCCGTTTTGCGATGTGCTTGGCCTTTCTAATCTGATCCAATGTTGACTCAGGTGAATGGCGATGATCCCGAAGAGGAAGAGCCGACCTCAGCCTCGGCTATCAAGGTATGATACCTTTTCATCCCATCTCTAATACCCTTGCAAACTGACTTGTCCTAATACCAAGCGCTCTCGCCAAGATCCTGCCGCTAACGCCAAACACCAAGCCAAGAATGGACAATTCTCCCCTCCACCCCGAAACAGTCTCGACGTTGTGGCCGAACACGCGTGGCTACAGTCTATGTCTCGGCAAGCCAAGGACTCTGCCTCAGTGAGTCGATATATCCATGAGCAAGAAACTCTCTAACGGATCCACCGTATCAGGCCGTCTCGGGCACCAGCACCAACCAGAAAGGCGCTAAGTCGGATTCGATGGTACGACCACCATCTTCACCTCACTGGTACACTTTCTCACACCTTGTGGCCAGAGCGTTGTCAGCGCCTCAGGAGACCCCGCCAGTGCTGTCGCCAGTACAACGGTGAGTGTTCAAACCCTTGGCCATCTCACTTCTCTCACGAATCACGCAGAACTCTAATTCCAATGACAAGGCAAGCAGTCTCAGTCGCGTCGCTCCTGCTGCCCTCGTCGAGTTCTCTTCGCCCAACATCGAGAGAATGGTCACACGCCTTCTCATGGAGAACGCTCGTCAGCAGGCGTCCATTAACTACCTCACAGCCACTCTAGAGGTCCTTTTGGAGGACGCCAAGGAATACGAAGCCATCCTCGCCACTGCCGCTACCCAGGATGCCAGGATCAAAACGTTGGAAGCGCAGATAGATTCTGCCGAGAAGGAGATCCAGCGTATACACAAGGATCGCGAAAACGATGCCAAGGTTCTTACCGACCAGAACAACGTAAACACGGAACGCATTCAAGGCCTCGCAGCGACAGTGGCTGTCGTCAACAACTGGGTGGCTTCCAAGATAAAGGCTGAACTTGGCACTGCTTTCGTACCCCCAACCGAGACCACTATCAACGGTATCCATATCCCGATGCCCCTGGCGACGACTGGTTCAACTTCCCCCAACTCTGGCCCGGTCACTCCCAACCCAGCATCGAACGTTGACTGCTCTAATGGGAGTTCGACCAACCCCCCTCCTCCTCAACACCGTGTTATCGACGACGAACACTCTGGTGATAAAGGGGAAATGCTGCAGTACATCAAATACCCAGAGGAGGGTCCCTCCAGCGCAGGTGTAGACGGTGAGTCCTCTTAGTATGGTTGTGATATTTGTCTGACCCCGGTCCTAGCTCAATCGACCTTCCTGCACCAGAATGGCCTTCAGGAAACAGAGGAGGTCGAACGACTTATGCGCGAGGGGGTAAGTAGCACTTAAATCGTATTGTCTATGGTGTACATCGTATGTTCTTCTTGTAATTTCTTGGCATGCATAATGAAATATCGATCGCTCGCTCTGTGCTGGGGAATGTAACCACGTCTCGCGTTGCCGTTAGGTGCTGGCTGGCAAGCCTTTCACTCAATGTACTTGCCCGGTGCTCGTCTTCTCCTTAGAGGATGTCAGAGTAAATGTGATGATGGATTGAAGGTAGATGATACGAGTACAGAAAAAAAAAAAAGATAGCCATACAAAAAACGAGAGCCTACGAGACCAGAAGTCACCGCCGTCCTGCACGCGATTTGGGCTTGGCATTGGCATTCTTGGCCTTGGTCGTTTGAGAAACAGCAGGTCTTCGAGCAGGCGTCACCTTCGTGACTCCGGTATTCTCCCTCCTTTTCTTTGAAGCAGGCCCATCGGTATTATCTTCTCTGGACTTCCGCTTGTTCCCGGCCAAGGCTGCATTCGAGGCATTCCCCCGCGAGGTACCTCCAGCTTTCTTGGCGGCTGACCTTGTGATTCGCTTGCCAGAGTCTTCAACACCACCCCTACTGCGCGTGACGGGTGTGCCGATGTCAATGAAGTCAACCATCCTTCTTGTCTTGGGTGGGCGAGTTGATCGTCGCAGTGGTACCTGCTCGGCGGGCTGCAATGGAGCTCGGCGCTTGGTACGTGAGGGCTGATCCTGATAGACGGTGGGCAATTCATCAGATTCTTCTTCCTCTGACTCCTCGACAGTACTCAGGCCTTCACGATCTTCTGGGCGCCTATCCTCCGCACGAATGCTTAGACCACGGCGAGTCCCGCTGGATGGTGTAACCGGTCTACTGGGTTCATCGTCCTGTCCATCGTGTACGGGTTGAGGTGAGCTAGTGCTTGGCAGTCAACCTTATGGACGTACCTGGACCTGCTGAGGAGAATGCTCCTGTTCATCTGGTGGTGGGGGTGAAACCGACGACCTCCGTCTTTGCGATGAGCTTGGATGCTCGCCTCCCTTTCAGATGAGAAGTAACTTTGAGTCTGAATTGAAGAATTCAGAAGTTCGTCGGACAGCCGTACCTTGTTGATCGCCCAATCAGAATCAATGTCGTCCCATGGACTTTCAGCTTCCTCGCCAGAGTTTGACCCGGGAGTTCTACGGGAGGGACCTTGCGACGTCACAGGCTGGCCAATACATGTCAGCTTGGCGGATTGTTTGCAGTCGATTTAGTGGCTTGGCACTCACTTGATACGACGCACCCCAATCTGAATCCAGATTATCCCAACCACTATCTTCATCGCTCTCTTCAACAGCACGTGTATCCTTTCGTTTCTTCGTCTTCTTCTTGGCACTGGGTTTCTTGGCAGGCGCCTTTGGGGCCACTGGCTGCACATCCTCAGGCCGCCAATCCTCAATGTCGTCCCGTTCATCCTGATCGTCATCGTCATGTTGCCCATTAGCAGAAGCCTTTTCGCGATTGTGTCGAGGTTTGTATGTCTTCGACTTGCGATCCCAATACCTCTTGAACTCGAACACATTGTCGACCTCGGGATTATTTTGGCGCTTGCGCCAGAACTTGTAGAGCTTCTCCCTGTCCCCGGATGACATCAGACTTGGCTCTTGGAGTAGTTCTGCCAAATGGTCTGGGAGGAACCGGGGTGAAATGAACCGTCGAACGTTAAGACCCAGTCTTTTCCAAGGAACTGGAGTCCGTCCTCCGGGGTCTCCTCTAGTGATGTCTGACAGTGGACGTGTTAGATAGATTGTGTCAGAATAATCAATACTCACTATAATGAATGGTCAGGTAGGACCTCAAGAAATTGGTGAGCCAAATTGAGCGCTTCTCAGTCCCTGGCTTATCCCGGATGGATGGGATGATCGGTTCGCCGAACTCGTTTCTCTTGAAGTTCATCAGCGATTTCTTGGCCATGCGACGGCCCCGGGCCTCCTCCTCCTGCTCCAGTGGATCCAGAAATACATCAGCGGCGAAATCCTTCCACAGCTCAAGCAGGCCCATCTCCTTCAGCTGGGCGTCGTAAAGGTCGCGAAAGGCTTGGCCCCGAGCTCCCGCGTTGCCCCCGGACAATTCAAAATCGAATGCCACTGGTTTTCCTTTCGAGTTCTCGAACGCGACGAGAATGTGCAATCGAGCATTCATTTCTTTGAGAAGTCCCTCCGAGAATTGAAGTAACCTCTTGGATGCGAATTTCTCGGCAGCCCTAGCGTTCAAATTTGAGTTCAATTCGCAGAACTGGGGATTTTTGGACACCTACTTTCGTTGCTGCTCCGGGGGGGGAGTCGCTTCCTTCCAAGCGTTGGCTTTGTCCTCGTACTCCTGTTTTTCCCTCGCAGTCAATTTCCTCCAGAGCATTGACGCGGCCGTCTGAAATTTGGTGAATCCCTCCCGTGTCTGCTTTTGGGGACGCGACACGTCCTCGTTGTGTTCGTCGTCGCTGTCTTGGCGTGACTGACCGCTCAAGAACTCGTTCTCATGGTCTATGAGCCTTCGAAGGTCGTTGGGAATGGGGTCTCCACGAGAAATGATGTCCGCCAAGTACTGGACAATTCGAGTTCTCTCTCGCTTGAAGACGAGCTGCCCATAGTATCGTCCACCCCAGACGGACTTCTTGGCCTTTACCTGTGAATTGTCAACCCGCCCTCGAAACCAACTTTTCACTGCCTGAAATCAGCGATTAGCAATCTATCGAGCATAATTCGAAGTGTAACATACCCGGGTGATGAGTTTCTTCTTCTCCCGAGACTGCTTCTTGCCAGTGATCGCGTACAATTCCGAGATGATGTTTTTTGCCGACTGTGATACCAACTGATCCCTCCTCTTCGAAGTGCCTTCACGATATTGAGGCAGACGAGTCTTGAGGTAGGCGACCTGGGAAGCAGTAAACTGATAGCTGTTGCCAGGACCCTGTAAAACTGAGTCAACGCCGGGGTTCGACTCTTCGTTGCTCTCCTCATTCTGCTCCTCATCCTCCCCCCCAACCTCCTCCTCCTCCTCCTCGTCGCGACTGCTCTCCTCCTCATCCTCCCAGTCGTCGTCCTCCGTGGAGCTTGATTGTCCATGCTCACTTTCACTCCTACGACCTCCGCTCTCGTACTCCTCCTCTTGTTCGTATTCTGTTCTGTCCTCTTCGTAGGGGGTTTGAGCCATGGTTAAGGGTGGGGAGGTGTGGTTGAGGTATACAAAAAGTTTGATCCAAGTTTTTAAGTAGCGTGTTTTTGTTGCGACTTTTAGTCGGTCTTTGTTTGGTCGGATTGGTCGCAGTCGCGTGCCAAACGGTGCCTTGAGCAAGGCGATCCGTCGACCGCTCGGAGAAACGGGGTAATGATCCGTTGATGGTTCCTCCGGTGGCTGTACTGATGTGGTTGAAGTTCAACTCAACTATCGATCGCTAGTCTTCATTAGTTCATTCTCGCTACCATGGCCCCTGGACGTAAACACGAAGTGAAGAGGCGAGAGAGGGTAGAGCTTTACCGGTGCCGCCTGACCCATGGAGGAAAGAAAGGCCGCGCAAAGCTGAAACTCCTTCCGCACACCCCCAGCAAGAGAAATCAATCTCTTTCCCCGCGCAAACTTTCGTCCAAATCTTCAGTTCAACAGACGTCGGCCAGGAGGGAAACAGCGTTTATCGAAGGAGACATGGACCACGGGGAATTCGTTACTTTCGATGTCGGTGGAATTGGGAATTCAGGATCCAAGGTGAGTGTTCGTTTCCTTACGACTATAGCTTTGCATTGATTTGTGTTCGAGACTACCCATGAGTACATGGGTGAGTGGGTTCCAAAGGAGAGGCTTTACCTACACGAAATTCTCGCCCAAGAAGCTCTTCCTAACCCGTTAGAGTGCCATGGCTGCTGTGGAACAATCTCAACTGACGTCTGGCGCTGTCAAGAATGTCTTGGGAAACCTGTGTACTGTACCGACTGCTGCAGACAGCTTCATTCGACAAGCCCGCTGCATCGTGTTCAGCTCTGGAAGAATTCACATTTCCAGCCATCTTGGCTTTGGAAGTCGGGCGTTCGTGTCTCTCTTTGCAAATCGGGGTCATGTGAATCGACCTCACCTCACATGGAGACTCCAGACGTCGCCGAACATCCGCATGCTGACCCAACACTGGACTGGACTGATAATGAGGACTTTACCTTTGGTGCAAAGCCGAACCAGAGGCTTCATCTTGGCTCAAAGATCATGTGTGTGGTGCACACCAACGGCGTCCATTACCTGCCCTTCGTGTTCTGTCGCTGTGCCGAAGCACCGTCCGATGAAGTTCAGTTACTTCGACATGGCTTCTATCCAGCTACCTTCAGGGATATCCGGACTGTCTTCACACATGCACTGCTCGACGACTATCTCTTGGAAATGTTGGAATGCTTTACCTCGACTCATCATTACTATTCGAAGCTACGACGAATGACGAACAAAAACTTTCCTCATTCAGTCCCCGTGCGTTACTTGATCTCAGCATGCCATCTTGGACTGACGATGTTTAGGATCGTACTCGAGAACTTCGGAGGGCTGGGCGCCAATGGAGGCGCTTGAAGGATTTGAAACAGTTCGGGTTCGGGCACACGAGGAAAACTCCCGGGAGGGGGGACATGGCATTGTTCTGTGCCGCATGCCCTCAACCTGGGATAAACCTACCGGAAGACTGGAAGAGTGATCGCGAAGATTGGAAGTACCAAAGAAGCTTGGTTGCTGATGGCAACTTTGTTTTGGTTCATCGGAAACAAAAAAGGCAAGGGGAGGGCGATGTGTTCTTGAAAAGTGGGGAGGGATACATGACTGAGAGAACTCGGTACAAGGAGCATCTCAAGGCTGCGGAAGAACGAAAAGAGGTTGGTATTACTCTATTTCTTAACATAACTCAGGCTCATGATTTTTTTTCCAGCCTCAAACATGTCACGAGCACCGGGCGATTGCAGACAGAAGTAAGGGCCACAAGGGGTGCGATGTCACAGGGGTTGGCGCGTTTGCATGTATGAGACATGGCTGCTTTGCGCCTGGGAGTGTCGTGGATTTCCAGAAGGGAGAACGGTGAGTACTCCTCAACAATGTTGACTGTGGTTCTGACAGTGCAGTAGACAGGTCAATATGGACTACGGCTTCTGCGAAGCACTCAAGACCACCCATACCGACGAACTGTCGAAGGTTCTGCTAGTGTACGACATCAATTGTCAGTACAGCAAGCACCTATTTGAACGGATCGAAGAGTCAGATCATCTCAGTATTAACGAGAAGCTGACTGTCATTTTTGGCATTGGTCTATTCCATGTTCATGGACACCAGGACTCGTGTTTCGCTCGATACGCGCTTACGTTCATCCGGGGGGCGGGGATGAGTGCTGGCGAGATCTTGGAGCCTCTGTGGTCTGTGATCAATTTGGCAGCGGGACCAACCTCTATGATGACCTTGGCGCAGAGAGACGAGGCCCTGGATGACTTCATTCTGGACAACAACTGGAAAAAGCTTTTAGGACTGGGTGCGTGAATGGACTCATAGGATGGGCAATCCTCTTTTACAATGCTGACTTGCAATGCCTCTTAGTGCCATCGATCTGTAAGCGCTGGGAAGCGAGTCGTATTGAGCTGGCGATCGCTGAAGAGGATTTTGAGTTGTTGGATGAAACAGCCTCGGACGCACAAAAACGGCTGTGGTCTACCCAACTGGAGAACACGCACATTGACCGGGAGGTGGATGTCAATAGCATGGATGTGCTCAATATCAAGCTGAAGAAGCGTGAGTCCATCTCGCCTAGCCCATTGACGCTTTTCTTATTCAACCCATGTCAATTATAAGCACCCTCGAAGGCAAAGGTACAGCACGACTTAATGTCAGCAGAGCGAGCTTCGAACAGTGGGCTTGGCGTCACCTCTTGGCTAATCGCTGGGATCAAGCTCCAAGACGCACAGTATGTATTTATCTTTTTGCGCTACCTTGACTGTAACTAACGACATTTCAATAATAGGGACAGTCTTAGGGCTTTCATTTCCGGCTTACCAAGAGAGAGTTTGAGAACAGACCAGCAGCGCCTCGAGGTCACAAAGCGCCGAGAAAACCTTCAAGCTGCCATCAACACATTCTACGAGGACGCAGCCGTGCTTTTCCCCAACGTCAACCTGTACGAACTACGATGCGAGAGCCCACCTGAAGCCTCAGTCGAAATAGATGGGGACGATGATGGGAATCGTGATGACAATCCGAGGAGCCCATTCTCTGTGTCTCAGAATGAGCCCGAGGATGTCGAAATCCCTCTCCCATCATCTTTTGTCGATCTTCCGGATGGCCTTGGCAGTGCAGCTGAGAAGGAACTGAAGATTCGCGTTGCCCAGGCGGACGATGCGCTGGAATCAGTGAGAATTGAAATCGGGCACAAGTCTTACCTTTACCGATCCAACATACGCTTGGCGCACGGAAAACAGCAGCGGCTGCGAGGATACGCCGCCGTGAAAGCAGTCGACAAGAACATGCGTCTGCACATCAAGTCTTACAACCGCGCAAGGTGGGCACTTGGAAGACTCGGAGCTGAACGCGAAGTGCTCCAACGGTACCGGGAGGTCAGAAAGGAGGATACGCGGGCCATAACAGCGGTTTACGAGCCCAACGCCAGGAATCAAAGGAATGTTCCTCTGTCTTGGATTTGGACTATGGACGTCGAGGGAGACTCACAAAATTCCGAGTATCTTGAAGAATGTGAGTCCGGTTAACAAAATACAAAAATAGTACCGCGACACTGACAATAACTTTGACATCTCGCAGTGTACCGGGTCAATTGGCTGCGTGCCAGGTCCCGTGCAGATCGTTGGAAGGAGGAACATATTCTACTCACTTCTGAGATGGAGTGGGTTCCCAACTTTTTCGCTTTTAAAGAGGATGAATGCAAGGCTTGGGCAACTCTGACTCGAGATCTACCAGGGCACCGTGCGTATGCGATCCGCCAAGCCAATATGTGGAGGCTGATGGGAGTACACGCGGAGAAAGCATTCGCCGAGGTGAAGGCCAAAGCCAATTCGAATAGGGTTAGGGTCTGAAAATAGATATATTGGCATTTGAGAAATAGATAGCCAGACTCTCGTCCATCTATCGATCCCTCTACTCTCTGTATCGTTGATTGAACATCTTTGTGACCTATGTCTCAATTGCCGCAAGGCTCTCATTCACCATTCCTCTCCGAGGTTCATCATCTACAAGCGTTGACTGCAAGTGAAATGCAATGCTTGATTGACTATGCCTCCTCCCGAATCCGTGCAGCGGGGATGGTTTGGAACCGTCACGGCGACTCGTTCTCTCCGACTGAACGCAAACACTTTGCAGCTCAGTTATACCGTGACCTGGTGCGTTCACAATCGGCATCGGCATGGTAGAGGATTGCTAATTTCGCGTTTGGCAGGAAACTGGCATGCTGCTGTATTCGAGTGGTTGTTTCCGATTTCCAGGGATCATCCAGCGTCCCATAGCGCTGGGAATGATGTTCAAATCGACACTCACTGGGATGCTTCACCTGGGACGACACGCCTCCACTGCAGACTACGAAACCCCCAAACCCATCCCCGACCCCGTCCTTCCCGTGTACGCAAATGCCTGGTGGAACAGAAGTATGACGTCTGGGCTTTCACTCTTGGGCCTGATCAAGGCTTGGCAGGCCCAGCGGGACGACTTTGAGGCTGCCAGGAGAGAGACCAGGCCCTTGGCTTCCTCCGAAACCGTCCTTTTCAAGTCGTTGGACGAGAGTCTCGAAAGAGCGTCTTCATCCACTCAGAAGGCAATCGACCTCATAGAAAGGGACATGGCATTGGCGCTCAAAGATGTCCGCGCCATAGAGGCCGCTATCACAGAGACCGAGAAGGTGTGCCAAGAGGTTCTCGGCACGTCTTGACAATTTGACTTTAGACTTTGCCGCTTGTACCGTAGCATAACAACGTGGATGACATTTTGTGTCAACTGAGCCTTGATTTCTCACGAAGATGGGGATGAATAAACCCTTGGCATTTGCAAGGCCTGTAGCAGTAACGTCTAAAAAAACATCGAATGCTCGACTACGAGAGCCCTGTGGATACTTTCAACTACTTGTGTAACCAGTAACCTGTCCACATATCTAAGGTCGGAGCTTTGGGCATGTAGTACTGAGGGACGCGCTTGAGAATGGACTCCTCGAACGAGGCAAAGATCTGGACTTGTTCGGACTTGCCAAGAGCAATGCCGTGCTCGATTAGTCTCAAATGCCCGACGAATACGGTCCCCGGAGTGTTGTGGAACCGGTATCCCAATGCCGGGCATTCGAAGCGACCGAGCGTCAAAGTGCCCCCAGTCCAGACAAGGTCGTAAGCCCAGGTTGGGCTGGTGAGGATCCGCTGGAGGACGGTTTCCCTATTTGTGACAAGCTCGAACTTGGAGAACGGCGATGACCAAAAGGAGAGGACGTCGAGGAGGTTTTCGGGCTGAGAAATGTCGATCTTTCCGCGCTCCAATGAAGAAAGAATGGAGAGACCTGCATCAAACAGCCATGGGTGGGTGACAGCCAGAATGCCGCCGAGGACGGCGAAGCTTTCCTGCATCTCTTCCAGAAACTTGATGTACACAGCAGAATCGGGACCAACGAGGTTGGGAGACAGCACTGGGCGTCGCGCCTGGGTTCATCAATGCATGCGTCAGGGTGAGAGAGGTGGTGAAGAAAAGGAGAGGGAAGGACGCACACCATCAGGTAGGGTGCACAATTCAAACTTGGCCGTTCCACCTCTGAGAGCGTTCCCAAAGACATCGAAATACCGATTTGGATCGTTTGGCGCGGGGGTCAACACCCTGCCGTCGGAAAGATTATGTACAGCATTCAACATGATGTCCTATGAATGGGTTTTCTTAGGAGACCGATTTTCCAGTTTGAACGAGGCGAGGACACACACCTGTCGCTTTCTTTGGATAACACCGGGGAAGCTCCAAAAGCCAATCACTCCTTCAGCGTCCACGAAGCACGAGGGTTCCGTCAAACATGGCAGTCTTCCAGTTGAGAGCGGTTTTCCGAGAGGCTCGAATGCTTTGTGCAGGTCGTGCCGTTGTTCAGGGGTAAGTTGACCGGGTCCCTGAGCGTCTAGAGCGTTGGAGAGATCCTTGAATGACCAATTCAACTGTGCTGTTGCTTGAGAATAAGCAGGTGGTAAATCGGTGCCAGGGAAGATGATTGCACCTCGATTCGTAAAAGCGTAGTAAGCCATGTTGACGATCTGGTGTGCTTCCGAGCGGAGATCGAGGCTTAATTTCGGTTTGGGCACTTTGCGATGTTCATCGAATCGAGTCTCGAGAAGGGATTGGCAGTAGCGCCCAAAGAGTTCGCTGTGTTGGCCGCCTTGGTGAAGATCGAAGAGGATGGGAGCCATCGGGATGGGAGAACCGAAGAAAGCTCGAGTCGCGATAACGCAACTATCACGCTGAGTAATCTACCGGTAGTCTTGTCAAACAGGCACAGTTTACCAAAGTCTGACTTTTCATGTCCAAGAAGCGCACCAACCAAAGTCCACAGAGAGATCACATTTAGAAGAAGTGTCAGATTACATTGGAGTGTCCATGTAGAAGTCACGAAGTTGGATTGAAGTTGGTGGCTTGGCCCCATGGTACTGCGATCCCCGTTCAAGCATGGACTCGCGGAAATAGGAGACGATGCATATGCGATCACCATCAACGGGCGCTACGCCATGTCTGATCAAACAGCCAAGCCCGACGATAACCGTTCCTGGGTTGTACACAAACCGACAGCCAAGAGTGGGGCTCTCGAAACGACCATTGCGATAGGTCCCACCGGTGTAGATAAGATCATAGGCCCAAATCGGACTGGAGATGTCACGGTGAATCGAGGACTCTCTGTTGACAATAACAGAGAACGCTGTGAAAGGGTTGGACCAGAAATCAAGGATGGCTTCCAACGTCTCGGCATTGTCCACAGGGAATGCCCGGCGATGCAGCGACTCCAAGACTTCCAGACCGGCATTGAAGAGCCAGGGTTGGGTGATGGCAATCACTCCACCGAGAACCGCGAAGCTCTCGGTCATATCCCTAATGAATTGCTGACCAGCAGGACCTTTCAGCGTCGCCGAGGGAGTTGGAGAATCGTAGGGGCCCTTGGCACAAATTAGCCATACCGAGTGTGAATAGCAGTAAAAAAAACATACATCGTGGCCTTGCTGGTACCAGCAAGAAGAAAATGTGGCAACTCCTGGTTTAAGTTCTTGACCATCTGAGAAATGGCTGGGGTGTGAACGCCAATTTCCTTGAGAGTCAGTTCGAACAGGGGTTCCTCTGTGGTTACAGAGAGTTCTGACAGCACTTAAAATGGTGGCCTGCTACATGTCAGTCTGGAAGAGACGCGAGAACGATTGATGTGACTTACTTGTCGGGATTCTGTTATAGAGGAGGGTAAGTACCACCATCCGATGATGCCCTTGCTATCCACAAATGTGGTGGGCAACGAGCGGAGTGGAAACATTCCGTCTGGATTGGGCCTCCACAAGGGCGGAAACCGCAACGAAAGATTCACCTCTCGGGGATCTTCGTTGCTCAACTGGGCCTTGACAAGCTTTGAAGCAAGGTCTTCGAATTTCCAGCTGAGAGGCACTAACTTGATAGTGAGCCATGGCTGCGATTCTGCTGTGCGACAATGATGTCACTCACTCTCGTTCCCAAACGCCGATTCAGCGACGCTAACCAGCTGGTAGGCTTCAATTCGTAGGTTGATCCCCAACCCGGGATGTTTAGCAGGCGACATTCCAACGACAAGTGCACGTTTGAATAGCGCCTGGCAGTAACGCCCGTAGGTGCATGCTAATTCTCCGGCGGCATTCAAATCAAACGAGGGCAGGGTCGGCATGCTGTGATAAGGCAAACAGTGTTTGAGTTGATAATCGTTGAAGGGTGGATACTCTCGATTAGCTCAGCGGATCAGCTCGATAGTCTTACGTAGTCGTGCGCCAGGTTGTAGACCCTAAGCGGCGTCCCAGGTTGTTCAAGCTAGTGTTCTTGGCACGCGGAAACAGGGATCATCTGGGGCAAAGGGAAGTGTCAAGTGCAGTCCTGCTTGGCGCGCAATGTACTTACCCCGGCGGGATGGTTTAGTACACTCGCATATCCAAATCTCAGACGTACGCTACAAACACACGGTCCCATCCGTCATGGCTTAGCAAATGTGTTCGCGGTACTCGAGTCATACCAAGAACATTTGAGTTCTTACCACACGTTTACAGGTCGGTGCCAAGTCCGGGGATGCCAAGCCAAGTCACGACGAGCGAAATCTAACACAGAGGGAGAAAAAGCAATAGCAATGATAAAATTAAAACAATGTTAAAGGTCAAGGAGCGAAGCTATAGCCCCTCCCCGTCTGGGGAAGAGTTACGAGGGAGGCGCCATCTTGCCTGTGTCGTGAACTGCTGGTACGACCCCTATTTTTCCCATCTTATCTTATCGCTTCGTTCATCTTTTATCTTATCGTTGCCCCTGTCTTTTCCCCTTTATTCTCGTCATGGACACTTTCTCTCATGGAACACTGCCTCGTCTTGCCCTCTACCCTGTTCTCTATTGTTCTTTCATTCTTGCACAGCCTTATGACTCGTTATGACTCGTCATTACTTCTTTATTGTTTCACCCTTGTTTTGGCGCAGCCTTCGCGCAGCCTTGTGGCCTTTTCTTATTGTTCTTGTTGTATTGCCTCATCGCTCGTCATCCTGACTCATTGCGGATATGTAGGTTGTAGTTACAGTATATAACTTAGGTAGTTCGCTCTGCATGTTCCTCAGCTTGACCTCTTTGTCAATTCATCACTCTATTCATTGCTCCAACCCAGTGCTCAACGTCTCTCATCGCTCTCACTCCTCTTATCTCGTTAACCGTTCACCTTATCTGGTTTCTAGTTTGGTTTAGTGTTCGCTCTTCGCGACATTAGGTCAAGCTACCTCTGTGCACCGGCAACGCCGATCGTTGTCCCTGCATTCCGGCTCCCCTGGTACACTGGTTGACCTGCCGATCAGGTCTCACTCTGGCAACTCTGGTTCCCTCACACCGTCAAGATTCCGCCCTGCGAGTTTAGACCGCACTTTGTCATTCACCGGCCCAACACTAGCCACTACCGCGACGGGTATATAGGCAAGAAGCCCGCACTCTGCGAACAGCAACCCTGCCCGCACCGTTATAACCCACTCCGACAACAAGACCCGGACTACCTCCGAAAGAATCTCCCAGCAGACGCCCTCATTCTTGAGGCTTCGACCGACAACTACCGCACAGTCCTCTATTCCGCACACCCACCACCGTCGCCTTCCGCACCACCAGCAACCCCACCCCCTGCCACTGATCAGCCTCTACCCGAGGAATCCCCGCAAGCATTTCACTCTGCACGAATCAGTCCCCTGCGTCTACCGCCAAGACCGCCAAGGGTTACGCTTTACCCACCGACTCGTCCGAAGAATCCGACACCCAGGAAACCGCAGTAAACCCCTCCACCCCGCAAACCCCCGTTGAACCGTCACCCGCACTAGCCCTCGACGCCGCCCTTGCTAAACTCACTGCTTCCACATCCGTTACCTCTCGTCACCGCATCTCCGGATCCGGCTCCGCTACCCCACGTCCGTCGCTTAAGCAACCAATCCGTTCCCCTCTCCCCGGCCCTATTCCCCAGAAGGAGGAGGTTGCATCTGACGCTCAACGCTCAGACATCGTACCTTCTACTTCAACTACTTCTCAACTCTCTTCCACCCTTCCCCCCGTCACAAACCCTCGCACTACCTCCGTCATGGCCGACCCCACGCTAACCAAACTGTTGCAAGAGCAGCAGCGCGCCACTCAGCTCATCCAAGCTTCCCTGGACAAGCTCACCGCCGCCAAGACCGCTTCAACTCGAAATCCGGTCAAGGAGCCCGAGCCCTTCAAGGGTGAATCAGGCGACGCGCAGCGCTTCCTCCGTTTCTTCTCCAACTGGGCCACCTCTAACTCCGAGCTCAAGGACGACGACAAGAAGAAGATCTCGTCCGCCCTCTCGTATCTTCAAGGCAGCGCTGGCTCTTGGGCACTCCAGTATCTCGACCAGATCGCCGAAACACGAGGCAGCTGCCACAGATGAAGACAAGGCCAAGAAACCGTGGCCCTTTGGAGGCAAATGGTCCGAGTTTGTTGTCGCCTTCAAGAAGCGCTTCCAACCTGCCGACCAGGAGAAGGCTGCAGAGGCTCAGCTCGAAACTCTCACCCAAGGAAGGAAGTCCGCATCACAGTTTGCCGCCGAGTTCATGGAGATCTTCCCCCGCACCGGCTTATCTCAGAAGGATGGCATGGCCCGCTTCCGCCGCAAGCTCAACAACCGCGATCGCATCATGTTGGACCTTATTGCCGTCACCAAGCCTGCTGACAAGAAGCCGGCCACTCTCCAGGATTACTGTGACATCGTAAACGAGAATGACTTCACCTTCTCCGGCGGTAGTACTCCCTTCCCCACCTCTACGACGGCTCGCTCTGCCCCAGCTCGTGATCCCTTTGCCATGGACATCGATGCAACCCGTGTAGGACCCAACGGCAAGTCTCGCGATGACTTCCTCCAAGCCATGCGCGGACGGTGCTTTGGTTGTGGTTCGACCGCCCATGTCAAGAAGGACGGAAACCACGGCAGTCTCCGATGCAACTACTGCCAACGCATGGGTCACTCGTCCAACGTCTGCCAGGACAAATATATGGGTATCACGCCAGGTCGAGGTCTTGCCCCACGCCGCCGCATTGCTGCCACTCAGGAAGCTCCGTTCTCCCTTTTCAACGAAGGCTCGTCCGCTCCCACCGCTACTGCCACTGTCGCTGCCACCCCGTCCCCTTCTGTCGATATTAACGCCATCAATGCCGCCCAGCAACGTCAACTCGAAATCCTGGCCAAGCTCGAGCAGCTCCAACAGGATTTTTGAAGAGGGTGCTTGCTAAAGCCGCAACGCTTGCACCCCTCTCTCCGCCGTATGCCGTCTCCGAGTATGATTCCATTCGTTCATGTACTATTAGCTCAGTTCGCGAAATACACCCTGGTTCATCCCTTACTTTCGCATCCGGATCAGACTCAGAGGCAGGAACCGAACGGCAAATCCTGCGGCAATGATTGATTGTGGCGCCACTGGCAAGTTCCTGGACAAACCTCTTTGTGGCCAAACACCGCATCACCACCTACCCCCTCCGGCACCCTATCCAACTCCTTAACATCGACGGTACCCCAAACCAGGCTGGCCATATCACCCACTTCTCTCGACTCGAACTCACGGTGGACGAACACACCGAGTGGACGGACTTTCTCATCTCCGATCTTGGAGGTGAGGACGTCATTTTGGGACTCCCTTGGCTTCGCAAGATCAACCCCCAGATCGATTGGCGGAAAGGCACACTCCACATCCCTGCCCCCAAGGTCGCCAGTGTCACTATCGAGGAAATCCCAGACGAAGACGCTCAGATCCCTTACCCGAGGAGCCCCTTTCCGGTAACGCCATTCTGGAGCAGATCAGCAGCTCTGACGTAACTGCTGCCCTTGATCCCCACACCTGTTTTTCCCGATCCCGCTCCAGATCCGACTCCAGATCCTGCTCCGGAACCCGAAGAGGAACCGCCATTGCTCCGCATTCGTGCCAACCGCGTCACCCGTAGGAAATGGGTCCGAGCGGGATTGATTGAAGCCACTGGCGACGAACTCTGGTGTGCAGCCGGGTTCACTTACTCCCAGAAGATTGCCGAAGAGGCGCAGAAGACCAAACCCCAGAAAACGTTCGAAGAGATGGTTCCTCCGCAGTATCGCCAACATGCCTCCGTCTTCTCCGAATCCGAGTCTCACCGCCTCCCTGAGCACAAGCCTTGGGATCACGCTATCGATCTCATCCCCGGAGCTCCGGCTACCATGCGTACCAAGGTCTATCCCATGTCCCAGAATGAACAGGAGGAACTCAACCGTTTCCTCGACGAGAACTTGAAGAAAGGCTACATCCGTCCCTCTAAGTCCCCTCTTTCGTCTCCGGTCTTCTTCGTCAAGAAGAAGGATGGTAAACTTCGCTTTGTCCAGGATTATCGTCGGCTCAATGAGATCACTGTCAAAAACCGCTACCCACTTCCCCTTGTCTCCGATATCATCAACCGTCTCCGTGGTGCCAAGTACTTCACCAAGTTTGATGTTCGTTGGGGCTACAACAACATCCGCATCAAGGAAGGAGACGAGTGGAAGGCAGCGTTTGCGACTAACCAAGGCCTGTTCGAACCCCTGGTCATGTTCTTCGGTCTCACCAACTCCCCCGCCACCTTCCAAGCGCTCATGAACTCCATCTTCTCTCGATCTTATCGCTGCCGGCAAGGTCGCAGTGTATCTTGACGACATTCTTATCTTCACCGCCACTCTGGAAGAGCACCGCCAGATCGTTCACAAAGTCCTTCAACGCCTCAAGAAGCACGACTTGTACCTCCGGCCTGAAAAGTGCGAGTTCGAACGAGAGGAGATTGAGTATTTGGGATTGGATTATCCGAGAAGGCGAAGTGCGCATGGACCCCACCAAGGTTGAAGCAGTCCGCAACTGGCCCGTTCCCCGCAACCTCCGTGCCCTACGAGGCTTCCTCGGTTTTGCCAACTTCTATCGCCGCTTCATCAAGGATTTCGCCACTATTGCTCGCCCGCTCAACGACCTCACCAAGAAGGACACCCCTTGGCAATGGAACGAACCCCAGCAACAGGCCTTCGATACCCTCCGGAACACGTTCACCTCCGCTCCTATCCTCACCCTCTGGGACCCGAGCCGGCCCACTCGCATTGAAGTTGATGCCTCAGGCTTTGCCACAGGAGGGGCCCTCCTTCAGAAGCACGATGATGGACTCTGGCACCCCGTCGCATTCCGCTCCGCTTCCATGCAGCCGGCAGAACGCAACTATGAGATCTACGACCGCGAAATGTTGGCCATCATCGAAGCCCTCAAGGACTGGCGACACTTCTTAGAAGGACTCCCCGACCCGTTCGAGATCGTCACCGACCACTCCAATCTCCAGTACTGGCGCTCCGCTCAAGACCTTAGTCGCCGACAAGCACGATGGGCCCTCTATCTCTCTCGCTTCAAGTTCTTGCTCACCCACCGCCCTGGCAAGGGCAACACCCAAGCCGACGCCCTCTCTCGCCTAGACACCCATCAGGTCACGGACGCAGAAGACAATAGGCAGCAAGTTGTTCTCAAACCAGAGTACTTCGCCAAGCTCGCCGCCGCTCATATGCTCGTCAACCCCCTGGAGCAGCGTATCCGCGACGCCAGCACTCGCGAGACGCACGTCTTGGAAGGGCTTGCCCAACTCCGCACTTCCGGTCCCCGCCGTCTGGTTAACGGTCTTGCCGAATGGGAAGAGGAAAACGGTCTGGTGTACTACAAGGGACGTGTCTATGTTCCCCCGGACGACGAACTTCGCCGCGACGTCCTCAAGCAGTGCCACGACGATCCCACCTCTGGTCACCCCGGCGTCCATGGAACACTTGAACGAGTTGAACGACAGTATTGGTGGCCCGGTATCCGAGCATTTGTCAAGAAGTACGTGGACGGTTGCGACACCTGCGCACGGAAGAAGTACATGCAGCACCCCAAGGCCTCCACCCAACCCCTGGACGTACCCCAAGGCCCTTGGGAATCTGTTGGCGTCGACCTCATCACTCAGCTTCCCGAAGCACACGGACACGACGCCATCATTGTCTTCACCGACCACTACAGCAAGGTTCTCCACGCCCTCCCCTGCTCGTCCGACATCACCACCGAAGGGGTCGCAGACATCTACTACCGAGAAAATCTTCCGCCTTCATGGCCTTCCCCTACAGTTCATCAGCGATCGCGGTCCCCAGTTTGCATCCAAGGTCATGCGCACCCTTCTCCGTCGACTCGGCATCCAGTCCAACCTTACCACGGCCTATCACCCTCAAGCCAATGGGCAGACCGAACGAGCCAACCAAGAAGTTGAGAAGTACCTACGTCTTTACGTCAACCGCCGTCAGGACGATTGGGACGAACACCTTCCAATGGCCGAATTTGTTATCAACTCCCGTATCCACTCCGCCCACAACCGCTCACCATTCGAAGTCCTTTATGGCTACATCCCTCACTTCAACATCCCGATTGGCAAGAGAACCGGACTCCGACCCGTCGATGACCGCCTCCAGCACTTGCAGGATGTCCGGAAGGACGCCGAAGCTGCTCTTCGACTCGAAAAGGCTCATCAGAAGGACATCTATGAGGCCGGCAAGCGATCTGCCCACCAGTTCAAGGAAGGCGACTATGTCTGGCTCGACGCAAAGGACATTCAGCTCAAGGTACCCACTCGCAAACTTGGCGATCTTCGACTCGGCCCTTACAAGGTTCTCAAACGCGTCGGCGACCTCGACTACAAGCTCGATCTCCCCAAGGACCTCTCTCGCATCCACCCTGTCTTCCACGTCGACAAGCTCTCTCCCTGGAAGGGTAATGATGTCAACGGCACCTTGCCACCCCCGCCTGAACCTGTTGAACTGGAGGGGGAGCTTGAGTACGAAGTCGACAGCATCCTGGATAGCAAGTTCGTCAAGAGGGGGAGGGGCCAGAAGCTCATGTACCTGGTCAGTTGGAAGGGATATGGCGCTGGACACGACTCCTGGGAACCGGAGGAGAACCTGAAGAACGCGCAGGAGCTCATCGCCGAATACCACCGTCGACATCCGAACGCACCACGTCGTATCTCTGCCACCGCCTTTGCATCTATTCCCTGGCAGAAACAGCCGACAACTCAACCGTTCTGGCATACGGACCTGGATTGGGAGGAGGGGCGTCGCTTGCCTAGGATCATCGAGGACGATGAGTCTTAGAAGGGGGGTAATGTCGTGAACTGCTGGTACGACCCCTATTTTTCCCATCTTATCTTATCGCTTCGTTCATCTTTTATCTTATCGTTGCCCCTGTCTTTTCCCCTTTATTCTCGTCATGGACACTTTCTCTCATGGGAACACTGCCTCGTCTTGCCCTCTACCCTGTTCTCTATTGTTCTTTCATTTCTTGCACAGCCTTATGACTCGTTATGACTCGTCATTACTTCTTTATTGTTTCACCCTTGTTTTGGCGCAGCCTTCGCGCAGCCTTGTGGCCTTTTCTTATTGTTCTTGTTGTATTGCCTCATCGCTCGTCATCCTGACTCATTGCGGGATATGTAGGTTGTAGTTACAGTATATAACTTAGGTAGTTCGCTCTGCATGTTCCTCAGCTTGACCTCTTTGTCAATTCATCACTCTATTCATTGCTCCAACCCAGTGCTCAACGTCTCTCATCGCTCTCACTCCTCTTTATCTCGTTAACCGTTCACCTTATCTGGTTTCTAGTTTGGTTTAGTGTTCGCTCTTCGCGACAGCCTGATTGCCGATAGGCTGCCAGAGACCGCTTGCTGCCGATGTAAAATGGTCGAGAAGAGCGTTCGGCGGCGGGGTTGTTGGAACCTGCGGGAGCGAGCTCAACCTGGCGCTGCGTATAGATTGAAAGCTCTCGTTTGCAGTCAGCCAGCCTCTCTTTGGTTTCTTTAAGGTCTGATTTACAAGTTTAGTCGAACCATTACAAGGCGGAAATGAATTGACTTACCCTCAATGAGCCTCTTGAGCTTCGCATCACGGCGCTCGATTTCCTCGCGGGCCTCCTTCAGTTCCAACTCAACTTCATGGAGCCGGCCTTGAATCTGGACGGGGTTCAGAACACCGCTTGGATCCGGGTTCCTAGAGTATTCCCCGCGAAGGATATCGCGGAAGATGGGGTCTTTGAGGAGTTTGGTGAAAAACTGGAATGCTTTCCCGTAGGGCACCTCCAACTCCCCAAGAATGACGGTGATAATGTAGGCGTCTTTCCAGGGGCACGGTCTTCCCTTCTTGATACAGGGAGCGCAACCAAGACCCTCCGCCGTTAACATGCAACCACCTGGAAACTTAATGCACTCTTCATGATTGCAGGGCTAGGGAAACATTCAGCGAGGCAAGGAGTTCAAGGAGCCCTACAACTTACACCGCCGATGTTGTCAAAGAACCAATCCTCGAATCTATCTCGGTCATGACACGCAGAGTTAACCGCCGTGAAAACGCGAGCTCGACCTTCTTCGTATCCTCCATCCCACTTCGCCATTTGATGAAAGAAGAAAGGTTATGATTTGGGAAGCATACTAGTAGTGACCCCGAGAATTAAGTATGATGAGGTGAACGATTGACTATGTAAGCGGACCAAATAAAGATGGCGCTCATTCGACGTCCTCTGCGATATATTCCCTTGTCCTCAGACGCCCGTCCCTAATTTCCTTGAGCATCCTGCGAACGTATTTTTGAATGGCAGCAAGGGCGGCAAGCGAGTCTGATATGTTTTCGCTGTGGTCATCTTGAGCATCCGACGGCAGTTGGTCTGTGTACTCGTTGAGCCATTCGAGCCTTGGTGTGATGTCTGCTATGTGGAGATTGGTCGTGGTCGCTAGATTGTAGAGACGTTCAAAGACTGTAGAAGGAATGAGCGAGGAGGTTATACAACCAGGCAGCACTCACCATCCTGCATATCCTTGACAAATTCGGCCTTTTCCTGTACATATACGTCTGTCATAGCGTTTGGGGAACCGGTGTAGGAGGTAAAGTCGATAAAGATGACGCCATGAAGGGACAATGAGCACAGTACCTGGTTTCTTTCCCACGCTTCCATGGGCGCTTGTCTTGGCGCGAAGTCTTCGTGATCAAAGTCTTCCTCGATGGTGACCGTCTGTCGGCTGTGCGTGCACGGTCAAACCTTGCGATCGTCGACGCCTTGAGAAATTTCAAGTATAAACGACGTCATCCTTGGCATGGGTGCTTGATGTCATCTTGGCATGGGCATTGACTGAGTGGCCACTGCTAAGGTGACCTACGTAAAGCGCTTGGTTGATACTTGTCTGCGTCAGTATTGGATGGTTATCGTTTGGAGAGGGAAGACCAAGCCATGCATGGCGTCACAGAAGGGAAGTTCCGCGCAGAGTCACCAATTGTCAATCGTAAGGTATGTATGCGATACCTCGGGGTAACCTTGCCGGGACCTCTTGCTGAACTATGTCGGAGGTGGGGCTACGCGTTATCCATGGGGAGGGTTGCCAGTGATTCCTGAACAGGTTAAACGAGGACTCGGTGTAGACCCTCCTCACTTCTTGGCGGGGTGTATCGACGAAACTAAGGCCCAAGAAGCTAGGTCGTTGGTTTTTCTTGAATTATTACAGATGCATCGCTGCACTGTGACTACAGGCTACTCTGAGGATTACGAACGGGCGTCAGTGAACAAGACCTACAAATTGCTCCACCGTGACTATTGACTACCTTTCCCTCTGAGGATTAGGAACGGGCGTTGGTGAACATGACCTACAAATCAAGTTAGGCCATCAGGATGCTCTTTCATCACACCAGTTGCTGATTCCTACCAAGGCTGTGGGTTGCATGGCGGTGTATTGCCAAGAGCTATACCATCAGCGAAGCGCACGTTCAGTGACTCACTCCCTGCCAAGTGGTTTATGGGTGCCGCCAAGCTGGCGGTATCGACAATGTGCATTTCTTGGCTTTTGCCTTGTGATAATTAAAGTTCTAGACAAAGGACATAGTTTTAACGTGTTTTATCAGTGGTAGTAGTCTAGTGGTGACAGTGCATGCTTTATAGTAAGCACTCTGAGGTTCGAACCCTCTCCTGCCCAAACTGAAGAGTAGGCCTGGTGCGTGTGGGCATACACACGCACCAGGCTAACTCTACAGTTCTTTTTTTTTTTTTTCCCTTTGCTTTTTGGCCTAAGCCGTGAAAAGGTAACTATCTAAAGTCTGTCCAACGGGAGATCTAAACTATTTCAATCACATCCATTCCATCTCAAAGGAATCAAATACGCACCCACAAAGCAAGCAACTTGGAAACGTCTGTGACACCGATCAAGCTGCGATCAGCCAGAGCTCCGAGTCCCCTGGTGTGTATCGGCGTACGAACATCCGTTATTTACGGTGGGGCTGTTGTGGACCCGCGACTACGGTGGTAACCTCTCCCGTGGCTGCGATCACCCAGAGCTCCGAGTCCCCTGGTGTGTATCGGCGCACGAACATCGCGTTATTTACGGTGGGGCTGTTGTGGACCCGCGACTACGGTGGTAACCTCTCCCGTGGCTGCGATCACCCAGAGCTCCGAGTCCCCTGGTGTGTATCGGCGCACGAACATCGCGTTATTTACGGTGGGGCTGTTGTTCACCCGCGTCTACGGTGGTAACCTCTCCCGTGTCTATTCATAGAGGCGACGTCGATACCAAAGGGCCACCTTGCTGAAAGCCTGCCTCGTCCACATCTTCTTTTTGGTGAAAAGGTAACTATATAAACTGTCTCCAAGGGGAGATTTAAACTTTTGAAATCCCATTTATTGCACGAACATCGCGTTATTTACGGTGGGGCTGTTGTGGACCCGCGACTACGGTGGTAACCTCTCCCGTGGCTGCGATCACCCAGAGCTCCGAGTCCCCTGGTGTGTATCGGCGCACGACCATCGCGTTATTTACGGTGGGGCTGTTGTTCACCCGCGTCTACGGTGGTAACCTCTCCCGTGTCTATTCATAGAGGCGACGTCGATACCAAAGGGCCACCTTGCTGAAAGCCTGCCTCGTCCACATCTTCTTTTGGGTGAAAAGGTAACTATATAAACTGTCTCCAAGGGGAGATTTAAACTTTTGAAATCCCATTTATTCCAACAATCCAATCCGTAAGCACAAAGCGAGCAACCCCATCACCTAGAGCTCCCTTCGTGTGTATCTGCATACGAACATCCGTTATCTACGGTTGCGGTGTTGTGAATGGCGAATGTGTTGGTAGCCACTCCCCCGTCTAGCTAGCAAGGCGATAGCGATAACGAAGGGGCAGCTGGCCAAACCCCGACATATTTTGGTGAGCCTCAATGTATGGCATTTCGCCTTGCGTAATTTATACCTGGTTCCAATGAGGCTATATTTACGTGACAGCTCGCATCGGTTCCAAATTGGTGGTATACACAGTGGGTTTGAACGGCATCTGTGTTATTTGTAAGTAGAAGATTTGTGTGGAGGTTGCTGACCTATGGTTGATATGATATACACTGGCCAGCTCTCCGGGGCTCTGCCAAACATATACTACTCAGCCGATTTCTTGTTTCTCACCTCCTTGTCATGTTTCACATCTATAAAAGCCTCTTTATAGACTTTTTGCCTCGGCACGACTGGTCACAAATTACGACAGGCTTCCTCCCCTTTAACAGGCTATACTGGCAGGAAAACTACGCGGAAGCTCCTTAGGGGTTCAAGTCATGGCGTACATGCTGCCGGTAGATGTATGGTCCCTAATCGGATAGCCAGGGACCGTTAGCTTTGCCACAGGTGGCGACTTTAGTTTAGGAGCTTAGGTAGGGCCCCGTTGGCTATTAATCTTCTAGTCAGCCGATACAATCGAGGTAGTTAGATTGCTTTTCAAAAGGGTATGCTACAAAAGCATAACCGACTGAGGGTGCCTAGGCGCGACCGTGGCGCGCACATTGCACGGTCAGGTCCGTGCCGATAGGCATGGTTACCCTTCCGCGCTGAGCATTGAGAAGGCTCCCCGAGGGGCACGTGTCCTGCTTTCATTGATCCCCCCGAACACCGATAGATACAGTCCGCCTGGCATGCGTCACCGGGACATGACAGGGCGGCCCTACAACCTGTACCCTATGGCCGTAGCCTGTTGGTGCACACCAGGGCAGCTAGCACAGACGTGGTACACAACAGCATGACCTGGTACACAACTGCATCTACCCTGTAGATAACGGCGACAGCTTTTCCCAGGTGGTCACTCTGTACCGTTGATAACGATATTAATTTCCTGTGGTCTCTCCGTGACTATCGGGTAAAAGCTATGTAGCAATGTGGCTCTTTAGCGCCTCGTGTGGCAAGTACCCACTCTGACATGGTCAAAATGCGGTTTTATTGGCGCCTGGTGCTCGCTTGGCACGCGGCCAGAAATACATACGCCTAGGGGACCGTGCTATAATTTCGTTGCAGATGGTTACCGGTTACCCCCAGTATATAACCTGACGCAATCTGTCAGCGCACCCTCTCTGACCTTCCTCTCCAGCATGCCTTTGACTGACATCGAACGTGAGGTTTTGGGGGCTGCTTGGTCCAAGAGCGTGTTCACGAACGTCGCAGTAACGCTCCCCACCGCCGGTATGTGATGGTCCCAACAACATCCCCAGACTGAAACCTTATAATTGGGCACCATGGCTAGGAATCCACATATTCATGTCTCTCTACGTCCTCTCGATTCACATCGAGTCACCCAGAGACGTACGCAAGCGACGAAGACCGTACATCCTCATCTCGTTCATTCTAGCCACCCTCGTTACCCTGATTGCGGCCCTCGAGGCGTACCAAATCTACGATGCTTTGGCTACGGCGCAGAAGTTGGGTGTTGTTGAGTTTGGCGACCTGTGGCCTGGGGGTCTGCGACATCCTGGACTTGAGCGATGGCAGGCGGTTCTGAGAGGCGTTTGCTTGCTTGTTGGGGTTGTCGTCGGGGACGCGCTTTTGGTTGGTTGATTTCCTTGATGGATACTTATTATCGTTTTGAGGGGGCTTACCGTGGTCATCAGTTGTATCGATGTTATGTTGTCTATTATGACAGGAGGTGGCTCTGCGTATTCCCTGCTCTCACGTACCTCGCATCCATCGGTAGGTACGAGCACACGACTGTCGATCATGTCTTTAACTTCATCCATACACTTGATCCTCCAATTTTTAGTATTCGGGATCCTAACAACCCAATCCACCCTCCGCCCTCAATCGAACTCGCCAAACCTCATCAACGCCTATCGCGCCGCGTGGCTTTTCACGACCGTCGGAGTCAACGTCCTTGTCACCTCCTTCGTCAGCTTCCGACTTGTAAGGCTTGAGAGGCGAATTAGAGCGGAGTTCTCTCCTGGGGGGTTTAGCATTAGAACATCGATCTACAGCGCGGCCTCGAATTTGCTTATCGAAGCTGCTGTGCCTGCAGCGTTGTTTGGGGTGATTTTGGCGGTGATTTATATACTGATTCTTGTGGAGCCACACCCGACGGCGAGGAATGCGCACCTTGGGACGCTGGTTGTCCTTGCGGCTTCGCAGGAAGCTGCGACGGCGCTGTATCGTGGGTTCATGGTGAGTTCAAGTTCTCTCGGCATCGATACTTTCTCTACTCCCAGGCTTGGAGGAGGATCTGAAGTACTTTGTATTTAAATTCTCCAGTTCCTCTCGCCTCAGATGATCGTTTTCAGGGTTATGACGGGCCGGTCTTGGGCACGGCTGGAGGATACGCTGGTGACGGTATTATCTGCGACTACAACCGGTTCGGAGGTCACCTTCAACTTCAATGCTCGGAGGAAGGCAAGTGACGAGGTGGACAGGTTCGATTCGAGGGAAGGGCCAGCACCTATAGAGAGGGGGGAGTCGGATGGGAGATCTGTAACCGATCGGGGGAATCGTGACGTCTGAAGGCATTGCCTTGGTAGGAGGGGTAAGAAGTTTAACGTTCAGGCTTTTAGCTTTAGGGGCTGAAGGAAGTGGTTAATGAGCGGTGTGTACTACTAGACTTGAAGCTATGCTGAATCCTCTCTCTCTCCCTTGGCTGTGCGCTATGTAAAGAGTTAACGTCAGAAAGGAGGATCATTCTCTCGAAGGCGCCCGCACAGCGTATAGTATGATACTGCCATGGACTCCACGAGCATATCTGTTCAAAAGCAGGTCGATAAGGTGGATGGAAGGCGACGACTCGGAAGATACTTATACTTTGTCGCTAACTCGATCGATGATGGCAACTTTGAACAGGGCCTCATTCCATCGGCCTTCAAGGCGTGCCTATCATTGTCACCTGAGAAAGGATCCTCATGGGGTCCTATTACCCTGTGCTGATTCTTCTCGCTTGGCTGTACGCCATGTACTAGATTAACGTCAGGACTCAGAAGGGATCTCAAACTTTATTTAGCCAACCTGTGCTAAGGTGTGTGGTATTATGTTATTCTAGTGACCTGCGTGATGCAACGAAGTGATTTCCCTTGCGGCGTTCGCACATAGAGACCTTTCACGATGGGTGCATCATTCCGATTTAAATAAGCCTGGTTTTACCAAACAAGTATTAAGTATCGAGCGCACTGGATACTGGGCTGGCGCTTAATCGAAGGCCCGCACAGCATTGAGAATATACTGCCGCGGACTCCACGAAGCGCCTGGTCCAAAGCAGGTTGATAGGGTGGATGGAAGGCGACAAAGTTACTCGTATCAATTCTCGAAGGCAGCCCCATGCCTCGGTACCTGCCCATACCCGACCTGGCGACGTCATCTTCCACCTGTGATCCAAGACCCCCCGTTTCCCGCCCTTCTCTTCCTGGAAGCTGGGGGTACTTAAGATAGGGTTTAAGTCGACGGGGTGATCGATGGGAGGGCGTTCAATGTGCAGTGATTACTAGTAGGAAGACGCCCTCAGAAATGTCAGACTATCCGCCTGAGCAACTGGAGTTCATGGGAGGATGGGACGCCTTGGTTGTGGTGTATATTCCCGCGTTGGCCTCTCTCGCAGTCGCAGGTATGTCTCTTCGTCCACCGAGATATCGATGCTATCACCAGAACTCAAACAAGGTACCCTTTTGTAGCTGTCGAGCTTTTCATGTGCTTCTACGGCCTTGCGCTTCACCTTGAAATTCCAAAGCAAGAGAGGACGGGGCGCGGGCGATACGTCGTCGCGAGCTTTGTCCTCACGGGATTGGCGTGGACCACCGCGATCGCACAGCTGATATCCGCGTACTTCATCCTGTTGGACATCTCCCCCCCTCCTATGGGTGGTATCAGCCAAGTGATTGAGAAACAGTTGTCCACAGGAATGGCGCTCCTACGAACACTCCCTTTTGTTATGCAAAGGTGGATTGGGGATATCTTGCTTGTTGGTCTTTCCATTTCCGTCCATCGTAAATCTTGATCTTATTGCTGCGCTTTCTAGGTTTTCCGATGTTATATGATTTGGCACGGTAGAGCCCCGCTGGCGGTTATACCCATGTTCACTTTCTTGGTGTCTTTCGGTATGTCTTTATCACGTCAATCTTTGATCCTCCCAGCTCTCTGAAAGTAAAGTCGTCGACAGGACTCAGCATCGCAGCGTCCCTGCCCATTGCCAAGTGGGAACCAACCCGGGATACCATCCTCATCTCGATCGACGCCTTCGTGTACACCGCACTACATATTTCCGTCACCACACTGATCACCATACGCCTGTTACGCGCTCGGCGTAACCTGGTGGAGATACTTGGCGGAAGAGACGACAAGTTGTACACACATGTGATCGCGATGCTGGTAGAGTCGGCGGCTGCGATTGTTGTATTCGCTATCCCGCGCTCCATCATAGGTCTTGCAAGGCTCTCTGGGACTTGGGGTGCCAGTGAGAAAGCTGGGAGTATCGTGGATATCGGGTACTATGCCGTCGTTGTGAGTATCTCCAGCAGTCCATTTCCCCACGCTCCCCCGACGTGGTCTTGAGGCTGATTTTCCACCTATTCCTTCTTCCGCAGTCTCTCACTCCGCAGCTCATCATGTTTCGAGTGGCAAGTGGGCGATCGTGGGTTAAGCACCCGTGTACATTGTCGGGTAGAAGAAGCACAGTTCTATCGCGAGAGATCCAGTTTGTCAAGACGAGGGACTCTGGGGACTGTCCAGAGTCAGACACATCGGCTCGGAACACACTGGTTTCGGCTACTTAGGAGAGAGGCACGAGGAGAAAAGTGACAGTACGTAGTTCTTGAGCATGTATTTACATGGTCTCTGAACGATACATCCGGGAACGATGCGAACGCGAGTATGGTGAACTCCGCAACTTCGGAGGGATTACCGACGAAGCGAAATTCAGGTGGCGAGACAAAGGGGAACCGTGAGTGCATCACTGTCGGGTTGTCTGGAGGCTCCACTGACATCGACGTTTACAGAAAACCATTTCTTTTCCCCAACCTTTGGGGCTGGCCGACGGGCGATTATGCGATCTGGTTCGTCACATCTGGATCAGATGAAACAGATATCCAGTACTTTTTGGACAACCGGGACGCTATCCTCGATCGCTATTTGGAGCTCATGGAATTCCCCCAAGAAGAGAGGGTGTTCATCAAGACGCGCTTATTCAGGTGGCATCGGCATTTGCCCACAGGAGAAGAATACGGTGTCCGCAGGCTACCTCCAGACGCCTGCTTGACGACGAGATCCCTCCCTCAGTCTCCCAGCCTTGAGCATGACCAACTGGAGTCTGATTAGGATAGGCCCCATTTCGACCAAACCCCGAATCTGTATGTTCCTAAATCGACCCTGCTCTCTTCTGGAACTAGGATCTAGGTGATTCTCTACTTTCTTCTCATCTCATCAGTTTCTCTTTAGCTTCGCCTTTAGACGACTGTGTTTGACCCAAATGACTTCGCCCTCAACACGACCGGAGAGCGGTTCCCCTCGAAGCTCCCGGAAATAGGGTGCCCTGGATTACTCCATACTCGTCAAGGGACAATATTGGACTAGTATAAGTAGAGTACCTTTCTGATGCGAGGCATAATCTCTTCTTGCTCGTCCAATTACACTTGGTCATAAGCTACCGAAGGCACCGATGCTTCGACACCTCTCAACAGGTCCCATCGGCTCGTGGGAGTGGGACACACCTCGTAGACTAGCAAGGAGATGGTTCGCATCGATTGCAATTGAAGCGAGAGGGAGGCACAATAAGTATCTATTCTGTGAGGCTAATTCGACTGTGGGAGAGGGAGAATGAGAAATATGATTCATATCACTTGAACTGGCCCAAGCTGACCAGGTCAGACTTCTAAGAGAATCCACTGATACCATCTGCCACGGATAATTCGCGACTGACGGCTGCCAGCAGGTTCCTGTACTAATCCAATGAGCCTAATTGAGATACTTCAAAGAGTACAAATATACTGTGGGACCTGAGGACTTCGACACCAGTGACCTTCAGAATACCCTCGTACATCATCCTTCCAATGTCCTCTGTCAACATCTGGACGGCCAATTTAATCCAGGCCATGACGTCCATCGACATTGCATGCACAGGTACGTGCCATAGCCTTATTCCCTACTTATGGTTTCTCATCGGATGTTGACCATACGAACCTTCCGATAGCAATCGCACTTTTCATGTGGACCTACAGCGTAACTATCTTCAGCGAGCTCACCGAAGAAGAGAGATCAGGGAGGCGACGGTACCTGGTAATCAGCTTCATGATATTGGCATGTTCCTGCATCTCCTCCATCACCAGTGGAATAGAGAGTCACCGCGCTGCGCTGGAGACTCTCCCGTCTTTGGATAATTTTCAGGACGTTTTCGAGAGCAGGTACAATGGTGTATTGATGAAGACGTCGAGTGTTACATTGTATCTCCAGGCATGGATTGGCGACGCCCTATTGGTACGTAGTAGATCAGGTCTATCCAAAAGGAACCCTCCTCATCGAATCGCTTGGTTGTGGGCAGGTGTACCGGTGCTTCATTATATGGAGGGATCGTTTAGGGTTGGCAGTTATTCCCGTTCTGATTTATATCTTATCCATGGGTAAGTGTACACCCCCACTTCAAGTGTTAGCCAAGGTGCATGGTCTCACTCTTTGACTCACAGGAGTTGGAATACGTTGTCTCGTACCTGACTATGATACCTGGGGATTCGAAGAAAGCGAGATCCGACTCATCCTCGAGACAGTAGACGCCTTCATCTACCTCATCCTCCACATCACCATTACGGCTCTAATCGCCTATAGGCTTTTGAGCGCCCGAAATCACTTGATGAAGGTTCTGCCAAACGCAGATGATAAGCCGTACACCAGTATCGTCGCAATGTTCATCGAATCGGCCGCTGCTATCACCATATTTGCAGCCGGATATGCGATCACCAACCTACTAGCCGGTTGGCCAGCATACCAAGCAAACAGTATTTTCCTGATTGGATACAACGCCTGTATCGTGAGTATCGACTTCAATCTACGTGAATAGTCCTGATGGAAGCATAATCAGACTCTCGTTCCTCAGCTCATCATCTTTCGCGTCGCCACTGGTCGATCGTGGGCTAAGCACCCAGGAGAAGAGTCAACCGCTCTGTCGAAGCAGATCCAGTTTGCGCGATCGGATAAAACAGGGGACTTGGAGTCAAGTCAAAGCACAGAATGAATAGATACGGAGTATCACGTCGTCATTTTCCTATTTTATTCTCCATCTCGTACAAGTGAACAAGTCGGCAGTGAGACGCAGCAAGATATTGTATGCATGTGTGGGTGAAAATCTCCTCTCCCCGCACCATAATAGGAGCTAGGGAGAGGGAAGCGATATATAGGGATGGTGCGGATGCTCACTGTTGGGTGAACGACGTCGAGTTTGACAAAGGGTCGGATGGAGTTCTGGGATCGTAAACTAAACGCCCAACGTTCGGAATCCTCAACATGCCAAATGTTTGCAACTACCAGACACTGCCAGCTGGACATATGTCCTGGGCCAAGTCTGGCCTTCCCGCCGCCAATCCGACCAACAGTCTATTTCCCCGAGGAGGTTCCCCCCTTTCGACGTCCTGCCCGAGATTTCCTAGGTTTCTTTGGGGGCATCGGCCGTGATTCCATCCTGTTAATCCACTCCTCTACACTGATCGGCGGCCACATCGCGTTAAACTCTGCATCCCAATACATACCTACCCTTGGATCCCACTCCCAGGTCCCGGTGACGATCACCAACCACTTGGCGTATGCGTCAAATTCGGCTATTTTGTCGGTATCGCAGGTGGGGGAGTAATCGAGGTCGTTGATGTATTCTTCAAACCACCACGTGGAGGGTGGTGGTTGATGTCGAACTGGGGTGATGAGGTCGTGCGTCGGTATGGCTGTAGACGCGGGCAGAGCGACGGGCACATGTACACCGGGTCCAGCCGTCGGTATACTAGCTGGGAATGGGGGGTACAATAGATTTTGAGCTGGATCTTCCACTTGAGCCAAAAGGTCGTTGACGTAGCCATAGCAGCTTTGGGACGACATATAGTATGTCTCGCTTCGACGGGAGTTCCGCCCTAGTATAGCGTAATTAGCGCAGTAGGAGACTTCCCACGGGCCCGCCCTTCCGAATTCCTAGCCTCAAGGATCGAGCTCAGCAGTACTTAAATGGTAGTAACTACAATGCACGACATAGGCATGAGTCACGGAACACTCAACATGAAAACAACGTGGTTACCTTGTGTTCTGTGAATCTGTGCTTTCACCTAATCTCGAGCTCAAGGTTAGACTCTTGATAGAGCACGGCAATCAAACTTCAAGCTATTGTATTGAGCGTAACTTTGTTCTCTATAGTACAAGGCTGTGCTTCAACACCATCTTTACCATAATTGAGAGGCTTGGGTGACATTCGGGCCTCGAGGCGGCGACTGAAACTCGAAGGCGGCTCTTCTAGTCCGCTACGTCGCCTCGTGTTTTGTGAAGGAACTCTGTTCTCCCCGAGCGGACAATAAAAGCTTCGTCTAGATACAGTACCCTACACGAGTTCCATACGTTTCATCTTTTCTGGATATAACCATGGGTCTTCAACGCTCTTTCGACTTCAATCTAGACTCACAACCCCTACGTACACTATACGAGTACCACCTCCCCACTGCGCGATAGTAGCTCCTCTAGGACAACTCAGTCAGCAATAACCCTGCACCATGGCCTCCCAATCCACAGTTCCAACCTCACCATCCTCGACCGGGGCGATCGCCTCCCCTCCTATCAACCCCCTCCAGCTCGCCAGAGTAACGAAGAAAGTAATGGACCGCCTCGCGCCCTTTTGCGGTATCCAGCCCCTCGCCGACCACGGCCACTGCTCCACCGTCGACCTCCACTGCAGCAGGTCCACCAGCAGATTCGGCGGGTCCGAATCCTCCGCCTCTCCCTTCGGTTCGCCATTCTCATCGCCGTCGATTACGCCCAGCCCTAGCATCTCGGGGCTGAATATTCAGAATCGCACTCGGAGCGGCTCTGGCTCCGGATCGCTATCACTCAAGCAGAGTGGAAGTCATACCCCGTCTTTAACTCAAGCTCCTCACACCACATCCGGATCGCCTCATACCCCACCTCCGGGTATTGGAACCAAGACGCCATCGACACCCTCGATACGCGCCGTCGTCTCCAAGCTCCGTTCACGCGTCGCGAAGCTTATCGATGCTCTGGATGTGCACATGAAATCGTGCTGTGCGGCGTACGAGATGTGTAACGAGGCGCTGGACGGGCTTAAAGCCTCAGAGCCATCGGCTAGCAACGATTTGGCCAACGAAGCGTCGGACAGGGTGAACTTGAACGAAGAGGGGCTGGACGGTGTGAACGAAGCGCCCAAGTCGACGTCGAACGAGCAGGAGAAGCAGGTCCTCCTCCTAAAATACGCATCCATAAGCCTGAAGCTTGCCCAACAAACCGAGAAGGTGTTTAGGGATGTCCGTCAGAGCGTGTATAAGGTGCGTTTATCGTCCTATCATTCGCTCCCCCTTCTCTTCGTTCACCACTCACTGCACCACATCCCTCTGGACTAACCCACCATTCCTCCTCGTCGTTGTTTGCAGATTGCCGCCCAAACGAAAGAAACATCCACCACTTCGAATCCAGTCTACGTCCTCGTCCCACCCGGACCCGGCCAACCCCCCACCCTCCGAAAACCACTCAAGGAGATCAGTCTGGACCTCGTCGCCAACCTTGGTCTCTTCCAAGAGTTTACGAGGATGGTGGAGGAGAGTGTGGGGTGGTGGGGATGGGTATTGGGGGACCTTCAGTCGGAAGTTACCGTGGAGGGAGAGAAGAATAGACAGGACAACGAGGAGGAGGGTCGGGAAAGCGAGGATGCCCAGGGAGAGAAGAACAACGAAAGGAGAAACGTGGAATCGCTCCTTTACCCTTCCAGATCGAACCTCCTCGTCACAGAGCACGCAAGAGAGTGGTGGACCAAACAGCGAGAAGAGTGGCAGACTTATCGCGACATCGTGAGTGTCCATTTAGGTCCATCCATCGAACCTTGTGCCCACAGACATACTGACACGTTCCATTCGCAGATAAGCACGCTTCAAGACCAATACCCCTCCCTCCTCCCACACTCGACAAGAGCCATGAACGGGGAGATCTTCGACACCCCCGCGAATGAACGATCGCACGACGACGAAGATGAAGAGATCGAAACGCCCGAAGGGTACATCCGCGTCTCGCGGAGGAACCCTGTGCATCCGGGTGCCCAAACCTCGTCTCCGTCGGGTGCTCGAACGCTCTTCCGAAGATTATCTTCTCCCAAACGGTTTAGGAGTATGTCCCAGTCGCCCAGCAAGGGAGAAAGACCAGCGCGAAGGGGTTCATCGATGAGTTTGAAGAACCTTGTCGTCGGCGACGGGGAAAAGGATTCTCGAGATCCAGACCTCAAGTTGAAAGGGTTTCTGATGTGTGGATCGGGCAGTGGGAGAGGGATTGGGATTGGGAAGACGGCAACGATTCAGAGAGACGATGGAGCAAAGCGATCAAAGAGCTGGGTCAGACGAGGGCAGCAATCGACGACAGAAGGGAGCGACGGAGGTGATGTTCAGGATGGAAAACCACAGGTGAAACGATCTAGGTCGTTGTGGAGGAGGAGAGGTGGCACCCAAAGCGAAGATGTACACGTATCAGCTTGAGCTTGTGTGTATTGTAGATGCAAGGTCGCTGCCCCTGGTCGGGATATACTAGAACGATAGAGTCATAATTGCGAGAACAGGGAGCCACGGTGGTGGTGGTCAAATTTCAGCCCAATGGCCAGAAGGAAGGCGGTACCCTGTACGTACCCTGGATGTAGTCGAGGCCGTTGCCAAATCGTAGCCAAACAATCAGAGGGTTTCGATCGAGTTATATAAGCACGCCCCATGCTTGGCGGGCGCTTCGCGTTCAGAGCTCGTGTTTGCCTCAAGGCGTAGCGTTGATCTATCTGGCACGTCCAGCAATGAGGAATACATGGAGGAATCCACGAGATATGTTAACGTAGAGAGAAACGTCATTAAACCACTGTTTCATCCCCGCTATATATAATGTAACACCACAGGTTTACGCTACATTTAACACGGTCGCGCGGAAAGGTACACCGGTTGAAGGCCTTAATTAATCAGCGAGCGCGGATGTGCCCACTGGACCCTCGCTGCTCCTAATGGGAGGGGTCCACATCAAGCATTCACCCTCCCCCAACGCTGGCTCCCTCTTCTTAGTCTTCATATGCCGATGCCACTTAAACAACTTGGTTTTAACCAGCTCCTTCTCGTCCTCGGTCAGTCTCAAGAGGTCCATAGCCCGAGCGAGTATACCGTCCCTGTGCTTATAAAAATATTCCAGCTCGCTGCGGTGCATTTCGGGTTCTGTACCGGTGATAGACAAAAAGTAGATGATGTAGTCTCCTGTCACCGAACGGCAGAACCTTGGGGCCATGAACGGTTCACTGGGCATACCAGTAAGTAGTGCGATCAGAGGACATGCACTTGTGGAAAGGCAGAAGTTCCTACTCACGGTTCGCCCATATCGTGCCACCTACTGACTACCTCAATCTCGATGTCATTAAAACCCATGCTGTCGGATAACCGACCAGCCAGACTATATGCCCAGTGCGCAGAGACCGGGAAACCCGCGAAATAGAGCGGGACAGGGATAATCCAGTGGGGGTCGACGGTCGAGAGAGGCTTGACAGGGAGGCTCATTACGTTGGTCTGGCTGGAAAAGTCTATGCTTGGAGGAAAGGCCTCCCTGCATCTGTTGATTCAACCCGTCTTCAAACTGAGATAGATCCTGGACGCGGTGGGGGGTACGCACTTTGAGTAATGCTTCGTATAAAGAGCCATTCTAATTCTTTGGTACCGTGACATCGTGGGCCAGAGAATAAGAGGTTTATGTAGTGGAAGACTTGAACGCTGGCGATAGTCGGATCGCAGTGCCAGCTATTAGTATATCTATGCCAATGAACTTCACATCACGTGTCAAGCACCTTGTTTACCGACTGGGGCCTGCAGCGTTATGCCAACGTTGTACACCGTACGTTTTGGGTAAATTTTGGAACCGATTGATTGACATGACGAGTCACACTGGTTAGAACCCGGGTGACGTAGGGAACACCTTGCCCGCCATCTCGAGCAAAATCCTCCCGTGTGGACACAAAGGTTCGAGCAATTCATGGAGCTTCATTGAAGTTCGAGGTAGAATAATAATCGCAAAGCCCTGCTACAATATCGCTACTCCTTCACCGCTGGCATCGAGTTCGTATCGAATGAAGCTCGATTCATACATATTTCAGGTGGAAGCGTCTCATCTTTGTGTGAGTGTCGGTACCACTTGACATTGTTTAGAACAAATGCTTGCTCCTGTTGGCTAAACTTCATCATATCGCAGAAGAGCTTCAAAATCTCAACTCGGTGCGTGAGAAATCTCTGCACCTTCTGCGGTGGCGAGAAGTCAGCGACGAAGTATATGAACGCGTCACGAGGGATGCAAGAGATTATGGAAGGAAGGATAAATGGTTCCCTGGGCGACGGATATGTATACATAAGTATAAGCTAAACCGCTCTTTTGATCGAAGGAAGTGTTTCGTTACTCACGGGGACTGGCGCCTTTTCCATTCATTCCCGAGATGGGATGGGAGCATGCTAGCGTCATTACATCCGATATTATTCAAATGACCGCGCAGATACCAATTGTTTATGAAGAACCCGACGCCGTAGAATGGCCTGGCGACAACCGCTGGAATCGACGATGGCTTGACCGGAAGCTGAGGTGGGACATCTGGCGGTCCCAACTCGACACTCAGCGGGAATGCTTGGTCGTACCTAGAGGATGAGTTAAGTGTTAATGAACTGAGGAGGGATTGAGGAGGAGGATACTCGCAGTTGGGGATACTTTTTGATGAATCGTACAGTGGCTCCTACTAGCGCCATGGTTGTTACACGGGTTAGTCGTGAGCTCTGAGATTCTGGACTTATTTAAGCTAGTCAACGCTCCCCACGTGACCGCGACATCTACATGCACCCACCGCTCGGCTTGGGTCGGCATGTCAGGGTCTTTTTTTTTTTGGTGGAGCTATTGGCTTTCAGCTACGCACAGCTTGGGCCAGCTGAAGGTGCGGGTTTTACTCGCGTTGAAATACGGAGGTCCACAGGGAGGAAATGCGCTATCGCACACCCACAGCAATATGTGGGTAGTGTGGGCTGCGAGAGAGCGCGCCAGGCCAGGTATATCCGACACTGAGGAATTCGCGGTGAGTTTTCTCACCTATTCCTCCCTGGCAGGCGTTTCGCCCTCCCGACACCCACTAAAACCCCCTTGCTTTCAGTCCCACAATGAGATCTGTATTATGAGACGCCCGATCATCCCCGTTGGAGAAAGACATCCGTTCGAGGTCGAGCGTACTTTGAAGGACCCGTTGGATACTTCAGGTTTCAAAATTTCAAACTTAAAGGACTCACCCTAAGTCCTTCCATCCACTCCAGCCTCGCAACCACCTTGACGTCTCCATATTTCCGGTGTTCCGATCATGACCCCTGTCTACTGCTTTTTCCCCATCGCCACAGATCTACATCTACAGGACCACGAAAGAACATTTGAACGAGAGTGACCCAGATACCTCCTTCGTCACGGTCGCAGACGACGAAGCTCGAGGTGTTGTAGTCGATTACTGTGTCCTTCTCCCAACGATCAACTGGCATAGCGGACAGCCACCGACTGATAAGGAGCTGCTATCGGCTTACGTACCTTCACTGCTTGGTAGGGGCAACATACCTGATCTATGCGCCCCTCTCCTCGTCGAGCTCAAGAGGCCGGTTACCCGAAGTGCTGGGAATATCTTCAAGTACATATGCGACCTCTTCACCAAGCTCTCACATGCCAGAGAGCAAGTCATCCACCAAAGCGAATGCCTTTTCTCTTCCGCCAAATATCATTGCGGACCAAAAATGGGTGATTTTGGTTGCGGGAGCGGGGGAGTGGTGGATATGCCATATAGCTCGCCGAGAGACATGTTCTGCCAGGTTCTGCATGGACGGATACGAAGAATTTGTGTCGTCCCTTGATTGCAAGGATAGAGATGCACAGGATGAGGAGTACATGAAAGATAGGGAAATGAACGCCATGGCGGCGAAGTACCCAACAGAGCTGTTCGGACCATCCGAAGTTGCCCCTATGAAAAGGGCGATGGAGCCATACAAGGGATACTTCACCAAGCAGGCCAGGGAAGAGCAGGAGAAAAGGCGTCAACATGACAGCGAAATGCGAAAGGAACGGTACGAGAAGTGGACCATGAGGAAGGAAAGTGGAGAAAGGGCAGCCGAGGCACTGCCAGAATTTATGAAGGAAATGGGAGCTATGAGGTTTTACTCAGAAGAAGACGTGGTATTGGCTCTGAAGCGTCGCGATGCCTGTCAAGGTCAACAGCCGTCGCAATTCAGCATAAAGGACTGGGAGATCATTCAAGCTGCCCAGGCTCCCGTTGTTGACCCTAGTCGTGTCCGCTGCGGCCAGGTCCGCAAAGAGCTCTGTGTTGGGTGGACGCCTCCTATGCGAATTGGAAGTCAGGTTTCGAATCGTTATTTCGTCGCCATCCGAAAGCTCCTGAGGGAGGATCCCACCGCCCCGTTGCAGATGACAGTAGCGTAGTGAGCATCCTGTTCCTTAGCGCTCTGACAGACTTTATGGCGCCTCCTTGTTGTACATATGCATTGCGCCTAATGGCGTATTCCAATCAATTCCCTTACCAACGATGCTTGCTGCCACGCCACATCCCTGAAGTGGCCGAAGTCAGAGCTCGTGCTTGCCTCTGTCTGCACCAGTGCGTCCAACAGTGAGTTACATACCATACATTCAACGCAAAAGGGATATATCACAATGCCCAACCGCCGGTCCTACCCTTACCCTACCAACATGAAATCCCCACCCTCGAACGAAGCCTGATCAAGACAAATGTCAGGCGGAAGCGTCTCATCCCTATACGAGTGTCGGTACCACCTGACATTCTTCCTAACAAACGCCGCCTCCTGCGGTGTGAACTGCATAATATCGGAAAAGATGTCTAGGATCCTATCCCGGTGCGCGAGGAACTTCTGGACCTCCCGTGGAGGTGAGTCTTCATCGACGAAATAAATGAACGCGTCACGAGGGACGCAGGGAAGTATGGAGGGGACGATGAACGGTTCTCTGAGAGACGGATAATAATATACAGGTGCAATTACTTAGCGAAACTGATTTTTGGATGGAAGTCTTTTTACTTTACTCACGGGCACTGGCGTCTCCGCCAATCCCTCCCGACATGGGATGGGAGCACGATAGCTTCATGACACCCGATCTTCTGCAAGTGGCCGCGCAGATACCAATTGTTAATAAAGAACCCCGCGCCGTAGAATGGTTTCTGGACGCCTGCTGGAATCGACGGTGGCTTGACCGGAAGTTGAGGCGGGACGTCTGGCGGTCCCAGGTCGATGCTCAGTGGGAATGCTTCGTTGTACCTATAGGTGAGTTGAGTGAGGGGAGGAGGTATGTAGGTTGAGTAGGGTGGATGCTTACAGTTCAGGGTATTTCTCGATGAACCGTAGTGTGGCCAATGCCATGGTGGTTAGTCGTTAGATGATGTCTGGCCAGTCCCTGTTTAGGTCAGTGAATGCTCCCCACGAGGCGGCGACAGCACATGTCGGCACGCTCAGGGCCTTCAAAGATCTCCGTAGCCTTCGAAATGTTTAATGAGTTCAGTAGACAGCCGGTCAATAGAACGTGCACCAAACAACCGTTTGGATGAACCGCACAAAAGCGATCTAATTTTAAAGGATAAATCGACAAATAACCTAAGCCGACCTTTGACTTTCCTTCGACAAGCCCTGGGTCTCATTCTCCAAACCAACCTTCCAAACATCCAACCCACCCTCGCCTCCAATACCAATAACACCGCGCTTCCAATCCACCGCCAAAACCTTCTTCGTCCCATCCCACGCCTTGAACGACGAAATCGCCGCCTTCGTGCTCCTCGTATCCCACACCCTAACCACCCCATCATACGCACCCGTCACAACCTGGTAACTCGACTCTGGCGTAGTAGCCACACACGACGGCGTCGCGGGATGAAGGAACGACCCCGCAGCAGCCGACAACGCCTCCTCGGTCCTCAGATCGTACAACGTCATCGTCCTGTCCGTCGACACCGTCAACGCCGTCTGGTTCTCCACATTCACAGCCAGATCCAAGAACGGCTTTTCAGAAGCCGAGATCGTGCGCGTGCACAATCCGCGCTCGACGTCCCATGTGCGTAGCGTCGAGTCGAAGCCGCAGCTCACGCCTTGGGTGGGGGAGAGCCAGGCGACCTTGGAGACACGCCCGATGTGCGATTTGAGGACTGTGAGAGGTGCTTTACGGATGGCGGTGGGCGAGGAAGAGTCACCGGACGAAGGGTCGACTTTGCGTCGTTTTTTGGTACGTTGGTCGGCGGCGGTGATGGTGGGTTCGGGTACTTCGTGTTTGGGTGGGATGGTTGTGTCCCAGACGCCGATGAGGCTGTCCCAGGAGGACGTCAAGAGTTGGGTTCCGGATGGGTTGGCAGCGATAGAGGAGACTGGTGCCGTGTGGAGGTGCAAGCTGGCGAGAACCTTGTTGCTGCTCGAAGACTGCGGCTCTCCGAGTGTGATTTCGCTGATTTGAGCGGTGAGGTCTAGAGAGGATGTCGCGAGTTTGTAGGTGTCGACTGTGGAGGAGATAACTGAGAAGGACGTGATTGGGGCTGAATGCAGAGCTGCGTCAAGCGTAACGTTTTTCGAAAGGTCGAAAGCGCGAAGGTGGCCGTCATAAGCTGTGGTCAAGAAATGTCTACAAAACCGTCAAACTTTCTCCTGCGCCCAGCAACGAGGAACAGACTAACGTTGGGAGTGAACACGAAACAGCAGAAACCCAGCTCTCATGCGGGAACTCTGATAGCCTCTGTGGTGGTAACACAGATTCGATATACTCGATTTCGAGCGTTTCTTCCTAGAATCCATTTGAACAAAATCAATAAAAACACATTCGGTTTCATACGAAAACGAATACGCACCTCTCCAACGCCGTTTTCTGCACACCATTCTGCTATCGTCGTGCGCAGGATTTCTCCCTTGACCAGAAAGTCAAATGGAACAGGTTTGGCGAGACCCAAAGCCTTGTTCACGAGCTGTGAAAGGTGGTACCGTCTCCATGTCGTTGGGATCATATACTTTTGAGACGGCAGTGGATAGGGCGTCTGGGTCGAGAAGACGACCGCCTGGTTGGACGTTGAAGCGTCCATTGTCCTGTATTTCGTGGTTTTGAACACAGTTGATCAGTAAAATGCCAGGGAAGCGCCCAAGGATTGGGTATTCGAGGAGGAGGAAGACAAGGAATTTTTGGAATTTGGAAACTGAACGCGCTGATGATGGGTTTGATCGCATTAGGTAAGCACAACTGGCGGGGACTTGGCGGGCGCTTCTGAGCTCGCGTTCGCCTCAAGCCTTGTATCCACCCGCACCGGTGCATCCAAGCGATAGAGCAAGTCATGGGCAAGGGCAGAGATAATATATACAGAGATGCCCCACTATCGCGCTAGAGTTATCCCGCTGAATCTTGGTGTAGACTCATGTCCAATCGTCGAAAGATTCATCGCAGAGAATTACTTCAGGTGGAAGCTCCCGATATTCAGGCGTAAACCGCTGCCACTTGACATTCCTTCGAACAAACGCCGCCTCCTGCGAGGATAAGCGCATCATATTGCAAAAGTGGTCCAGGATCTTATCCCGGTGCGTGAGGAATTTCTGCATATCAAAAGTACGACGGGCTTTGTTTAATCCTCGCCCAGTTCTATACGATTTTTCGTTTAAATGACAGATGGTTTAATTGAAGACATTTAAACACAAGTACTCTAAAGGATAGGCACGATGAATAGGGTATGCTTTTAAACGAACAATTAATGAACGTTTAAATGAAGGCAAAGAGTCAAAATGGGTCAAACAATGAATAGGGTATGCTTTTAAACGACCAATTAATGATCGTTTAAAGGAAGGCAAGAGGAGGTCAAAACGGCTGAAGAGGGCGCGTTTAAACGGCATGAAGGGATAGCCAAAATCGAAAAAGATGTGTTTAAACGGGTATCACCGAGAAAGGAAGGGAGGGAGAATAGATAAGGTTTGTTTAAAAGGAAGCAAGAGAGCGTTTAATCATCGCGATTAAACGGTGAAACGTGGTACAAGGAGAGAAGAAGACAAACAAAGTCGGTTAAGGGGCGAACAGCGCTATCCCGATTAAACACGGCGACGCTTTCCCTGCGTCTGGGGGTTCTCGGGCTCAGATTCCGCGATGCTATAAATCAATATGTGCATCAGGAAGGAAAACGATATGCAAACTAAGCTAACATACCGTTTCTTGGAGAAAGGAACGACGGGGCCACCTGGTAAGCTCCAACCTGGTCTAAAAGGGAGTAGGTCAACCAGGTCCATTCACAACATGTTTGCTCATCATGACTCTTGCATTCAGCAACCCTAGGAAGCACATCAACGTTCGATCTCCCCCTCGAACCAGCGGCGAGTCAACGTGTGTTTTCCAGGCCGCGATGTACGCGAGCGGCGACAGAGGGAGGGATAGAGACGATGACGGTTGTGGACCCTGACTCGACCAGCAAGGCTGGTGTAGACCTTGTCATCCCGCGCGCCAAGGACCTGGATTAAGGTGCGACGGGCGCTTAAAAGGTGAACAGGGTGCCTAGGCTCAGAATTGCCTGTACCGTTGCGTCCAGCAAAGGGGATAGAGCAATCCACGAGGTTCTACTTCCCGCAAAGAGAATGCTAGATACTGCACGAGTATATACTATCCAGATTTCCATCAGATGAAACTTCGCTTGCACAGGTACTACAGTCCAATGATATGCAATTCCTTTCCAGTCCCATGTGGTAAACTGCACTGGCACTCCCCTTTTAGACGCTCAGATCCATCCCTACAGACCAAAATGAACAAAAGGAACCCAGCGCTTATAGCTACGCCCACGCTTCCGAAGCTCCTTCACGGCCATTTGAAGAGCCTCCGCGGAGTCTCGCACATCAAAATTTCGAAATCCACCTCCTCCCATTTCCAACGCCTCTCCTTCACTATACCCGTACCTACCCTCTTTTCCAAACATATGGCGATAAAATGTTTCCGCCATGAGAGGCGCATCTTCATCTGCCATCCGCCTATTTTCCGCACCGAAAGAGGGATCAAACCGGGTGAAAAACCACCATATAGAATGTATAAAGAAATCGCTACATACCACATGGTCCCCACAACACTCGAGAATCCCGCAAACATCATCGTGCCAACGAGATGCATCGCTGATCCGGCTGCTCCACGTCTCCTCGCGCTGTGTCGCAAGCGCTCAAATACGCCAAGCGCTCTCTCGCACCATTGGATCCATCAGCTCGGACCTGGAAGAGATCGGTCATGGTGAGCTTTCCTCCACTAAGCATCAGGTGACTCTCCAGTGGATTCTCGAGGTTCTGGACTCCGTGGCATCCGAAATGCGCGATATCGACCCCCTGGTGGAGCTCTTCTAACACAGCGGCAGGTGAGGTGGGTGATTCGGACGTGCCGACTTGGGCGATGAGGTCCAGGCGCGATAAATTTGCCTCAGAGGGACTTGATGTCGATGAACAAGACTCCATCCGGGCTTCCCAAATCGAGTTTTGAAGTGACTCGAGTTCAGCTGGGATTTTAGGCAATTTCAGGTGGGGATGATCTGGTACCTCTTCCTGCATGACGGCAAGTACTCTAGGTGCGGAGCTCTCGCCGACGGGTTCTGACCTCGGACGCAAAAGGTCAGAGAGGTTGGTGCAATAGGAGGGCGTGGCAAAGTCGGAGAGACAGGTGGGTTGGCTCCCAGAATACAGTCCGGCAGCGTGGATGGGAAGTCGAATGAATGGGCCTGTAGGAAGCCACCACATTCGTGGGGGGTTCTCCGTCTGAAACGAATGGAATTCAGCTCTGAATACCAGGCCTTGATAGAGAGAAATTGATACCTTGTTCTTCAGGTCCAGTGCCTCAAGAATGGGATGAGCGATGGACGTCCAAAGAACTCCAAGGACGGTCTCAAACCTCTGATCTTGTGAGCCTCTCAATCCAGTAATGCGTGAGCTCCCCGGAAGGATTTTCCGAACGTCTCTGTAAAGCCCCTCGAGCTTCTCTTCCTCTTCCATCCCATAGTGCCTCGAACAAACGCTCCCGCCTCCGACGATGGATTGAATGGCATCACCCAACATGACCACTTTCCTATACGAGATCTTGGAAAGCGGGATGTGGATGAGTCCAGTTGACGCTCGAAGTGCCAGAGCATCACATCCACGTTCGTGTGCGATGAGGATAACCACTGGGCCGTTGCACGCTGCCTGTCGGAGACGACTGAACTCTAGGGGCTTCATAAACTCTTCGAACCCTTCCATCTTCCTGACCTCCCTCATCACCGCGTCGAACTCTTCTGCGATCGTGAATTGTTCATATTCTCCTTGGGTGTTTGTCGCATTATTTGGATTGGGCCCTCGAAGAACGCCTTGCTCGAGAGAACGAGACAGCCACTGCAGCCGCTCCGCCAACTCCGGATTAACAGCGGCCAGATCGTCGATTGGCGTTCTGAGGTTGAGCGAGAGCGTCCAGAACATTGACTGCACTGCGCATAACAGTGTGACAGCCTCTTCGAGCTCGCCCAGCTCGATGGCCACCCTTGCTGCGGTTGCCCCCAGCCCTCTGCTATGGAGCAGGATGTTCCTTCTTGACGCCATGTTTTTGGAGAAGGGGATGAGGCGGGGAAGAAGGGAGACGGCGTGTCGGTATGCTGTGAGGGCCCAATGATGCTGATCGCGGTTTTTCTCGAGGGCAAAGGCTGCCCAGGCAAGTGTTGTACGGAACCGTTCGAGTGTAACTCCAGTTGGGTACGTACACGCCTGCTGAAAGGCATCCAACGCCCGGGCGAGATCGTTCGGGTCCCGGAGATGATTATACCTTGCCTGGTATGCGTAGGCCATGGTACGGAGAGGATAGAAGCGCTCGGTGTGCGGAGAAGGCTTCAAAGCGAGCGCCTTCTGCACTAGCTGCGTTGCTTCTTCATGTGCTCCCTCGTCGTACTCGACTTCCAGACGGGAGATAAGGGCTCGCGCGAGGTTGTTGAGTGTAAGCCACTTGATGACGGGTTCTCCTTGAGTCGGAGTAAGTAGAGCCTCTCGAGAGAATGCTATACTATCCTCCAGATCTTTCTTCGAACGTGTCTTTTCGTAGCGGAGCCACAAGGCATAGCCGAGGTTGTTCAATGTGGACCAGGTACCTTCCCTATTGGGAATGATAAGGGCGCGTTGATGCAGTGAAATGGATTCATCGAGGTTGGAGAGGGAATTCGAAGGGTCGTGGTACGACTGTTGCAGAGTCGATGCCAGTGCGTGGAGCGCGAATTGGTAGCCTTCAGCGTTCTCGGGTGATGTGCTCTCGAGAGCTTGGCGCTGAAAGTTAATTCACTCCTCTAAATCTGCGCTATCTCCCAGTAGGCGATACCTCGCGCTGAGACATCGTGAAAGACTGGAAAGAATAGAAGGCCGGGTGGGACTCTGGTATAACCTGGCATCCGGATTAGTGAACGGCTCGAGATTTCGGCGTTGCACCGCGATTGCCTCCTCCAAATGCGAAAGGGACCCTCGTACATGGAATAGGCGCTCCAGTGCTCGGGCTAATTGGCTCAGGGAGCTGACCCAGGCAAAGAGAGGCGTTCCAAACACCACTTCTTCTACGTCATAGATCTCGGGAGGAGGCAACGAGGATACCGCCTCCCGTCCAACCTCAACAGCTTCTTCGAGACGGCTATCGTCTCTTGTTTCGTCAAAAAGCGCGTCCAGAACACCAGCAAGATTGCGCAGAGAGTAGATCCGAGACGGATGGGGCGCAGGACGCAGTTCCAGTGCCTGTCGATGGAGTGAAATGGATTGTACAAGATGATCTAGTTCCCTGGTACCACGAAACCGCAAGTGGTGGAGTGCGGCGACAAGGCTGAACAGTGAAGATGGGTCATCTTTGTACCGGCGCAGCTGGAAGGCGAATGGCAGGACCGAGTGGAAGAGGGATAACGCTTCGTCGATGGGGTTCACAGCGGGCGGTGGCCTGTAGGTGTTGGTGAGAAGGCTCATGGCACGCTGATGGCGGGCTTCCGCGAGGACTAAGGCGGTATTGGGCCTGTTGAAAGGCGTCGATGTGACCGTTGGCGATTGAGAAAACATTCCAACTTCTGAAAGGGGTGGATGGAGGCAACAGAAACGACGAATCCTTAAGAGAGACACTCTTTTCAGAGACACCTATATCTGGGGTTTTGGTTCCCACTCCAGGCTGTGCAGTAACAGAATTCAATCACTACCAGCATCTACTAAGGACATAGATGACAATCACTGTGGCGTTGGACTTCTGGGCGTTCCCCACACTGTACTTATTTCTCCTATGATGAAGCCTCGATACACAAATAAACGAAAGCGTTTCACTATGTGAGAAGTTCTTCTGTAATAGACGGGCTGAAATCGCTACCTAATGCCGATACCGATCACCAATTCATGCCAGGAGCTACAGGGGTCAAAGAAAGCCTGTCTTCTTTTTCTTCTCGATTCCAAGATTGTTGTCAGTTCACTTCCACGCGCAAGCCAAGATACTAGTAGGTAATGGCCTTATTCCGATGGCACTGAGATTTGACTGGATGAGAGAAGGGGCGCTGGTAAACCATCACGAGAAGGGGTGGACGTGAGATGATAAGTAAATCATTCATAGGTTGGACACGATTTTTGATCAAGTCGCCAGGTTGGCAAATCGCCGCACGATGAGTACTCAATCTATCAGCCGTTTCCCACTGTCCTGAGGAGTGTCCTCCACGGGTTTGGTTCGATTGCATCTCTACACAGGATGGAGACTCCAGCTGTACCACAACCGTCTTACTCTCCTTCGGGAATGGAATCACAGAGAGGCGCTCCGGCGGGCCTTCCTTCTTCCCCACTGGGATGGCAGACCGGCCAAGGCGGTACGATCGCGGCAGGAGAGGCAGTCGGAACCGGTACCTCAACGGTCGTCGAAACCGCGTCGCAGTTTGGCACCATAGTCGCTGGTTCAGGTCCATATTGAAGGGGGTTGCACCCTGGAAGCTTATCGAGATCTGTAGAGCCCGTCCGTTAGGACACCTAGGTACTCCAAGGAGAAAAGGAAGAAAGGAGTATGTAAACTGACATTGGCCTTCAGTGATTTCAGGTACTTTGGCGGGAAGGCGGCAGGTGTTCATTCGGTTCATGTCTTGGACTGTGAGAGCGGGGCAGTTGGTTGGGATGCCTTCGCCACCTAGGCAGACGTCCATGGCGCGCTGGAGGGAGTCGCCTTCCCATCCGAAGATGTAATCGGCGTGTTGGCCGTATCCGTGCCTACCGTAGATCAGTAAAATCGAATGACGAGTTTGAAATTCGTGGCTTACGGGTCTCCCATGCTAAAGACGAAAGGCTGGGTGCCGTCTTTGGGCCAGAGAGACGCATCGTTGAATGGGCGTGTATCCCATACAATTTCCAAAAAGAGGATGGGGGTCCGGACAGGGTGTGTGCTGGGACAATCGGGTGCAAAGAAACCGCCGATTGGGTGCGCCATGTGGCTCTAGCGGGTGGAATAGCTCTGTCGTAGGAAATTCAAGTGTACCAGTGGAGAAACGGCGCACCTCATGATCGGGACTATCCAAATTAACTCCATCCCAGCACGACGGGAAGTAGATGTTCGAACGAATACCTCCCGAGCAAGTGCGGTTGGGAAACTCGAATGTGTCGTCTGGGTATCCAGGGACGTTGTCCCCCACTTCAGCGCCTTGGAAGCATCGGAAGGTTGTAGCAATCGCTTCGAGGCTCCCCGGTGGAAGGTCGTTACGTCGGCGGTTGGGGTCTCCAACTCGCATGCGGAAGCCCTATCTCGCAAGAAGCCGTTAGAATGACCATTGAAAAGAATAACAGTATGGAAATTGTACCTTTGGGAAGACAGTGAACTCTGTGCCCCGAGGTTGGAAATAGTACACCGTCATTCCTCCGGATTGGAGGCCAGGTCCTGTGTTGTGATTTGCCATTTGAGGGACCTGTTAGAAAGACGGTAGGCGTCGATCGTTCGCATCGTCGAGGAAGGACCTTCACGCACTCGAAGGAATGTTCCATTTGGGTGCTTGAAGTAGAGAACAGCAGTCCAATAGTTGGACTTGTCCTCGACGAAGCGACAGGTGGTACAGGTCGCTAGCTCCGCTATATCCCCATGGTCAGGGTTCATATCGATGTCGAATCTACAACGGATGAGTACTCTTGGTCGCTCATTGTGCGAGAGACTGGATCATACGCATTCTGTGGGTATAGCGAGTGAGAAAAATATTGGGAAACGACCTCGTAAACTGTCGTCGACTTACCCCTCCGACAATCTGGTGAAGATGAGGCGAGACTTCTCCAGGCGTTACAAGGCTATAAATGCAGTAAGACGAAAGCGATGTCAAGTAGGTATGTGCCGTGAAACATACGGATCGAATCGTTCAGTCACCAGCTCAGAGCACGGTAAACGAAGTTGTGCAAGGACAGGGGCGCTAAGGCCCACGAACAGTAGGAAAGCTGAGATCATCTCTGCGGGGTAGAATGTCAGAGAGCCTTCCACGTTATTTAGCTTTTTCGTCAGCCCAGCGATGCGAAGCTGAGTTTAGAAGTTCAGAAGCGATTGACTTAATCGTTTCAATTCGTGGAAGACAGTTGGTGGCCACTTCGAAGACGGTGGAACGCGAGGTTTAACCGCCAGGGTTGTGAATTGGCTTCGTAGGGGTATCAAGGCGTTGAGCGGGTTACAAGGTATACAGAGTTCGAAGCGGCCATAGCTCAACTGGTGAATAGTTTCTCAGAGTGGAGGCAAGGTGGACGTGACACTGCGACAGCTGGTAACCGGTTGGAGTCGAGGCTGTAGCCAAGCAACTCGTGTCAGGTGACTAGAGATCATGCATTTCTCACATGATCGGTTATCGCGCCGCGTTTCAATTTGGATTTCAAATTGCTCGACCTCCAAGCTCTTGGATGGAGCGACCATGGCGACCTCGGAACTTATTCTAAAATACACTAAAGAGTGAGTTTTACACGGTCTTCTATTGACTCTCTAGCCCAGCTCACTGTATCATTAGGTTCGACGACGCATTCCCGCCCACATTCGAGTTCGGAAGTCCATGGTCTGCCTCCATTTCCTACCAAACCCTTTCGATACCGGGCGTCCACAGGAAGATCCGTAGCCCGCTATACATGGCCGGTTTCTACATCTCGACGCGGTATTTCATTAACCTTCTCAAGGACAGGCTCGACTGGCACGACCCTATCATGTTTTCCACTCCCATCGGTGCCGAGTGGGAAAGGCGTGGTGAACCGTGAGTGACCGGATGGCATTTGGCTCGACAAACTCTCATTTACCAAACCTCTTCCATGTCACAGAAAACCGTTCGTCTTCCCGAAAGTGATGACGCGCTCGTTCTCCGAGTTCATCGTCTTTTTCGTCACGTCTGAATGTCCCACCGAGAGGATCCAGGAATTCGTAGACAACCGGGAGGCCATTATGTCGCTCATTTTCGATATTGTCAAGTTTACTCCGGAAGAGGCTGACTTCATTCGGAAGAATTTGAAGTGGCAGCGATACTCGTTCGAAGATAGGGCACTCCCAGATGATAGATGTCTTACTTATCGTTCCCTCGTCAAGAACTCGAGTGATACTTAATTGCTTTTTAATTCATATCGTTAGGAACTCCTGAATTGGCGCCTCTTGATGAACTATCTCTTCTCTTCCTGAATTTTCGTGAGCTCCAAAAGATTCATCACCCGCAGATCGATACGTGCCTGCAACCGCTCTCTGGCTCTCGCTGGCTGGCCCCAGGGTGATAGCATTGAAGCTCCGCCTCAAATAGAAGGCTTCGGTTGCCGTGCCGATCAGGGTGCTCTTGTTCCAAACGGTCACTACTGTTGCGTTGAACGTTTACTTTAGATTCGTTTTGGTCAAATCAAATTGTAAGTCATAGAACGAAACACAAACTGCAGGGAGCTAACGACTAAAATTAATCAGAAAATGATGATCTGGTTCGTGGAGCACCACCCCATCTCTCGCAACGTATCTATGTGAACAGTTAGTTCGCCATTGCATGGATTCCGATGATAAGGGCTTACCTTTGACACTCTGTTCCATGGATGGCGGTCCACAAATGCAGACAATACCGCCTTCCGATGGTTCTGGGAGGTATTTCACTAGCATCTCCCTTGTAATCCGCCCCGTTGACTGGCTCCAGCCATCAGGAAGAGGTCGACCTGTCAACGAGTAGCGCAGCTGAAGACGATCTGGGTATTTCTCCAGGAGGTCGTCCAGCTCTGCCTTGCAGAGTATGTCCTCGAAATGCCGGTTCACGTCCAGAACCCAAACCTTGGTCGTTGTGTCGCGAGAGTCCTCGAAGATACCCCTGAGAACTTGCAGAATAGGGGTGATACCACTGCCAGCGCAGACCATACCGACCTGACCGACAGAATGCTCCTTGCCGTGGATGGACGCTCTTGCAGATCCAAGCCAAGTGAAGTGCCCGATGGGGCCTTTGAGGTCGACGACATCGCCCTCCTCGAGCTCGGCGAAGCCGAGCGTCATCCTTCCTCCGAGAGGGTATTCGTTGCATGGATAGTAGATCCTATTCTATCGGTGAGACTACCTAAACCAACATACTGAATTCAGACTTACTTGACCAGCATGTCGATGAACCCCTTATCGACGTCCCTCGATAAGGGCGTGTAAGCCCTTTGGACCAACTCCCCATCGGCTACCTTCTTCCCGTCCCTCTCCACTTTCCGCTTCAACCTCACGTACACATGCTGCCCAGTTGGTAGACCGAGTGTCTGGTCAGGGGAATCTAGCGCGAACCGGAAGATCTTGGAGTCCCTGGACACGGTGGTGGTACTGACCAACCGAACAGCCTTCCATTGCTTGGGGTGCAAGAAGATAGTAGGGTCGGAAGCTTCAAGCTTCGACTCTTCGACCAGTGATCCGACCAGCGTTCCGATATGGTACTCCTCCAGCTTCCTTTTCGCATCAGCACTGTGGATGGCGATGAAGTCCTCGGTAGCGTCATCTCCAGCTACGAGGGTTATGGACTGGGGACCACCTGGGTGCTCGTTGAGATACTCAGTTGCGTCATATACCTGAAAATGTCAGGACCTGGGACTCAAGCGTTTACATGAAGACCCACCTCTCCTCGGACGACGAACCAAGGTGTCTCATCGTTGGCGTGGGCAGCGAGCTCTTCCAATGTAATCTTGCGGGTGACACCTGGCTTGGTCATCTTCACTTCTTCAACTGGTTCAGCTGGGTTCTCAGCGACTGAGGACGCAGATCTCTTTGGATTGATCTCGGGCTTTGAAGGATCTTGCCCGGCATCCTTTAATCGTTGCATCCACCCTCCAGGTTGTGTTCCTGCCACTACTCGACGTCAGTGACAACCTTCCTGACACATGAACGACTCTCACTGGTTGGATGCTCGAACTTCAAGGACCCATCTTCGAGGTGATGGATACACACGCGGAACCACCTGGGAATGTGAGATACGTCGTTTTCCAGCTTATCGACTTCGTTTACTCACCAATTGTTCATCATCCCAGTAGCATTCCAATACATGTCCCGCGGCTGCAACGCAAGACTCTCGTCCATCGCTCGAACTGTTATGGATGATGCACTCTTCAACACTTCCACTCCCACCTCGAACGACCAGAAGCACCAGCAGAAGGATTGGTCGCTTTCGGTGAGGTCCAAGGTTCCGTATATGCTATCGTCGTAGGGGACATCGCGGAAGAGGTCTTCGAGGTAGTGAATCTGGGCGAGCTCCCAGGTCGTTCCTTCGTCGAAGGAGATCTCGACTCGGGTCACACGCCTCCCTCCACCGGCATATGCGTACCCTCTCAAAGTGTACTGATCCGTACTGGCGACTTGAAGGACTTCGTCATGGTCAGGGCAAGCTATCGCGCTGTTGACATTTAGGTCACGGATTATGTACCTATCCCAATATCAGCCACACTGTCGGCCAACTTCCGGGAAGATCGCGTTACCTGGGATCGTACCACCAGTCCTTCTCTGCTCGTGCTCTATCTGGACCTAATGGCATAGGGAGGACCTTGTTGTCGTGGAAATGGAGATGATGCTGGGATTCTTGGCGCGAGAGCTCAATCTTGCGGAGCCACTTGACCGAGCGACCACCGATCTGACCTGGGACGACGAGGCGGATGGGGAAGCCATGATCAGGCTCAAGGCTGGGTTTGATATCCATTAGCGCCGGACCTCGTGAACGACTGGAAGTACTCACGGAAGCCCATTCATCGCCCACGCCAGCATCATACCCTTTCGTCGATCCCTTGCCCAACTAAGCAACTGACTACAAACACATCAATTAGTTCGCACCACGCTTAAATCCAAAACGCCAAAATCTCAATTCAACCCACCTCGTTCCGTACGGTCCGTTAGGCAAATTATCTCCACCTTCGAAAATGACATGTTTCGCTCCCTTTTGGGGTTGCACGAACTCGAGCACGTCGGAGAGACGCACGCCCGTGAAGAGTGCTGTGGAGAGTCCCGCTGCACCCCAGGAGAATCCAAGGGACTTCTGGACGACGTTTTGCTCTTTGCGCCTGTTACCTGCGCAGACGAGCGTGATGGGTATTGTGACGACTTCGAACATGCTTCGGAGGTCGTTGAGGCTGAATGTGACGGGGTTTTGGCAGAGGCTGTGTCGAACTGTGTCAGTTCGGGGTCATGGTCAGGGTTGTCTGATGCGACGAGCGCTTACCCGCTAATCTCGACCTTCCACTCGCGAGCGGTGGGTTCGTCGACCATGGGGACCGCGCCGTGGTTTCGGACGAAGAAGAGGTTGCTGGGTGTGAAGAACCCGTAGGAGTATAGGTCCTTCAGGCGAGCTTCGGCGTTGAAGGGGTGCTTTCCGGTAAGTCTGACCATTCTGCTGTCTCGAGGCACCCATTCGTCGGGAGTTCCTCTGAAGTCGAAGTATCGTCAATGTGTGTATTCAACGAAAGGAAGGGGAAATCGATTTACTTGTCCTGCTGATCGATAACTCTGCAGACCTCTTCCTGTGGAAGGGATGGGTAGGGCAGGGTGTCTGGAAGGGGACGAGCCTTGAGGGACTTGGCATCTTTAGTGTCCACGATGGTCGCAGGAAAGAATGGCTCGGGGAGGTGAGCGTCAGTCGCTTTACCGAGGTCGAATGAATTCGACAACTCTGTTGCAGGAGAGGTAATACCAGACGACGTGAAGGGAGAGCTCTCTCCAGATCGGTTGCTCCCATTGCTGAGATCATCGGACGAAGAGGAGCTCTTGCCGGTGTGAGTATTGAGACGCATTCTCGAGGCAAGGTCAGCCAGTGGGGTGAACATAATTAATGGACCTTGGGGTGACTAGAGACTTTGGGGATCGTTTTGTGGGAGGTTAAGCAATGGAACCTGGGGCTGGACGGGGTGCGTAAGAAAGAAACGATAACTGGAGTATTACATAGCGAGCATAGTGTGACTGATTGTCATTCCAAACCGGATCAACCTCTGCCTCGGCAAAGAGACTCAAGAAAAAGAACGGAAACGAACGTGCCGTCCTAGGGCGCTGATTACAGTCATTTCCGCAATCTACTTCGTCACAGTCCAACCTCGCCACCTCCACTGTTCCAGAAACAAGAAGCGACAACTTGAATTGCTACCAGGTGTAAGCAAACTCCATTTGAAACTTGAATCTGCAGATTCCGCTGATATCGCGAAAGGATTAAAGGACCCTAGATAACGAAGAGAATGGCGCCGGGACCAAGATAAGTGCTATTATTGTCGAGAACTTGCACTGACCGGAGAGCGCGTGTATGCACTGATCATCCCTAAACATAGGACATACCGTAACCTCGCTACTTATCATATGTGCTCGTCCGAGCCGTTCCCGTCTCTTTCTATTAATACCGTGGGTTTGGTGGGATAGTGGCGTTTCTCCGCGAAAACGTCGAGCTTTATTCCATTCCCTGTACATATCTATCTTTGACTCAAGAGATAAGAACGTTGTGTGTAGGGCGAGTCTGTAGGCCCACATCACACGCACAGACACACACCCGATTGGGAAGTGGGTAGGTTTTTTCTCACCTCCGTGATTGGCGCGATAAACAAGAAGCAATATTGTTTCCTTTTGGAGGAGGTCGTTGACCGGCGTCTGGAGTGTCACCCCGTATCTCGCCTTTCACGAGCTTAGCATAATAGAGCGGTGAGTGGTAGATGGATAACAGTCCTTGGGATGATAAGGTATTTACATACAGAGTACTACGTAGGGGTGCAAGTATAGCTCTGCTTCCATTGTGTGCAGACTTTATCTAAGCGCCCAGCGTCGTTGCTAGGACTGGGCCAGATAGTGGGAGCGTGCGCGATAAGAAATATTTGGCATGGGAAGGAAAGTCGTCGTTGTGTATTAGGTAACTATCTATGAAGTCGTGTCGCCGAACCAAGTAACAAGTGCATTCAAGATCTAGAATTCTGGCACTGGAACAGGAATCAAGACAAGGTTCAGAACGAGACAGATTATACCCATGATCCACCACGCTTTTCCTTGTTCAGGCTGGAACCTGAAGACGAGTGCAAAGATGATACCCCCAAGGTTTCCGAAGGAGCCTACAATACCCGACATCACGCCCTGGAGAACAACAGTCAATGAAAGAGCAAGGAATTAGCATTATGACCGACGGAAAGACACCGAATTTCAAAATAATTTCGAAGGACGTACGTTATTGTAAGCATTGCAATGTGGGACGAGCGCGAAATTGGCGCCGTTGCCGAGTTCAGAGAATATGGCGGCCACGGAGAAGACTCCCATGATCACAGCGACTGTCGGGAAAATATGTATATCGACTCGTCAGCACGATAGATAAGATTATTAGCTCTTAGATAGAAGACACTTACGGTCAGGGATTTCAGGCTCTTTGTAGTCAGCGAGGTAGAAACCTCCGGCGATGGTGGATACACCCATAATTACACCGCAAATCAAAGTCCACCATTTCTTCCCCTTCGTCCCGAACTTCCGGTATACGACGTCCCCGATGTAACCGCCAAGGGGACGGGTAACGAGATTCAGGAATCCGCTGGTGTCGGTTTGAGTCGGTCATCAAAGCCGGAGGATGGAAAGAAATAGGTACGCACAACACGGAGGTGTAGAAACCCGCTGTCTCTTGATCAAAGCCGTCGATCCGTTCGTTGAAGATCTCCCAGAGCACATCGGCCATTTTGGCGTCTAGAGCGAGCTCGAAGCCAAACGTTGTCAGGTATGCGAGGGCGGGGAGCCATGTTAGAGGGTTGGTGAGAATCTTCATTGCACTCGCGAATGTCAGGTTCTGGTTGACTGCTACGTCGACCGTGGACTGGATGACGGGAGCCCTGGCCTTTGGTGATGGTTCGTCGTCCTGGACTTCATGAACGTTGACCTCGATCTGGGAGCCCTTCTTCTCAAGATCCTTTTCTTTCGTCGGGTGTTTCTCGTCGGAGAACTGAGTGCCCTCCCCGTCCGCCATATTGATGGCGGGAATGTTGTGGCGTTCAGACCACTTGCCTGCGGGATGGTCTTGACCGAAGACCAAAGTCATCGCAGCGACAGTGAGCAGAACGGGTGCACTGAAGCATTCGCAATTAGGAAGGAAACTGGTTTCAGTGAATCGAGGACTTACGGAACTGAGGCGAAGGAAACTCGCCAGGCAACGTGTTCGGTAAGGCCCGCCTGGCGGAGTGCCGTATAGAGCGAAGTCATGATCGCAAATGTAGCACCACCACTAAGTTATGGAAAAACCTTCAGCAACCTTTAACGATTAATGAAAACCTAACATTAACCTACCCCATATTACCTGAAAAAGCAGCAACATCAGTGGAACGGAACATCACCTCTAACGAGAGGAGAAAGAATTCTTACCCCATCCTCCAACCAGTGCGTTAGCCGTTCCAACGCAGTTCTTGTCAAAGAACGCCGACGTCCACGCTTGACAGGGTACGAATGTTCCACCCAGAATACCGATGAAGAAGCGGATAACATAGAGCGTGGTAGCGTTGTGCGCTGTACCCGCCAATCCGGATGGAATGGCGCCCAAGATCAAAAGCCATGCCATGACTTTGCGGGGACCGTATCGATCGACTAGAGGGCCGACGGCGAATCGAACGCCGAGAGTGGCTAGGAGGGCGACGATGTTGGAGTTGGCGACTTCGGCATGGGAGAGCTTGAGGTCGTTTTTGATCGCTTCTGGGATTAGTGGAGGGAATGCAAACCATGATAGGAATGCGACGAAGAAGCCGACTGAAAAAATTGATCAGGACGGGTTGTAGGGAAGGGGGGAAGGAACACTCACGCCAGCTAAGATGGAAGGATTGAGCGTATGGGTCGCGTAGATTGAAGAAAGGAATCGTGTAGCTCTTGAGGTTGACGGGGTTGACGATGGCCGGTCGCCACAGGTGCGACCATTCAAAGGGTGGTGGGCTATTAGAGAACGACATGATCAGAGTTTTCCGGTGGAGAGTCAGCTCTGCAGATAGCGCTTTTCTTGTCCCGAGTCTGAATCCTTGGTTTTAAACCAGACCTTCCCGTTGAGCCAGTTTCCATTTTTGTCAAGTACCAAGCGGGAACGAGGATCGTGTGCCCCAACTGCCAAACCAAGAAAAACCAATCCGAAGAGCAAGCCATAACCCTAGGACTGATATGTGAATTGCTTCGAGGTTGAACCCTGTGATAGCACTAGTAGTTGAAATAACTCGAGTCTGAACTTGGGCTGCTGGGCGGTGGAGATAGATACTTTTACTCCGTTGAATAGCCGTGCGAGTGGAGTCGTCCTGCCTAGTCCTATACTATAGTAACCGCCATTGACCAGATTCCGGGCGAGCTTATCTCAAACACGAAAGATAAGAGAAAATAGAACCGTCGAGGGTGTCGGGATCCAATTCGGGAGCCAACGATATGTGCCGTGACGGAGGGAGAGAAGCGTCGTTTCGTAAAGCGAAACGTGCCGGCATTGCTTGTTATCTCTGACTTCTATGAGATAGTAGGGCAGTGCTTATCCTGATAGTAGTACGACCAGAAAATCCGGGGAAGATGGTATTGCTTGGCCAATGGAATTTGGTTTGGTTGAGGTTGAGGGTGTCGTCGGTTCATAAGTAAGCCCGAAATGCAGAGATACCACGGAAAGAGAGAGCACGGACTAGAGGATAAGAATGCCTGGCAAAGCCACCGAGTCGGATATCGTGGACGGATTCTGCGGAGAAATCAGGTTTTGCCACCAGGGTGTCGTTGGGCAGCGTCGCCTTGCGCGGTTGGACAGTTGCGCCCAAGAAACTAGTACTCCGAGAGTTTAATGGCCAGCCCTCGCTACCCAGACCAGGTAGACCATGAACATGGGGCAGGGTGTGTCACTTTGTGCGCCCGCCACGGTCCGTGGTGGCTGCCAGCCAGTCATGATCATGGAACTTCGGATTTTTTCGTGCGACCTCGCCGGTTCACACGACGGGAAGATTAGGGCCGAGATGCCGTTTACGGCATTTTCCGATTAAACGCCAGCCGCCTTCTGAATCTTCCTTCAACCCCCTTTTCCTTTCGCAGCTTTCAAAGAAAACTCTGTTGATCTTCCCCACTCCACTTGCCTGACAGATCAGGTATGTATGTAAGGCAGATACGATACCAGATACCAGATACCAGATAACCAGATACCAGATACCAGATGCAACTCGAAGGGTCTTATCTTTCGAAGATGTATCTGTGCCCAAGCTAAATGGGTATGCATATGGCACGCCAAATCCATTCGATGCGATTGGGTTGAGCCTAAAGAGACCCCAGGACGTCACCGAAGAGCGGCGCTATGGCGATCTATCCAGTACTTGGGAAAGAAAAATCAGGACTCGTTGGGGAAGGGTAGGGTTGAACGTTCGTTTTCTTTTGGACGTGAACTAGACCCCCCGCAAGGAAGGCTTCTTGACGTTCTTTAAACAGCGCGCTAGACCTCTCTCTCTCTCTCTAACACTTCACTCGTACACTTGAAGATCCTTCAGAATGTCAGCCACCTCGGGTGAGTTCATGACCTTTGTGTACCACGGGTGTGCTGGGGTTGGAGCTTATAGTTGATGCTGCAGAACAATCCAACAATTGCGTGGAGACGACTGTAAATGCGAACGGTATGTACGCTCTAACCTGTGGATGGGTCCACGCTTACCTCTGTGAGGGGACAGGCATGAACGGCCATGGACCTTTCACCAATGGTGTCAATGGCCACGAACACTTGGCGGACGGCGCCAATGGCCATGAATCCTCGATGAACGGCGTCAACGGCCATGGACCTGTGGCGAATGGTCTCAACGGTTCGTCACTTGTGAAAGACGAAGGGAAGGCTGTAGACTGACCTCTTTCGACAGGGCACGACCATGGGTTGACTGATAGTTTGAAGACCATCGTTGACGACGCTCCTCCGGGGAAGGAGACTATCTTCGTCGGTGGGTCCCCCGCATGACTGTCCAGAAATAGTGCTGACGCGCGCTATAGTTGGACTTGGAATGGTCGGAATAGGTTCGCTCTTTTTGGATTTCCAGCGGGAAATAGGAGGTTTAATACCTTAATGTCAGCATTCATTGAAAAACTGCTCAACCTGGACGACAAAAATAAATATTTCATCGTGACTTGTGGGGAAGAGCGACACTTCGCGTATAACCGCGTTGGGTGAGCATATTTTTGGACTGGACTTTGTCTAATTCTGACCCATGTTTGAACAGTTTGACCGAATATTTCGAACATCGGAATGCAAGCCTGCCTTCTCGTCTTACTCATCCTCTTTCTCATAATGTCAACAGGTTGAGAATCTCTACCTGAACCCTCCCTCGTGGTACGCGGAGCAACAGCCCGATCGGTTCAGTTACCACTTGGAGGAACAAGTCCTCTCCATCTCACCCGAAGACCATCTCGTTCACACCAGCAAAAACCGCTCGTTCAAGTATGACAAATGTGTCATCGCGACCGGTTCACGCGCAGATCTACCACCCTACATCTCCGCCGACACAGCGGAGAAGACCAAGGGCGTTTTCGTGTACCGAAATATCGCAGACTTGGACGGAATCATCTCGTACGCGGAGAAACCTGAGGTCAAGCGTGCTGTCGTTGTTGGTGGTGGGTTGCTCGGCTTGGAGGCGGCAAAGGCTGTCTACGACATGCCTTCGTAAGTTCGAGAAATCTTTCTTGGGCGCTTCTTTTTTTCTATCTTTCTATCTTACTTTCTTTCGGATGACTGACGCTATTTTTTGCAGGATCTCTCATGTCAGCATCATCAATCGGAGCGCCTACCCGCTGTCCCGTCAACTAGACTCAGAGGCCGGGGAGATGGTGCTCCACAAGATCGAGGCGATGGGCGTGCAGGTGCTCACCCGGTGTTCCCCATCTCGTCAGCTTACCCGTCCAGCTGACGATGGCTCTGGGGACGATGTCTTCTGTGGGTTCGAGTTTCCGGACGGTTCCGTGTACGAAGCAGACCTCGTCATCTACGCCATTGGCATCCGATCTCGCGACGACGTGGCTAGAGCCAGCGGGATCCAGTGCCACCCCCGCTTCGGTATCATCGTGGGGGACGACTTGAGGACTTCGGCGGAGGACGTTTATGCCATTGGGGAATGTGCCAGTTGGAGGGAGAATACCTACGGCCTGATCGGTCCTGGAAGTGCGTACCGACCCCCCATTCCCGCTCTTCGGATATTCCATTCGCTGACCTTTAATCGCCGTTTATAGTCGAGATGGCCGATATCCTTTCGTTCAACTTTACCCAAACGGACGCACATGCGCCTCGTTTGATGAACGCGCCAGACCTGAGTACAAAGCTCAAGTAAGTTCTATTATTAGCTCTGGTACCGATCACGGCTTCATATAGGTTTAATTTTAGGTTAATGGGAATCGATGTTGCGTCATTTGGTGACTTCTTTGCGGATAAACGTCTTCCAAAGGGCCGGACGCAGGATGTCACACAGCTTGCGAAGTCGGTCACCAACGGCCACGCGAACGGGAAGGTGGCCAAAGTTGAGATTGAATTTGAAGAGGAACCCAAGCAGAATGGGAATTCAGCTGGTCCACTCCCCACACCCAAGCCCTCACCCTCGAAGAGACGAAAGCGCGGACAGGACGAGCCGATCAACTGCCTCGTGTACAAGGACCCGTTCACCGCGACGTACAAGAAGTACATCTTTACCGAAGATGGCAAGTACCTTCTGGGTGGAATGATGGTAGGCGACGTCAGCGACTTTGTCAAGCTCGTGGCTATCGTGAAGAAGAAGGTCAGTGTGTTCTAAACATGGGAGATCGACTGTACTTGTGCATGACTGACACTGCACTGCGACCATCGCGTATACTAGAAACAACTCGAAGTTCTTCCGTCGCAGTTTATTATTAGCGACAAGAAGGGGGAGGACGATGGGGGTGACCTCGACGATGACGCTCAGGTCTGCAGCTGCCATGTACGAGACCTTCCCCCGCCTGTTCTGGCCACACGGAATACTGATGATATTTTTAGAACGTCCTCAAAGGGGACATCGTCAAAGCGGTTCAGGAAGGAACGTGCTTAACCATCCCCGACCTCAAATGCAAGACTAAGGTTGGGACTGGGTGCGGAGGCTGTATGCCCTTAGTGAGTCAATTCATTTCCCCGGCAGAGTCTAAGAATACCTAGCTGAATGCTATACTTAGGTTACGAGCATCTTCAACTCGGAAATGAAGAAAGCAGGGCGCGTTCTTAATAACAACCTCTGCCCTCATTTCGCCATGAGCCGGACGGACCTTTTCAGCGTCATCAAGGTGAAGCAGCTTCGCAGCTTCTCCGAGGTGATGGACGCCGTTGGAGTCAACAAGGCCTCCGTGGGCTGCGAACTGTGCAAACCAGCCGTCGGCAGCATCCTGTCTAGTTTGTAAGTTCGCTGTTGTTATTACGCCGATCCCCGTGATCCTTTTGGCAATTCTCACTCAATTCGATACTTATTTTTAGGTACAATGAGCACATCATGAAGCCTTCTCATCACCAGAACCAGGACACGAATGACAGATTCCTCGCGAACATGCAGCGAAACGGAACTTTCAGCGTCGTTCCGCGTATGACCGCCGGAGAGGTCACACCAGACGGGCTTATTGCCATTGGCCAGATCGCGAAGAAGTATAATCTCTACACCAAGGTTCGTCACGGTTGAAAATTTCATCTCTCGGCCGCCTCTCAGAGTTGCTAATAATATACATGCACATCCACCCTTCACCCCGGCTTTTTTGTTCATTTCGTTATACTTAGATCACGGGTGGTCAGCGCATCGACCTCTTTGGAGCGAAGAAGGAAGATCTTCCGGATATCTGGGAGGCCCTGGGTGCCGCTGGCTTCGAAAGTGGACATGCCTACGGCAAGAGCTTGCGAACGGTCAAGTCATGTGTTGGGACTACGTGTGAGCAACCTTACTAACATTTACATACTATTCAATTGTTTAACTTTGCATTGATCGCTATTCTTAGGGTGCCGATACGGCGTCGGTGATTCCGTCGGTCTCGCGGTTCAGCTCGAGAATCGGTACAGAGGTGTGAGGAGCCCGCACAAGTTCAAGGGCGGTGTGTCGGGATGCGTCCGGGAGTGTGCGGAGGCGCAGGGCAAGGACTTTGGACTCATTGCGACTGACAAAGGCTGGAACAGTGAGTATTTCGTCTTCTTATTCCGTGATTCCGAAAGTCCTGTTTAACGCCCAACCTTCCGTAGTCTTCGTCGGCGGAAATGGTGGTGCGAATCCGGTGAGTGTCATCCCTACTTTCAGCGAATTGCTAGAGTTAGAGTTGATCGATGCTGACCCCCCGCCTTTCAGAGACACGCCGAACTCTTCGCCAAAGACGTACCTCCTTCCAAGGTCGTCCGTATCATCGATCGATTCCTCGCATACTACATCATGACAGCCGACAAACTCCAACGTACAGCGAGGTGGATCGAGAACATGGAAGGCGGTATTCAGGTTAGCATAGGTTCAAGTGTGTGACATAACTTCGTCTAATGTCTTCACTGCGTTCAGAAACTCCAACGAGTCATCCTCGATGACGAACTCGGTATTTGCAAAGATCTCGATGCATTGATGGACAACCTCGTCAACACGTACGAGGACGAATGGGCTGCAGTTGTCAAAGGTGCATCGCGTTCATCCCACTCACGCCCTTTCCTCTTCAGCCGATCTAACCTTCCCTTTCTAAAGACCCCGCCAAGCGCAAAGCCTTCAAACAATTCGTCAACACCCACGAAACCCGCCCTCAAAGCGAGATGATCACAGAACGCGGCCAACCACGTCCAGCAGACTGGGCCAAATCCTACCCTCCCGTCAAACTATCCACCGGGCAACTCGCTACGCCCAAAGAAGAGTGGAAGTGGGTCACTCTAGCGCAGAAGGCCGATCTACTGGTCAATGATGAAGGAACGTCGAGTGCGGCTGTCAAGTATGGAGAGAGCCAGTTGGCGATTTATCATGTTCCAAGAAGAGGGTATTATGCTACACAGCAGATGTAAGTTGTTTTGGCCGGATGAGAGTGAGGTTTTCTGTTTTCCGTTTTGGCTAATGGTTGAGCGATTAGGTGTCCGCACAAGAGAGCGTTCGTCCTCGAACATGGTATCATCGGAGATACAGCCGAAGGCTCACTCGTACGTCTCCTCCATCCGCCCAGAACCACTCACCCCAATACTAATACTAACCACCCTTCACGAACAACTTGGAACAGTACGTCTCCTGCCCCCTCCACAAGCGCAACTTTGCTTTAACAGACGGCGAATGCCTCAACGACGGCGAGTACCAAATCATGGCGTTCGAAGCGCGCGAAGACCCAGACGGGACGGGTGCCATCCAGGTTCTCCTACCACCCGCGGATGACCTCGACTCGTTGATTGCGACGGAGAAATGGCTTGTACGACAGGCTGAGTCTGAGGCGCTGGGTTTGAATGCGGCGACCCAGATTGAGATTTTGGGGCCGCGAGGGGAGATTCTTTCAGGTTTGGGTGTTAATGGGGGCGGAGGATGTGATTCGAGTGCGTGTGGGGATAGTAAATTGGAGTGGTAAATCGTTTTGTATTACGTCGATGTGTCGTAAAAGAAATATACATCATGCTTGTTTGTCGTCGATTGAGATAGCCATGTAAGTGGAAGGAATCGTTCAGTGCAGCCGGAACGATAGAGGATCAACGATGGTACGCCGGCAAAGTAACATCCACCACCCACCTCAGTCCTTCAAATCCACAACGACAGGACGAAACCCCGGCCCTCCATGCGGTATCTTAACGTTCCTCCTACCCCTCCTATTGGGCTCATTCGCAGCATTCACAAACACAGTCCTCTGCATCCCCTCCACACCCATCCTCCTCCTCATCTCCTCCTTCTCCGCCTCAATAGCCTCCAGCACCTCCCTTACCTCCGCCTCACCCGAGTCGTCAAACATATCGTCCTCGACGTTCTCCTCCCTGAAGAAATCGTTTTGGAGCTTTGGGGGCGTGGAGGGGGAGTTGTTGGGAGGGTCCCAGGAGTGGATGTCCGCGCCGTGGGCTTCGTGGATGTGCCCGAATGCGTGGAGGCGCGGGCGGAGCCGCCCGGAGGAGAGGTGCGAGGCGAGGACGGGGCACCCGGCGAAGTCTCCGCCTTTTGTGTAGTCGAATATGCCGGATGGGGGCCCGTGGGTGAGGAGGATGTCGGTGTTGGGGAACGAGGAGATGAGTTCTGAGCAGCAGGGCGTCAGTATCAGTGTGGTCGATATGGACGATTGGGAGTCCCACCTTCTGCCTCTTCGGGTTTGTAGTTGAACGCCCATTCGAAGAAAAACGGGGACCACTATGTATGGGATTAGAAGTGCACATAGTGGTTTAAGGGGAGAGAGAACGTACAGGAGAACCGTACACAGTCCATTCACGACGGCCAGGGCCCAGAGAGAAAGTGTGGCTGGTGTTGGCTAGGTAGACGATCCCAGCTTTCTTTGCGCGGGGACCGGTGAGGAGTAAACGAGCTTTCTTGGTATCCTGCAGGGCGTCATCCGAGGCAGGATCAGCCTGAATCTACCGGTGGACGGTAAATGATATTGAATGACTTGGAGGCCTTACTTCTTTCCGCTGATGCCAGCTCGTCCAGTTCTTATCGTACCAGTCGGCGTGGAGGACGAGGTCATGGTTCCCTGCAATCACGCTGGGGATTAACAACTACAGTCAGCTACACCGTACCACAACACCACCGAAAACGAGACGATGAACCACAACAACAAGAACAGCACAACCAACCGTGACGCACATTTTGACAGGATGCGGCAACCCACACAACCACTCCACCATCTTCTCCAACTGCTCGCATCGTCCCAGGCCTGTGAGGTCCCCGGTGTGAAGCAGGACATCGCCGTCGGGAACGGGGAAGGTGTGGTCGTGCGTATCGCTGATACACACGAATCGCGTCCATTGGCTGCCGCCAGCTGACTTTGCGTGGTCGGTCTCGGATAAAGGCGGGAGGTCAGCTGGATCGTCGTATTCGAGCTGGACGACTGCGTCTGTTGAGCGCCGGATGTGGTAGTCGTCGTCGTCTGTGTCAAAGCAAGTCATTGGTCTCTTATTGGGCGCAGGGTTGGTGTCGGTGCTTGAGGTTGACATGGGTCTACTGGATATGATGCGGATAGTTGGACGTGTCGTCGTCGTGGGCGGTGTTGAGGCTTGCGTGGACCCTGCGGTCACCGTTGGAGATCGAAGGCTGTGCCAGAGTGAGGAAACCTTGCGGCGAAACATTCGAGGCTGCCGTTGGAGTGTGCGTCAAGAAGGTGCTTGGGCCTTCGAAAGCGAACATGGCGAACGCGAGTTAGTGTTTCTATCCTCTCTCTGTGATTGAACGCGTAGTTTGCAGCGGCGGTGGTTTGCAGACGCGGTAGATAAAGAGATTGAGTTGCGAAAGGAATGTTTGACGAATGTCCCATCAATCTATTTCGCACCGGTGATTCAATTGATAGCCGGTCCTTTATGACGACATTGTGGGTTGGCTTTGGTTTCCTTGAAGTCGACTACAGCCTGTACCTTGGGCGACATGTCGTTCTTCAATTCAAGATGGGCAGAGTATTGTATCTCTATCATTGACTCTTACACGGGTGTACATCCAAACCGGCATCCTAGTCTCTTAAATCGACAACGAGAGGGCGGAACCCAGGTCCTCCATGAGGGATCTTGAAGACTCTCCTGTCCTTCTCACTTGGCGGCTCATTCGAAGCATTAACGAACACAGTCCTCTGTAACCCCTCCTGCATATTCTTCTTCCTCATCTCCTCCTTCTCCTCCTCCGCATCGCTTGCCTCCGTTCCCCTCCTTCTCACCCGAATGGTTGACGTTTTGGTATGTCGGCGGTTTAGAGGGGCCATCGACGTTCTCCCAAGAGTGGATGCAGGCGCCGTGGGCCTCGTGGATGTGACCGAAGACGTGGAGGCGTGGGCGGAGGCGGCCTGAGGAGAGGTGTGAGGTGAGGACGGGGCAGCCGGCCAAGTCCCCACCAGCTGTGTAGTCGAATACGCCTGCTGGTGGACCGTGGGTGAGAAGGATGTCGGTGTTCGGGATTGAGGAGATGAATTCTGGGCTCGTCGTATTAATTGGCCGGCTATTCGATATTTAGGAATGGGAAAGCACCTTCTGCTCCTTCAGAACTGTAGCTGAACGCTCTGCTATGCGGGGTCGGAGACCACTGCGTCGGCGTGTTAGGCGAGCGCATTTGGAAGTAAATGCGAGATATCGCGTACTGGAGAGCCGTAGACGGTCCAATTTCGACGGCCGGGCCCAAGGGAGAACGTGCGGCTCCTGTCCTCCAGATAGATTATCCCAGCCTTCTTTGCTCGCTTTCCAGTCAGGAGCTTAAGCGCTTTGTCGGTGCTCTGAAAGGCGTCAGCAGGGTTTACTCGTAGATGTGGCGAATGGATTCCCACCTCTCTTCGACGATGTCGAGTCGTCCAGTACATATCATACCACTGAGCGTGGAGGACGAGATCGTGGTTCCCAGCGACGATACTACACCCGGGCCCATTATCACACTCTGCTAATCGCATGCCAAATGCCAAAGTGAATGAACAACAACGTACATTTTGACAGGATGCGGTAACCCATACAGCCATTCCATCGTCTTCTCCAGCTCGTCGCATCTCCCCAGTGAAGTTAGGTCGCCGCTGTGGAGAAGCACGTCGCCATTGGGAACAGGGAAGGTGTGGTCGTGCGTGTCGCTTACACATACGAACCGCGTCCAGTGGCCTCCACTTCTTGCGTGTTCGGTCTCCTGAAGTGGTAGGAGGTCCGCTGGTTCGTTGTATTCGAGTTGGACGACTGCGTCGATCGAGCGCCGGAAGTGTTCGTGTTCGTCCCCGTCCTTTCTAGTATTTGGCGTGGCTAGGTCGGCGTTCGTCTTTGAGAGCTTGGTGTCATTCGAGTTCCGAGTGGACTTGCTAGAGCCGTCTTGAGTGGTTGTATCTCGCGTCGATACCGTCGATTTCCCAGTCTTTGACGATCGAAGGTTGTGCCAGAGTGAGGTAGCCTGACGAAGCATTCCCAGTCGGTGCTGTTTACACCTCAGGCACCGGTGATGGACGGTTCCCACGGCTCCTTAGGCCAATTATTTGGCACACCGTATAATCGACCAATTTCACCGACCGGCTGGCCTTCCCTTCAACCGCTCGGTCCCCGTTTTGGACGTAGCACCGGATACCCAGTCCCGTGACTGACCTCCCAGACCTCGAGCGCCCGGTCACGTCACCCTTGAGCGCCCGGTCACCCCCATGTCATTTTAGTCATCAAGTTCGCATGTCAACGAATGAGCGCCCGAAGTTCGATATGTTTGATTTCCTTTTATCTTCCCACCACCACTATGCCCAAGGCGCGATTGACAATAAAGTAACTTGGGTCCCTAACTTGGGTAACTTGGCCCACCCAAATCTCTGAGGCGAACCCAAGTAACTTGGTTCCCACGCTTGGATTACTTGGCTTGGCGTACTTGGGTTACTTGGATCGTACTTGGATCGTACTTGGGTCGTACTTGGATCGTACTTGGGTCGTACTTGGATCGTACTTGGACACCGGGGATTATTTATTTGAGGAGGAACGTGACATGTAGATATAACTATAGTACTCTGTGAAGAATAAACACGGAAAGTCTTTTGTGAATATTCACTCTTTCGGGGCCGAGTAAAATTGACCGGCCCTAAAGTAATATAAGCGCCGAGCTTCGCGCTGAGTCCATTGGCTTTATACTTCACTGTCCACGGGTAGAGGGACTTATAAGAATCATATATACAATATACTAGGACGTTACACTACAAGCAGGCAGCAGTAGATAATAGATCACTGTACAATATGATATTACTGAGGGGTGTAAGTTCTAATTATTTTCGAGCGCGCTTACTATGGCGCTTAATACTATCTTTAGTGCCACTACTGGGCCTCTTTTCGCCAGTAGAAGGCTCTGCGCTAGCCGCAATAGCAGCCTGCCTTTCAGAGCGGCGACGGAAGCCCACATTGGTGAGTGTTGTCTGCTTCAATAATGCGTGCTTGTTGACGGGCCTTGGGGCAAATCTAGGCTTCTTGTTGGCGAGGTCGATAGTTGGAGTCGTCTTGATGTCTTCGGAAGCCTCTACATCGCCCGTGGTGGTGGTGGTGAGAGCCAATGGTGGAGGGGAGGGGGTGTACTTCAGAGGCTGGTTGGCGCATTCGATGATCCGGAATTCATTGATAGGCGGAGTAGTTTCTGGAAGGGAAGTGGCGGCTAGTTTGGGCGAAACGTCCATAACGGCTTCAGCAGGGCTACCTGGAACTGTGGTTATAGTAGGAGTGACCCCGGTGCCTTGGGTGAGCATCATAGAGAAGTGGTCCTCCGGAACACAGGTCCCAAAGATGTATGGGTTTCCGTCTTCAGTGAAGATCTGTATGAGATCAGCAGGGTCACCAATTGCGATGTTTTGAGATGGACTAGAAGGGAGGCGGCGAGTGAGGTGCAATCCGGTGAAGAGGGCACTACTTGTAGATTCCTTCGAGTCCCGGGCAACGGCATTCAAAGGGACCATCGAAGAATCCACACAGTTGAACGCCTTTTCATGGTCGGTCAGGTTTCGGAAGAGGCGGCCTCGTAAGGCGACATCTTGCTCGGTGGTGAAGTCGTATTCCTCCTGCGTCAAGATTCGGCTAAGCTCGTAGATTGCCCCATCCTGTTCTGGAGACATCTTGAGGTATTGCCTGATAATGACGAGCTCGAGGAGGACCGTAACAGCCACCATCTGTATCTCGCCTTCGTCTCCCTCCCCAAACTGTATGTCCTTCATCTCCTCGACCAAAAGCAATCGGTGTCCAGGGAAAATGGGAACGGAGAAATAACTGGAGAACGAAATGAGGTATTCCTTTCGTTCTTTCCATCCCAATGAACTCGACCTTCTGTTCAGATGCTTTTCTATGAGCTTCCGAATAGGGTGCAGGCGTGTACCTTTGACAAAGTGAACTGCTGATGGGAGAGCATCTTGAATCGCAGCGACGAGGTTGTGTTTGTCAATGGAGGCCAGCTGTTCACCCGTCATGAAGTCGGAAACGAGCTCGAGTGGCCATTCAATGGCTCCAAAGGAAGCCTGCAGCCTCGCGTCAGCTCTTGTCGAGTTAAAGGCTAATAGATACGCTCACCTTGTCTTCTTTGGAGTATTGCAGGTTTCGTATCTTGAGACACTCGTGAATTGTGAGGGTGAATGTGGGCTCCATTACTCGAGCCTTCGGGCCCCAGCAATTGAACTCATGCCATCGCAGAGTCACCATACTCCCCTCCCTTGATATGATCTTCGCAGGATATCGCAGCGCCATCCGTTCCCCGTGCAGGGTAGATAGTTGGTTCATGTTGACCAGAATGAACGTGCCTGTCCTTTGAAATAGAAACAAATAATTCAGTAACCGCTTCTCGTGGCAATAATGTAGAGATACCTACATGACATTATCCCAAAGTCCCTCGTTGATGCACCTGGGGCAGCACCATTCCTCCTTCAAGTGTGGAAAGACGTCGAAGTCTGGTGGAAGACTTTCCTTGACACAGGCATAGTGGTACTTCAACGTGCAGATAATGCATTGAACCATATTTTTTGCAGCTGGTCCAGTCACAGTACACGTCGAGCACGATGGGAACACAGCTTTTGGAGTGTTGGTAGTCGTTCCACCCGATTTTTGGATGGCTGTGGAAGCGTTAAAGAGACGCTTGCTTGCGGATTTGCTTGTTTCTGCGGATGACCGAGTTCTACATGGAGCAGTTAATCCATAGTTCGAGTAGATGCAACCAGAAGACTCACTTAATCGTCGTAACTTGGCCTGTATCTTGGTTCCCGGGCTCGCCATCTGGCGTAAATTCAGAGCCAGAAGGATCACTGTGGGGAACTGGTTCATCGAAGTCGAACAAAGACCTGATGTCGAAATCTCCATCCAGGTCGTCGTCCGAATCCAGATTGTCCATTGGAGGTCGAGTTTGGGGCTTTTTCGGGAGTGCTTCGGATCGCTTCGTGGAACGGCTATGTATAGAACGACCTCAGCGTTGAAAGATTGAGATATTGAGAGACAACTTACCTTTCACCCAAGTTGGAATCCGTGTCCGATTCAACTTCCAAGGGGTTATCTTTACGCCCCGTCGGGTTTCTAAGGTCGAATTTCTTGTATAGTTCTTTCATTCTATCAACGGAGTGAATGGTCTAAATCATAGTCAGTATAGAAGTCAGCAGTATGGATCAAACATACCTTGGAGTTCGATGAAGCGAGGCAATAGACATAGTAAGCCTCGTTGGGGCTGCGAGAGTCGAGAAGGGTCATAGTTTTTGCTTTCTTTAGTGTTCCATTGACGTCGTTGTAGCTGTAACAAGCGGATTTGAGGTTGAACTGCGAGATGAAATGCTCCTTGTTCTTCGCCTTGAGAACGCGTCCGATGATCCGGTACTCAACCGATGATGAGTTTGTGTCCGAATCGACAACAAAGTTATTGGTAAACTTCACGTGCGATGGAGTCGTCCCATTGGTGTAGTCAGAACGGAGTGTCAGAGTGCGTGGCCAATATGCGGTGACCGTTTTTGGGGCCGACTCATGAGTACATCCACCCAAGGAGCACAGAGAGCGAGATTCAAGTTTGGTGATGAGCTGATTCCCGCTGTCGAAGAGAACCAGCTTCGAGAAATAGTCCCCTAGACCCACAAGCTCCCCGTGTTCCTCGTACAAAGTGTCGATATAATCAATTCGAAGGTCTGTGACAGCGTTTGGAGAATCCATGAAAGCGTAGTACTCCAGGTTGTGGCCGGATTTGCAAGCGAACTGAATGCGATAGTCGACTCCAAAGTAGCTGTGAGCTTCGCGGCATGTCTCTCCATCCTGGATGATAGCTTAGCATCGGCTAAAACTGGTGAACGAGTGAAAAATCACCTTGACTGCTGCGTCAAGCCAGATAGCCGCTGGGTGGTGGCCTGTTTTATCAAGTTCAGGCATCCATTTGTCGAAGATTTTGCATCGTAGAATAGCTTGAGTAGTCTCAAACATTGTCTTCATCGTTGATTGAACCTTCTTCGTAACCTTTGGGGTGGTAGCAATGAGACGAAGCCGGCGATCATAGTGACTGACGAGTGACGCAAGGTAGCTTCCAGTTGGGAGAAGGGTGCGGAGTTGAGCTCTATCATCCTCCTTCCAAGCGCACCACGCACGGAACCACACCTCCAGACCATTGTCAAAGAAGCACGAGTTCGGTTCCTGCCACTTGTACGCGTGAAGGAAGAGGGCCTTGTTAGAGAGATCGCTTGTAGAGTTCAAGGCCTCTAAGGCCTCGAGAGTATCAGGAGCACGACCGTCGTTCTCGAAGAAAACAGCTCGTTTGGGTGGGCGATTCTCTCGGGGCCCTGCAGGGGTGTTGTATCCAGCTTAAACAACGTTAATGTGAGCTACTTTGGCCAATAAAAAGACATATGTAGAGTTTACCTTTCACCGAAGCATACTTTCGCTCTATCATGCCAACATACAGGTGTAGCTTCCGGATACCTTCCAACAGCTCGTTGTTTGTACCCATTGCAGAATTGAGATGGGAGTGAAGCCCCTCCCCAACGCTCGAAGTTTTGGGAACTGTTGAAGCGACAGCTGGATCGATATGGCTCTTTGCTGGAAAGGCCATTCCGATGATATTGGGCTGGAGCCACCAATTGAGCCACCCCCGGGCGCCAGGGAACTCGGTCGAGAATCGCATAGTCAGATCGTTGAACTGGCTCTCGGTGGTGTTCGGCGAAATCATTTTGCGGATAATGGACTCAAAGTCGTCCTTTCGTTCCGGCAATACGTAGGATGCCGTTCCTTTGACCCTCTGTGCTTGGGTGAGGAAGTGAAACTGACATCCGACCTCTACACCTTGCGCTTCATCTCGAAGGGCTGATAGTTGCGCTTCAATCGCGTTTGGGGCGATCCGTTCACCTTCGAACCCAGGAATCGTGGTGATAACTGCTCTGGCATACTCCTCCGCATGTGCGCTCCGTTGGGCGGCAGAGAAATCGAAAACCTGGACATAATATTATTGTTACTATGGGAATATATCCAGAGACAGTATCACGTACATTCAGGAGATATTTTGACCTGAACGGTATCCCATCTCGTTTCACCTTCCCTATTATTGGCTTGAATAGGTGTCGAAAATGAGGGCGATGATGTTCAATATCTTCTCCAAGAATCCAGGTGTAAACAACAGGAACCCATTCGCGCAGAAGAGAGTTGAAAGCACTGCTCGTCAACAAGATACCCTCCTTGAAGTAGGAATGGTTCCCATCCGTCACAAACCCGTGTCGTTCCTCCATGATGGGATCCAAACTCCCCCACTCGTCAACTGAGTCTTGAAGCACCTCGTCCATCCATTTCGTTTTGAAGACCAAATAAGCTTGGTTGTGAAGGCTTGAGTCGATGAGAAACACCTCCCCGAGCTCCTCGTTTAGACCATACAGTGACTTGATGAGCGAGGTGTCTCCACGAGAACCGGATGAGGTAAGTCCTAGCCTTTCCTTGCTCTGCTTTTGGTGATACTGGGCTGCCCGCGCGTTTTCGAGCCGTGGATGAATCGATCCCAATGGCTGTGAACCTGGACCAAGGTCTCCCGCTCGAAGTTGGAGTGGTTTGGCGTCTGGTCGCCGGAGGACCTGGGCATCGACTGCTTGCTTTTCGCGAGGCGTCAGTATTGAACCGGCTGGTGGGCGGGGATGGTTGTGTTGGCCAACATGGTCCCAGTGATGGAAGACAGTGTCGCCTCGTACAGTCTTGTATCGATAGGTTTTGGCGCTGCATTTAATCTGGTTGAGGTTGGCTTTACAGTAGTCACAACCCTTTTCGAACTGTCGGTCCTGGCTTCCAATCTGTGTTGCTGGTCGCACGGGAATGGAACAACGCGCATTAGAGCAGACGAGATAGCCCAGGCACTCGCTCATAGATGCCGTAACCCCGCGATGCTTTCGGTCTCCTCGATTCCGCCATACCCACTTCGAACCCGACCACCCAGGTGGCTGTTCCCCGTCAGGATACATCCTCTGCACGTCGCCATTTGGCCAATCAAGACCATCTATTCAGCCATGCTCAGTACAGCTGAAATCATTCAGAATAACCAATGGATCATACCTGAATCGGTCGAGGCGTTGAACTGATCATCGGCCGTTGGATTAACAACAGCGGGTTGGTTTTGGGTAGTTTCGGCGGGCCCAGATGGCGCTGAAGGCTGTTCAAGCGACCGGGGAGGATTTGGAACAGCTGTAGCAGGCTGTTGGGCTTCAGGCGAGTCCATGTTCGCCTGAACAGCAGGAAGATTCGCGTTAAGCGAAGGGACCATCTGCTGCGGATGTAATGCACCAGTGGTGGGGTATATCATGGGATTCTGGCTCGTTGTTACGGTGTATCCTCCACCTGGGACCGAATGCATCGTGTTCGGCAGAATTGCCATAGGTGGAATGGCGGGTTGCGCAATGAATGGGTGTGGGGGCCCGTAGTATGGCAGAGAAAAACTGGGAGGATGGATCGCAAACGGAATGGGATGCTGCTGAGGAAATGCGACTGAGATCGGCGAAACGATTGACGATTGGATGGGTGGTGGTGCTGGTACTGCAGTTTGCGATGGAAAGACGCGCTGCACTGTCGTATTTTCGATGTTGGATGATGGCGGGTCGGTTTTGGGTGCTGAATGGTCAGTGCCTTGCGGAGGCTCGCCGTTTGACAAAAAGGCGTGCAAAGCACGCTTTAACCTTCTCATCGAAGGCGAAACTTGCACAGGAATGAACGCACACGGAAAAGAGAGGCGCACCCAGGTTGCCCATCGAAAAAACTGCTTTTCCAACGTCCAGCGGAAGCAAATTGGCATCATGGTTAATATTCATCCGATTCTATCTACATACAATGCTCTATCACGACTAGTTAGCACGGTTCTGCTCCATAGATGTAGATAACCTCTTACCTAGCTATCAGAAGTCGATCGCCCCAAAGTACCCTCCAGTATCAGCAATTTCCAGAGGATACAGGGACGAGGTCCCAGTCTCGCTGCAGCCCGCCAAGGCGCCAAGCCCCGATTCAAAACAGCCTCCTACGCGCTCTGTTCGTGATTCCTATCCGGATACTGGGTGAAACAGCAGAAAGACTTGAAAATCGCCCGGAAACAACGAGGTACGAAAAGATTCGATGGCGTTGTGGTTGAACGAGACCCACAATGAATCCTGACAGCGGCGAGTGCTAAGCCACGTTCCTTTTTGGTCTGATCCGAGACTGTATGACCTCACGCACAGCCATACTCGCCCTCGCCCACTCAATCAGGTCCATCCGCGACGGGATATGCACTCCCGAATCGTATCCAAGTACGTACCTATACCAATCGTACTTGGCTCCACTCATTTTGGGTGACGAAAATCGTACTTGGATACCCAAGTAACTTGGCCTTACTTTTGTGAGGGCAAGTTACATAATCCAAGTAAATCCAAGTTACTTTTGTATACACCCCAAGGCGCCAGAACCAATGTACACGTCTCGGCAACAGGTTCCATATCAAGGAGGAGTCGGCATCGCGTACACCAGTCCAGTAAAGAAGAGGAATAGGCGCAAGGAAAAAACGGCTGCGGAACCCTTTGGGAGCGGTGGGGTGAAGCAAGCTTTGCTGGATGCACTCGACTTTCTCGATGAGCAGGAGGACGGAATGAATGAAGAAGTCAACGTTGTAGCGGAACGCCCCTCAAGCCCAGGAGATTTTGCCATGGAATGTCACCATTGCCCGGAAGACATATCACCGTTTTTTGGAGGCGACGATTGCGTGGGAGAGGCCGCCACGGAGACCGAACTCTTGGACTCGGAAGCACTGATGCCACCCTACGACGCCGACGAATCCTACGCCGACGACGGCGCCTCGACTTTCCCCGCCAACGATGACGCACCAACAATGCGAGGCGAGGTAACCGAAGCCGCGACTGCGACTGCGCGTCTTCATTCCAACTGGGCCACCACTCTTCCAACTCTTCAAGACCCTTACCTTCATTTCAAAGCGCAACAATACGGAAAGCCAGTACCACCTCTCGCGACAAGCATCGGCTTTCAATGTCAACACCCACCAGGCCAGTGTGTATATTCGTCTAACGAGGTTCAGGTGTTGAAGTTAGATGGTAAGTGCATGTACCCTCCCGAGACGTTCACACGTTCAATCTCCATTAGGTTTTTGGAATATCACAGCCTTGTCGTGTAAATGCGACTCACTGTGTAAAGTACTTGTCCGGAACGGTTTCTTCCCGTCATCGCCAGCTGTACCTCGCTTAGCCGTTGCCATACCACTGCTTGACTTCTACCACTCCCTGTTCGAAGAGTCCTGTGACGCCGTGACTGCATTTTCTGAGGCGTGTCGAAAGTACTACAAGCGCAGAGGATTCCATCATCGGAACAGCAACGTAAGTAGTCATATCCACGTCCACCAGCATAAACCCATCGTGAAGACAGGGACAAGACCACAACGATGCATGGCGACGGTCCTTGACACAAGCCATCCAATGGTACGACAACCTACTCGTAATGATTGCCAAAGCAGTCGATGAAGCCCTCCAAAGCGCGGACCGGATGCTTTTCCCCTCCCTGCAGCCTGCGTCGCTCGAGGGAATTCCGATAGTGCCCCAAGTGCTCACCACGGTCCTACAACCCCCCCCAGAAGAACTGTCCTCGAATTCCCAACCCACAGACCCGGGCCCTCCACCATCGGCGACACCATCCGCACCGCAAATGGAGAGTCCTCCAGCAACGACGAATCCACCAAAGAAACCACGGGGAAGGCCACGAAAAAACGCCCCGAAGGCGCAAACTGCCGCCGTTGAGACTACCAAGAAGAAACGAGGAAGACCGCCCAAGAATGCCGCAAAGCCAACCCCAAACCCTTCTACCAACCAGCCCGCGAGCGAAACGACAGCTCCGCGCAAACGAAGAGTCAGAGTGGAGCTTAAAGAAGATTTCGAGGATGCTCAGGAGAGGATGTTACGGGACGCCAGGGTCGAATGTGACTGGGTACTCCAGCAAAGGTGCCCCGCATGCTTCTCGTCCAAAACCTTTGGGAACAAGGCCAATGGAGGGTACGTCCGATCTTGTGAACGATGCCCCCGTGTTTGACACACCAATCTAGCGCAAGTAACATACAGGTCTGCGTCGACGGCAACTTCAGCCACCGTCACATCCGCCGGGATACGGACCACCAGCGGCAACATTTTCCACCAGAATATTACCTCCCCAAGGCCTATGTTGACAAGGTCGGCAACCACATCGATCTCGTCCGCGACAACCAGCCCAAAGCTCGTGACCCGAAAGTGCCAGACGAAGCCGTCGATGAATGCGAAGACGGGCATATCGCCGGGAAAGGGACGAATGTCAAGACCAGTACCCAAATGTACGATGACACCGGTACGATGGCCCTCGTATGCCGACACGATGTCCCGCTTTTCCTGGCCAACATCGACACCCCTGGTGAGCAGCAAAAGTACGGCGTCGCCCTAGTCAAGAAACTGTACTCGCTCTTGCCCAAGGATGCCACCGTGGATGTTTTTTACGATGTAGCCTGTGTCCTTGACCGGAGCCTCGAGACTGTAAGTCCTTTCCACTCCCTTACCCTCATGGTGCTCCAACTCAAGTTCGTGAATATTCAGTACGATATCCTACCTGAGGCTCTCACGAGCCGACTATCCCTTATCACCAGCGCCATGCATTCGTACGCCCATCAATGGTTGTGCCAGCTTTACTACAACCCTCGACTGCGCAAGTTCACGGGGCTCACGGACGGAGAAGGAGTTGAACGGTTCTGGGCTAAGCATCGGCGGGTAATACCCCTAATGCGGGTGTCAGGGGTATGTGTTTTGTATTGCATTTGCCCTTGAAGAGATCACCTGAGATCACACACTTCGAACACAGCGGGAGAAACGTCTACAGCTAATTGACCGCCACACGGCCGCTATTGGGGCTCAGGCACGCGATGGACTTGGAGCGTGGATCAAAGCCAGGGTCAAGGTGGTAGAAAAATTCCGAGTCGAGGCCACCACAGAGCTTCGAGCTTGTGGTGTCCCCGTTGCAGAACTCCGCGACCTATGGGCGGACCAACAGAAAGCAGGGAAGTCGATACGAACGCGTGAGTGCCAGCCTCCCACCTGCCGTCGTCATTTTTCAACCTCCATCCAGTGCGACCGTCCAAACTCAAGAAAGATATGGACGTGATTTTGGTGTTACAGTCCGACCTCGACCGCATCGAAGGACGCATCGAAGAAGTCGTCAATGGGCTCGACGACGAGTTCCCCGAAGAACACAAACAAGGGCTGCTCACCGCTTTGAACGCTGCCCACGCCGCCCTCAAGGATCGCATTGAGGCCACTTACATGGCCATCAACGTGGGTGACGCACACCCAGACCTTCAGGGGCTCGACTACGAGTTTGTCAAGGCGTTGCTTCTCCTTCGTGATCTCAAAATCAATATACGCCGTCGCGCAATAGCACAATTTTTCGAACGGGAAAAACTTCAACAGCCATCCCAAGGACGGGCCAACCCACTCGGTAAGTAGCTAATGTCGTTGTTCAACCAGTTCACCCCGTTTGACAAGGACCTAGGCACCAATTTACATCAGCTGACACGTAAGGCCATTGCGAAACGCCAGCCGGCCCTCCAATCTGCAATTCGCCGGTTCAACACCCAGCTTGTGAACCTGAAGAAACTAAACAAACACGGAAATACAACATACCCATGCCTCGAGAGCTTCCGACCGATCTCGACGAGCTGCGCGATCATTCCGATATCATGGAGGATGTCTGGACAACTCACAGTCCCCTCCCGGTCCCCAAATGGTTCTCAAGTGCCGAAGTGCGCAAGGGTATCCGTGCGATGCTCAAACTAGACCGATGCCAAGAAGAGGTCCACCGCCTGGGTATAGAAGCCGACAATCTTTGTCGGTGGTACGGACGTCAGCTGGCAGATATCGAGTTTGCCCTAACGCAACCAGCAGGTACGTCCACCTTCACGAATTCCTTTTACAGTCACGCAAGCTAACTTCGTTTGGTTTTTAATTAAAAAAAATCCCGCAGGGCAAAGTGTTGCACTCGAGCTCGTCATCTACCGGGACCACCTGTACTCCCTCAAGGCGAGCTGGGCCAACACCTTCGCTAGCACCGTGCGGTTTGACGCGCAGATTGCGGCCTCCAAAGTCGTCGCACCTGTTGACCATCCGGCCCCTCTTCGATGGATCACGCCCACAGTTTCAGCATTCGAGCCAGCCACTCAGCACGACCCGTTGCCGCCTCCAGATCACGAACCTGCGCTCGATACCACACCTATCCTTGATGACGAAGAGATCTATGGAGGATATGAGCCACCGCGCAAGGTTTCCAAGCCCAAGTTCACGTACTTATGGGCCAGTCCTGTGAGAGGACACATATCAATCCGCCTTATCTAGACCTAACCATGTTCCGCAGCCCGGTATCCTTCGCGACGACGACGTCTTCGACCTGCTCGGCTCTCTACCAGCCTCAATCCCAGACACAGAGCACTGTATTCGACAAACCGGCGCTCGCATCGGTGTTCGGAAAGGGCTCATTGAGGTGAGCCGTGCAACCCTTGACCTCATGGCGTCACCCTCTGCCGTATTGGACGATGACACCGTGAACACTGGCGGGGCACTTCTGCAACACATTTTCGCCGAGCCCAACACGCCAAGCGCCGGCTACAGCAGTAACTGCGCCGTTTTTTCATCATTTGACATCCTTGCAGTTCGAAGTCAGTGCTCGCTACTGTATACGTGGGACCAGACAAATCACACCAAATACTGGTGCAAACAGGTATGGATACTCCCGATCCATCGACAAGATCATTGGGTTGTGTGTGCCATTTACCCCAGCCATCGACGAATAATCTTGTTCGATAGCCTAGCTGCTAAGGCGCCCTGGACAAGAGAGATACCGGTAGATACCCCCCTTCCACTCCCCGGCAACGACTGACGAATGTTCCCTTAGGAAATACTTACCTTCGTCAATCATCTCGTGCACGCAGCAGAGATTCATCAACATCGCATCGGTCTTGGGGCAGGGGAGCACTGGGAAATTAACCCAGCCAGTACTCGAGAGCTGCAGGAGGATTCTATCAGTGGGGGGTTATGGGTTCTTGCGCAGATTGCTGCGATCTTGAGGGGCGTTCCACACAACGCAACTCGCACAGGTGCACTTGCCGGCGTTCCGCGCGTTCGTTTATCACCACATGCTTTTGATACCTCGCAAACCTATGTAACCTTCGCATTCAATAGCATTACAGTTAAGCAAGGACTAAATTAATATTTGGGCAATTCAATAACATCCTTTTGAAAACCGAGCTCGCCTGTATTGAAGTCGTCAATCAGAAGATCAGCGTCGATGCCCGCCTCGCACTCAATTTCGTCCAACGAGTTACATATCTTGCGCACCGGCTCCATCAGCGATTCAATGGCCCTCCACGAGTCTGAGATGCCCTCCAGCTCCAGCACAGTCGCCTGGTGCGCTGCGATTTGGTCCCGAATCGCGGCAAACTTCTCGTAGTGGATAGCTATGGTCTTTCGAGCAGCGCTGGCATCCACGGTGCGATTGCTAATGAAATTGGTGCAGACAGTCTCCAAAAACTCCAATGGTGAGCGGCCGCAGAGGTACGTGACCCGTTTCCCAAGTTCCCGAACCTTCTCACATGCATGGTGTACGCGAAGTTTGGACAGGCGCCTAAGTCACATCAATTAGGGGTCGCTATCTTTACGAGACCGACACTCACATTTCTTTAGACACTGGCGTTTCCGGGGGACGGTTTACGACGGGCGTAGCTTTTGCGGCAGGGGAGCTTTCTGATTTCTTCGGTTTAGAGAGCTTTCCCTGGTTTTGTAGCTCCCTATGTTGTACCTTGTATCTCTCTCTTCTTCGAGCATTAATGGAATCTTTATTCCTAGACCCGAGTGAGCCCCATCCTGCAGGGAAAGAAGTTAGAACAACGAAGACACACTTGTGATAGCTCCTCCTATTCTTCTCTCGCTTCTGTTCCTTCAGCTGAGCTTTGGTCTTGGACATGGGCGGGGAGGATGGAGGGAAAGAAGGGAACCCTCGTAGCTTACAGTGTTAACGACTTAAAGGGAATGGCCCGGAACCCAGTCCTTCGTCGGACCTCGGAAGATGGAGGAGTTACAACGCGCGAGTGGTACCGTTCGAAAGAGAATTTAAATCTGTCTTAAAATCCGCAAGTCACTTGGCGTCCTCCCTGGACAGAGGAGGAGAAATCGACCAAATGTTTTTCTGCGTTCCAGAGGTCCCTCCTTCCTAACAGAGACATGAGTGTTCTAGAAGGGGAAGGCGACTTCGTGCGCCTGACAGCATTCGTACGTCTCCACGTCAAGCGAGGTTTTGGACAGGCAAGGCAGCTCACCGAAGGTAAATCTCGATAAAGTTCAGGTCGCGGGATGACAACGTCCTGTTGGGGCGATTGCTTTCCACTTAAAAGGGGCGTCCTTGGACTCAACTCTCGACCTCTTCCCTCGCAAGACACCAACTACCTCCATGGCCCATCCCAGCATTTACCCTGACCTCCCCGGACGCACAGTTGGTCGACAGCAGTTCGACTTTCTTCGTCTCCACGCCCCCTTCTACCGAGTGGCCGCTCATGCGGGAGAAGGTCCCTGGTTCCTCTTCAAGCTCTATCAACATTATCGCGCGCGTTGGGGACATGCTCGTGAACGGTTTGCCTCGACGGAGGAGTGGGAGACAGCGAACGATCTTCTCGAAATTGTAAAGTCCCTGCCTTCGTACTTGCTTCCCCTTTATTTTAACTCACACATTTACGCAGACGATCAAAAACAAAATGAATTGGTTGCGCATGACCACACAAAAGATCAATCTCCCCATCGCGTGGCAAGAGATTATCAAAATGAGGCCGTCGGATGAGTTCGGCACTGTTGCGGTAAGTGTTACTCTATCCTCTGCGTTGTTATTCTTGTTTCTTGGGCTTACTCGTCAACCTCAGGCCGATGTTCTCGGTCAACTCGACGACCCGGATAGGGTGTCGGCCACCTCCCTCAAGCGGGTCTCTATCGAGGTCGAGTCCGACTCCGAGGACAGTGATGGTGAAGACGGGCATCACATCAAACGCGCCAAGACCGCCGGAACTTCTGCACCCACCGTGGTCACCGGGTCCGGTTCCAAGGACGACCCCTTTGTTCTTGGTGACGAGCCGTACGATGGACTTGGTGACCGACGTGGCGCTCCCATTGTCCTCGAGTAGATAAGCTTATCAAAGTAGCTGTGGCCCCATATACCTAATTTTGTAACACCCTCTTGTAATAATGATATCTTCTTGTCCATACATCATTTAAACACCTGTCAATAACGAGTTTTCCCAATCTTTTCTACACACTGGCACGTTCTACGGGAGCATGATGGCAACTCGCTGCTGCTCCCGAGAGAAGCCGCGTAGGAATGCCAATTTGAGGCGAAGGCGTACCTCTTCCCGGCGCTTAGCCAGCCGCCACTCTGCATCAACAAGGTAATGATCTATGAACTTCTATATGGAGTCAGTAACCTTACGTGGCAAGATTCGGCGCCACACAAACCTTATGTCGGTAATGGACGATGTACTCTGTGTCCTCCTCCATCGACCTCTTTCTGTGCGACTTCAGAATAGCTCTTCCGATGATCATGTTTCGCGCGCCCTCCTCCAGGAATGTCTTGTAGTACTGCGAAGACAAAATCGGGAGGCCCGTGAACACGTAAATCCCAACCGCGCAAGCTGTCGACAAGCGACTCACCACCATTCGATCCTCGTAGGAAGTCTTTGGTCCAACCAGTTGCTCTGTCAGGTACAGGTCAAGAATCCTTTCTGTTCGTGCCCAAAATATAACCTTTTTTGGTGACAGATTCACAATTCCGTCGGCAGCATCGCGGTGTTCGAGGAGGCACGCAAGGGTTGGCATGAGAAATTTCAGGACTTCGAGAACGTCGTAATGGTAATCGTAAGGCTTGAATAGGTCGCCGGCCACGACAACAGCTCGCTCAACATCTCGATTCTCCTCGATCTCCTCCGCTTTTCCAACGCCGTACCCACGAATAGCCAAATATCTGTCGTCGTTGTCATCACCGGTGCCTATCATGCCCCGCTCTTCTCTCGCCGTCTTCTTCGCCAGCAACCAATCTGTCTTCGACATCGGACGCCCTGGGTGTATGTGTGGAGGAAGTAGTATGTTCCAGAGGTCCTCTAGACCATGAAAAAGTCGAATGGTCACGTCGTTCCTCGAGGTCATCGCTGAGGAAGATGGAGACAACAGATGGCTTCAAGTATCAAGGGTTGGGCGGGTTATATGAAGGGGAAACGAGACACCTTTCCAGAATAGGCCGGTTATGAATACCTTCCCCGAGCCAGGTGAGTAGTGTCCTCCAGTTATCGGGCAGTCAGGCGTCATCTCACCGAGAATTCTAACCTCGATTTCCCGAAGACCCAGGCTGAGATGTCATACGCCTCATTGCACACATCTGGAATTCTGGAGACACTGGGACCCTCGACTCGTTGCGCGTTCAGTCTTTATCTCTCCCAGCCTACCTGTGAATCTCCCAATTCTCAAACTTCGCTCTTGAAAGAAGGAATTTGGTATGTTGTTTCATTGAAGGTGCTCTGTGAACTTGTGCCAACTGACTGGTGGTATACCAGATGACCCAAAACGCACCTCCCTCCATGACGCCCGACAGGCGTCCAACCCGTTCCGCCATGCGCGAAATGGGTGTTGTTCTGGAGCCTACGGCTCTGGAACTACCTACGAAGCGGCGTGCTAAACCCAAAAAACCAGCGCCTGTGGCGACAGTCTCAACCTCCGCAGACATCGCGAGTCCCGACGTTTCGACGCAGCCATTGACCCCGGCGGCCTCCGTAATGCCCCAGCACACGTCCAGTGCCCAAATGATCGACATGTACTTAGGAGGCGACCCAGAGGGCCTGGTTGAAGCGCTCAACCAGGCTGTTACCATTTCCCCGCCCTCAACCCCGTCGGCATTACCTGGCGCGACGCCTGGTCCAACGGGTGCGCCACCTGACGACAACGACCCGTTTAACGTCAATCCCTTCATCAACCCAATCGACAACGAGGACGATGCTATGCAGGTCGACGTCCCCACCCCACCAGCTCCAGCTGTTCCCCTCGCCCCCAAGTCTTTTCCACCTCTTGCAGGGAAGCTCCCACCCCCTCATCCATTGGTAAAGCCGGTGGTACCGTTGGGTGCCATCGTCGAACCCCTTACGCGGTTGGACCCGCTCCTCCAACCTCTCCTCCAACCTCTCTTCCAACCGTCTCCCTCTCCAAGCACCACCTTGAGCCAAACTGCCCACTCCTCGGTTGCCGAAGGTTCTCCAGGCACGCCAACACCCTCCTCTCGGCTCTCTTCGACTGCGTCATCAGGCTCCTTGTCGACGCCAGCACCTCAAGCCCCCCAGTCGTCAACTCGCGGTGATTCGTCAAAGTCCACCTCCGCGCCGCGCAAGGGCCGACCTACCGAGGAGAGTCGCGCACGGGTACTCGAGTTGTTCGAGTCATCACTGGCCGCGTTTGCCGAGATTGGCGTTAAACATGGCCACACGCCTAAGGAGATGGGATTGGCCTTTCAGAAGTGGATAAAGGACGGGTCCATCACCATCCCTGTGGTGGAAGGGCAGGACAAGCGTCTCGTTGCCGATTTCAACGTCTTCAAGGACTGCTTTGAACAATGCGCGCTGGAAACCGGGAACACAGTCGAAAACCTTATCTCCCGCTATCACTCGGAATATCTCGCAACCCCTCGCAAACCCAACCCCTACAACCAGTTCCGCTCGCTTATCAAGTTCCAGGGGGAGAACAGGGAGAAACCTGTGACGGTCTCCCCGGATGTTGGTGAGTGAAGTTGGTTCGTATTCTGACACCATAAAACTGACTACAGCCGTAGCTAACGAAAACTATCGCAAGTCGAAGAAGGCTGGAACTCTCGAGCGGAAACTCGGGATCTGGGAGACCCTGTCGGCTATTGACGGGCCCAATCAGACCCTTCAGGCCCGCGAGAAGTATTTCGAGAATTTCACTGCCATCGCGGATAAGACCGTCGCGGAAGGCGAGAAGCATAACTTGGAGTCTATGTTCATCACCGTGGGCACCTCGATCCATCAAGACCAAGGCATCGTTCACATCGCGGTTACTCCGACTCTGGAAGGGGTAAGAGTGCTATTATTCTAGCCCCGACAAACCCCACTTACCCCTGTCCCCAGTTTCTTCAAAGACATGTTGGTGTTGTTCGAAGGACGAGCTTACAGGTCTGATGCGCCTCTACGTCTGGTAAGTGAATTGTCCTGTTGTCTCGCTTTGACTTGTGGTGGCTTACGTCTTTCATTGGGTTCAGTAACAATAACAAGTCCACAGGGTCCCTCAAGGGTGTCGTTCGCACGAACGTGAGAGAGAACATTATCGCCCTCGCCAAGGCAGAGGGGAGTTCTCTATCGGCAAAGACGTCCATCAGTGCCCGGCAGTCCTCGTCTGTGGGGTCGGCTGCTTCATCGGCAGCCGCCAAAACAGTCCACTCGTCGCTCAAGTCGGATCTGAAGCCGCCGACCAGCACGCCCCAGTCCTCGTCCGTCGGTTCGCATCCTTCTTCCGCAGCTGCCAAGCCTGTCCGCTCGTCGGTCAATCCCGCCACAAAAGGTGTCACCGCCCACCAGCCCACCCCGTTAGTTCGCCAAGTCAAGTTCGACGTCATGCCCAATACCATTGTGATCAAGAACCCGCGAAACACCGCCGGTTCCTACGACTTTATGAGGGACGTCTTCACTGCTGTACAGAGTAAGTGTCCTTTCGTTCTGCAGCTCATATGTCCGACTGACCCTGCTTTCTAGATTACCTCGGCTGCCCTCCTTCTGCGAACGTTATGTGGAAGCAACTTCCTTCAAAACTGGGCGAGGCTGGGTGGTGCTTGAGGAACTACCCCGCGCCTGGGTTTCTGGGTTTGCCGGGGGAGGAGGAGAAGGGTGGAAAGAACGGGCAGGGCTTGAAGGGTGTCCCGGCTGCCCAGAGAAACATTTTCATGGAGCGCGTCCAGATGCCTGGGGGGAATTTGATCCTCGAGCGCGGGGATCCCGTCGGTACGTTTTGTTTTTACTTGGCTTGTGAGTTTGGTTCTGATGGCGTCCTTGACAGAAATGAAAGCAAATCGGCAGCCTGTGATTATCACCGCCGCCCCTCTGTTAACCCCAGCTGAAAAAGTCGCGGTCGAAGCTTCCAAACTCCGCGTCACTGAAATGGACCCCTTCACCTGGCCTCTGGCGAGGGGTCGCCGCCAATTTGCGGACTTGTCCGTGGATTGGGACGGCCTTCATGCCATCGTGCGGGAGAGTACTATCGTCGAGATTGAGGACTCCGATGACGAGTCACCCGCCGCGCCGAACCCAACACCCTCTTCAGCGCCAGTGCCGACCCCTGTCCACACGACGCCAGCTCCACCTTCAACAACCACAGCGCCGACAGCTCCCCTCCCAGCGCCTACTCAAATTTCGGAGTCCACTGTACTGCCAAACGAGCACGCTCGCATCCAACAACGTGCCAATACACCGGCACTTCAACCAGCTCCTGCGTCGGGGAGTTTAGCACCGACGCATGTCCCTACTGTCGTCCCCACACCTGCTCCCACACTGGCGCCGCCTCAAACCCCCACGCCTGAACCGGTGTCGGCTCCACCTGTCACTCAGATCGCCCATTCCACAGTCGCCGCACCAGCCTCCGTCCCCGCCGCAATGTCTCCTTTCGGCAACCATAAGCGCTCCGGTAGCGTCGGGTTCGAGGGAAGCGACGCCAAGAAGGTTCGTATGACCCCTACCCTTGCCCCCACACCTTTGCCGCCACCTCTCCAAAATTCGTTGTCGATGCAATCTTTCGCCTCAACGCCTGCCGCTCCTGTGGGCTTTCTTCCTCACCAGGGCAACCCCGCCTGGCATTGGCCTGCCCCCAATACTCACGCAACGCCTGGCGTCGCACCGGGACCTATCCCGCCGGCTCCCATCGCTCCCCAGGCATCGGCGCCCCTCCCTACTCCAGCATCCACCGACAACGTGGTGACACCGTCGGCCGCGTCGAGCAACCCCGCCTGGCATTGGCCTGCTCCCAATACTCACGCAACGCCTGGCGTCGCACCGGGACCTATCCCGCCGGCTCCCATCGCTCCCCAGGCATCGGCGCCCCTCCCTACTCCAGCATCCACCGACAACGTGGTGACACCGTCGGCTGCGTCGAACGCCTCCATCAACCCCGTGGCGCTCGGCTTTCTCCAGCACCTGCTGCTCCAACAACAGAGTTCTCAAGGTGGAGGCTTGCCTACCGGATACCTGACCCCTGGTGTCGAGCAGCCTTCACTCATTCAGGCAGCATCCAACATGGGACTTGACCCCAATTTGTTGTTGCTCAACATGTTCCACCAGCAAAACCAACACTTCGGCGGCGGGTTTGGCCCAGGCGCTGGGGGCTCGGGGGCCGGCCCGTCATCTTGATCCCGTTCTCTTTATCTTATCTTGTGTCCTCATCTTCTCCGCCTCGTTGATTCTTGCGTCTTATAACCCTGTCGTGTTTCTTAAGTTTTCGTCGTCTCTGACCGTCTTTGCTCTCGCATACATCACATATACACACTCTGTACCTTACTCTACCTTGTCGCTGTCATGACCGTTCGCAATATACCCGTTTTCTTGACTTAGGCTGAAAAAAACATACGCGGTTTGCCACGACATAGCGGTCCATTTAAGGAAGCTCTCTTGTCTAGAAGATATAACTGGCGCTGTCACATGGTAGTTTGTACAAGGGGGATGACATGACTTATGACAGGACCAGTCTAATAATAGTACCTCCTGGTGCACCATGCAACCGGCCGCTCAACCGACCGTCCGACTGGTGTCGAGAGGTTACCGACCGTCTACCCACCTCCCGACCCTCCACCCTGTCTGCGGTGGCACCTGCTGCCGGTTCCTAATCGGGATTTTGGTGTGTTTCGCCGGTGCCAAGCCTCCCGGTTAGGCATGTTGGGCCATGCCAACATAATTAGGCTAAGGGGCCTTCTTCTCGTGGGAACCGTCAGTCCTGAGCTGGCTGTTTAATTGGAGTTTCGTCAAGACGGTTATTGGAGCTCTGAAAGTAAGCATGGCGAACGCGATGTGTTGATTTCGGTTTGGGGTTGGTTAGTCAAGTAGTGAGTTTGCTTGGAGAGGAAGTTGAACGTTGCGGAAGAAGATAAAGATGCAGATCACGCAGTGAGTCAACAGCCTTGAGTTCCGGCGTTTTAATGAATCACCGGGACTTTCAAGTTTGACGGCGTCGGTGTTGTGAATTTGAGATATGGCTACTTACTTACTGTATACTTACTGTATACTTACCTCTCACTTGGGTGACTGAACTAAGTCACCACAAATCGCATATCCAATGTTACAGGCCGGTGAGTCATTTCACTCCCAGTACCAGGCAGTGGTCTTCGGCCCAGGAGCATATCGGCAGGCTCCAGCATGCTATCCGCATTTTCTGAAAGCCCTAACAGGCCCGATGGGATTGTCAGTCTGGCTGGGTATGTGTACTGAAATTGGTCACTCTATTCCTACTCAACTTGGTGTACTTATTGTTCAAGCGCCGTGCATCGACGACCACTCGGTGGTTGGCGCCCACACCGCAAAAGGAAACAACCCATCAACGGGATTTGGCCAAGTTTGGACTGCGTGGCTGTGCATGGCGGCGATGCCGTTCGGCCGCGCGTCGTGACGCGCCAGACTCGTTTAAGTTGGCCTTTTCTTACCTTCTCTACGCACTATTAGAAAGAATGGCGGAACCCCTTACCCTTGAGGGTCGTGTGCGCTCTATGGTAATTTAATGCGCCATCTACCACCCATTACCCACATTGATGCTGTCCCTTGGGTTTCATGATAGGAGTTGTGGCTGGCTTCCCCCTCGGTGTCTACGAGGTCAATCGGAAGTATGGCGTCGCAGCAGGCGTTGTTGTATCCGGTCTGGGCATGTGGTGGGGGTGCCAAACTCCCGCACTTGCTCATGAGGTGCGTCGCGGTTGATCCCTCTTTGGGGGTCGAAGATAGCGAGTGAACACTAGCACTCATTCCAATTATCAGCGATATCGATTAAAAGGGTGGCTACGCTCTTCGAGAAGGATAGGCCAGTCGATGAGATCCAGGATCTTGCAACGAAGAAATGGCGACGGGCATTACGTTCCATGTAGGGGCTATTTATTTATTGGGTCCTAATTATTTTTGGAGACACGGTATAGGGTGGTAATAGGCTGTTCAGATATCTCGCGATAGAACACCCCGAGCATTGTACTATGTGTCTACTGATACTGAGCCATACACTCCTTCTCAATATGAAGATCCATACACCATAGTATAGCCCTCTGAAGCACTGAGTACACACCCAGACATAAGGAAGGCCCCAACACATCCTGAGCCCAGATCGCCTGGGTTCAAACCTCGGTTGAACCCCTGTTTATGACGGGGTTGAACCGCGGTCATTCGGCAAAGTTATGCGCCGGGGTCAACGATCGTTGCAACCCCTGTAGATATTTTCTTCTTTTGACCTCAATACTTCTCGATACCAATTCCACCAATTCACCCCCAAGGCCTCAACTTTGATCATGTCGGCTCCAGCTTCAGATGAAGCGTTGAATCCCAACCGTGAGCATTTGTGACGTCATGCGAAGCTTCAGCGCTGACGAGTCTCCGCGATCCCACCTCAGATTGGACTGTCACCCAATCCTCTGACGGTTCTCCCGTATACACCTGTAGAGTATGCGTCAATTACAATGCCCATTACCTTCGCCACTGCCTAGCACACCAGCGCTCGCAAAGACACCAGCAAGCCATCCTATTCTCCGAGATCGAGCAGACCGAAGGGGAAACGGATTTCTCGCGTCCGCCTTTTCCCTCTAACGGCGACGAGCTCGTCGTGGATGATGTAGTACGCTCCATTGTGAGCGCATTGCACGGAAACGTTCCCAGCAATCCACCTCTTCCGTTATACCCCGAAAATCACCCCTCTCTGCGTGGCATCCGCCTTCAACACGACAACCATTGGGAGACCTCACCTGCAACTGGCATAGACTATGGAGTGTTTGAAGACTCTCTATCTTTGGACTCCCCTCCACTGCAAGAAGTCGTCACAAACACGACAAAGGCTATCATGGAGATCCTGGATATGGACTTGAGTGATGTGGAATGGGCCGAGAGGAGTGATTCAGAAGAGGACAGTGAGACGTCTGGTGTGTAGACTTCTAGGCACTACATTTGTAGTGAGTAATGACCTCCCAACAGATGACGAGCTTTATGGTTTTGATGAAGACGACGAACTCGAGGAGGAAGGACCGCGGAAACGACCACGAGGGTACCAGAGTGATCCACAGACAGCACGAGCGTGGTTCCCGTGGCAAGACAAAATGGTACATCGTTTAATCGTTCTCTTCATTCTGAATTCTGAATTTCGGTGGCATCTAGACGTGTACTCTCGACCTTCTCATGCACCTTCCCCGCTCGGTTTTCTCCCAGCGTCAACTCGAGCTATTCTTATGGTTGTTGAGAGTTAACGGAATACACGACGTCCCTTCGGTGAAGACCATGAAGCGTATAAACGACTCCCTTCAAGAACTATGCGGAGTTGAGTCAGTCCCATACGACGGCGTTATGGGAAACCGATACTATGTTAACAAGCTCTCGAAGATCCTTGCTCAGGTGCGTGGAAAGGAGTCTTGTAGCCTAATCGTGGTCAGAGATTCTAATCGCAAGATGTAGGAAATGGCAAATCCACTCGTACGCCCCAATCTCCAGTTTTACCCCGAAGATTGCGCGAAGCGAGTGTCTGAGGCTGCCCATGGCGCTCGGTGGCTTCATGAGCTATCTCCTGAAGACTCAACACCAATGATTCGACGAGGCGGGACCGACTATTACATCCACGAGCCTGCAATGATTGTCGATGGATCATGTTGTGTCCCTTTCCGATGGTTCCGTAGGAAAGGCAGGCTCTTTGCTGAAGCTTGGAAGATGGAAATCCATACCGAGGTTGAGGGACAAAGTTCGTGGAGGGTGCGGGAGGATGAGGTCATTGAGGTTATGGAGAACCTCTTGTGGAAGAATTTTCCGCAGCTGAAGGAGGAGTATGAACACCTCGGGATTCCTAGCCCTACACAAATCCATCGTAAGTAGGCGCCTCATCACGGGGAAGATTGTGTTCTGACCATTCCCAACCTAGATATTTTCCGTTTCATCGAAACTCCCGGTCAAGTCAGAATGCCCGAAACCGTCAAGTGGGAGTACACAGACCCCACTGTTGGCAATAAGTGGCGTGCATTGGCGCTCGGACACCGAGTTATGGCACTTCCGATGTGGCTTTACTGCGATGACACATCTGGTAACGTCTCGAAACGATGGAATGAACATAATAGCTTTCTATTCACTCTCGCCGGCCTCCCTCTCGACCATGTGACCAAGGAATATAATGTCCACTTTCTCTGTACATCGAATCTTGCCCCGCCACTAGAAATGCTAGATGGTGTAGTCTCGCAGCTCGAGTACGTTGTTCTATTCTCTCCTAAGCAACGCGGTCTAAGCAAAAGTCCAGAGACTGTAGAGAGTGTGGTGTGTGGGCATGGGACTGCAAGCTGCAAGAGCTTGTTCTCGTCTTTCCGTCTGTGCTTGCTCTATTGGGCGATAATCCCATGCAGAGTGAACTCGCTTGCCACATTGGACTCGCTGGCAAGTATTTCTGTCGAGTTTGCTGGGTGCATGGGGCCGATCCCCCGCCGGACCAGGCAGATAATGTGAACGCTCGCACGTCATCAAGACCCTCTTCCCCAGCACCACACTCCACCACGCCTCCCGCATCTCCTTCCATGCCTCCTACGCAAGAGGCCAATATTACTGAAACAATGGCCTCGATGGTTGCACGCATCAAGCGTTTTATTTCGGTGAGCAGGCAACAACGGCCACGTACTTAAGCGCAAAACTAATCTAGGACAACAGGGTGACAGGTTACGGAACCGGAACGAAACTGAAGACAAGCTACGATCATACTTTACGTGGGCAAAAGATCTCGGAAACCTCAATCGCATCAAGAAGGAGAAGACTGCAACTGGGATTAAGGATACCCTTCAAGATTTCTTCCTTGATAAGGTCCATAACGCATACAAACGAATTCGAGGGACTGGCGGACGTAGGGAGGCGTTGGAAGAAGCGTTTCGGTGCCTGCCGAATGAGATAACAAGTCCAGTTTGGAGAATCAAAGGTATGTGTATCGTACAGTTGTCGTATAATTATCATGTACTGATTTTGTTAATCAAGGCCTTGACCCACATCGTGACACCCCTGTCGAGATCCTGCACGTCATTCTCCTTGGAATTGTCAAGTACTTTTGGCGGGACCTCATCCACAACCAACTCGACAAAAAGGACGACAAGAAGCAGCTTTTAATGCATCGCCTTTCGAGCCTCGACGTATCAGCCCTGGGTTTTTCACCACTTCGAGGCAGGACTTTGGTCCAGTATGCAGGTTCTCTTACCGGCGGCGATTTTCGAGCTATTGCACAGGTTGCACCCTTCGTGATCTATGACCTTGTCGATCACGAATGCTTTGAAGCTTGGGTCGCTCTATCGAAGCTGGTGCCTAAGGTTTGGCAGCGTGAAATCAACGACATTGACATCTACTTAGTGAGTGTATTTTCAATCGCGATGGCAAGCTGTATTCAAAATTGATACAGGAAGAGTTGGAATACGATATCGAGCAGTTCCTCCTTCGAACAGCGCAGTGGACAAGTCAGTGGTTCAACAAACCTAAGTTCCATATTCTGCGGCATCTCCCTGATCACATTCGACGATTTGGCCCTGCCATCCTATTTGCTACCGAGACATTCGAATCGTTCAACGCTGTGATACGAGCCAAAAGTGTCCACAGTAACCGGCAGGCCCCATCTCGCGACATTGCCCGGGCATTCGCGCAGGGAAATCGTGTACGCCACCTCCTCAGTGGTGGGCGCATCTTCCAACTGTCCCCGAGTTCTGGTCCCCCTGTCTACCCTCTATCACTAGACGAGCTGTCTGCGAGCGCAAACTGGACGGTTGCAGGTGATGATGTCCGTCAACTGGTCTCGACTAGTACAGATACTGGAGCGACGATTGCTTCGTATCTGGGATTGCCAATCAGCTCGCGGTATGACAATCCGGCCCCAGGTATAGAAATACCACCTTTCATCTCATACTCCCTTTACTGATCTCTTTTACTAGGCTCTCTGGTAGCTGATAAGTCGCCTATTCGCAGCTTTACCAGAACGCTGGCTGGCCAGCATTTCCGTCTGGGGTCAGATGACCGGAAAGTCAGGACCTTCAGCTCAGTCGTGCTCGGAACCGGCGATGTATGCAAACTCGGCCAACACGTTCTGTTCACACCCACGAATGAAGAAGGCAATGGAGCGCTTTGGGCTGTTGGAGCCGTCCGAGAGATCGTCCAGGTACAAGGGTCTTTATCCTCCAGACGAGGTGGGCCGGATTTTGTTCTCGTGCAGAACATCACCTCAGCTGGAACCTCCGACAAGTACCACATGCCTTCCCTTCGGATGTCTAGTTCCTACTCATTGCTCAAATTCGACGTAAGTTGTCTTTTGGTAACTACAAATACTCTCCACTGATGTTACTGATGTTGAAACTCTATCTTAGCAAATCAAATGCACTGTGAACGTACAACACGATTGCTTTACGCATCATTGTGATACCACTGGTTTCCGGATCGTCCGTCAAGAACGCCAGAACACAGCACTAACAACTCCAGTCGTAGAACATCGCAACTACGCTGAAGGTCTTATTTTGAACCTTGCACAGATGCGAAATGCATCTTTGACTTCCGCCGCCCGTGTTCCTAACCCGCCTCTGGATTTTGAAGCTACAGTCTTCGCCTCTGCACGACGAGAGGTGGACCGACGGAAAGCCAGAGCGCCAGTGACATCAACCTCTCGAGGACATCCAGCCCCTTCAGCTCCAAGTCCTTCAACTGGTAGGACAGTGGGATCAATAGGCCACGGGGGTAGGTCTGTGGCAGGTACTGTTCAACCGTCACCGCTGGGTTTGCAGTCGGTGGCGAGTGTGGGTTTCCAGTTTGTGATGGAGAGTGGCCGTTCTGAGTCGCGTGCTGCTGAACTCTATTGACCTAGAATTATGTTTAGAACTTGTATCTACTTCCATACTCTTGAGTACAAGTCCTTGCTGCACCCGGAATGAACATATGGCTTTGTCGATAATTTGTGAATCACGATATCGCCAAGTCGGGGCATCGAACACGAAAAGGAGTCCGGTTTCCTTATTGGGGTGTAATGACCGCATCCAAAAGCTCCGCATCGTGACCAACGATATTTGAAATTCTTGCTCTCCTCTCCTCTTGGCCAGCATGGACTTGGGAAAGGACAATTCAAGGACTCAATTCGCGTCGCGACGCGACACACTTCATGATTCTGTTGAAGCAGAATCAACAGAGTGGATACAAACACAGTAAAATAAAGGGGGTTCCGAGGGGGTATAAAGATTGATCGCACTCTTGTAAATTCTTCCACCACCACCTCGCCCACCGTGTTTTCTATCCAACATGTCCTCTCCTAACTGGACCTCCAGCGCGTCCTCTTTCTCCTTCTCCGACCCTCTCTCTTTTGGCACTCAGCTCAACCCCGACCGCCCGTTTGACGTCGCAAATGTTATTGACCACCTTGGTGCTCAATATGGGTTGAGACCAGAGCAGATCGCAGAACTACACCGACTTTACCAGGCAAGTTCTTTGATTCTGGCTTGTTATTGACAAATGTCTAATCATTTTGGATTCAGTTCTCGATGAAGCTATCTCCACCACCCTGCACCACTCAAGCTCTGGCCCTCCGAATTTATGAAAGGGTCATCGACATGTGGAACGGCAACCGACTTGAAGCTCGCATCTCCGCCATGTTCTCAAACGTGCCAACGGCCCCCACCAACGGAGAGCAAAGCATCATGAACGATCTTGCACTCCGCCTGGAGAATCAATACGTGCTTTCAGATGTACAAAAGGTACGGGTTTTCTCTTGCACAACAAGGTATCCTTTCTAACCTTGCTGGGCAGTCGACGAGCAGAAGGGAGCTCCAACTCCTCGTCATGCAGCCCAACCGTTTGTGCTACACCGCTTTGGCTACAGACGGGATGGTATGTCAACGTTCACAACACTTGTTTCACTGCAGCTAATGCACGGATATAGAAGCGTCTTAAAGCAAATCAGAGGACTCTCCGGATGGAGAATGCGTTCACAACTCCAGCGCGAGTCGACAAGACCTCGTCCTACGTCCGTAAGGCTGCCTCTAGCGTCCGTAATGGATATCGTCAAGACGTGAGCCCTTCGTTAGTTTATGCTGTGGCAGAGCTGACTTTTGGATCCAGATTCGTGACAGCATTGGTCTAGGGCCCAAAGGAGGTCGCCCAGTTGCTCTGGTTCACACTGTGACTGCACTTGTCAATAAATACATCAGGAAGCCTATGGATCTCGAAAGGTTGAACAGCAAGGGATATATTATGAAGACCGCAATCCTGGTGAGTGCTTACAGTCGCATAATGGTTCAAATTCAACTCATTTTCGTATTTCTAAAGCGCCGTTTTGCATGGGAGAACAAGGAGCTCCTCCAGGTCGAAGAGGATGAAGAGGCTGCAGCCAACGAGTCCGAGGACAACCCATCCCCTCCTGCCAAACGAAAGCGAACAGCACGAGGAGGCCGGATTCCTCGAGGTCAAGACTTCTGGGGACGATTTGACAGCTATCTCCTTGAGAAGACAAAGACTCTCGGCAAGGATATATCGTCGGTTGGATGGAAAGCGTGAGTGCTCGTGTACTTTGCGCTCACTCCTGTGCTAATTTTTGTTGAAGTTTCATCAGGGAAACTATTGAAAGTGATCTTACACGATGGCCTGATGAAGACGATTGTGAGGGTGAAGAGGAGGGCGTAGATTTGGACCCCGAATTATCATTCACATCTCTCGGTAGCCCAGCTTCCCAGGCGACTCAACCGCCTACTCAATCATCTTTGGCTCACTCATCCACCCAAACGACGCTCGCTACCGTTCAGTCAACTCCAGCTCATCGATCTACTCCATCCATGACCGCTCCATCTGCTCATAACAACTCACAGCTTGCTCATCCCCAGCCGCAGACTCCCTCTGTAGGCGGATCTCTCCGGTATTTTACTTCTTCTTCGCCTCTCTATACGCCTGGGCACCACAGCAATCCTACCCCATATCATCACGCTCCATCCCGAGCCGCCCATCGCGCCTGGGAGGGACAGTAAAGAATGATCATACACTACCTTCTTAACTAATTCAAAGCAGATTCTCTCGTAATTCTAACTTCTAGTGACGCTAATTCTTTCATAAATCTATGCTTGTTACTTCTTACTCTATTGTCTATATCATAATTGTATTTAAATCTCTCGCCTCCGTTTTGTTGCTACCATACAAATTGAATTCATTCTTTATCTTGAACCCCTGTCGACGATTCAAGAGATTGCCGAGCCTGAGGCCAGCTGATATAGAATCATGCAGACTTTGCCCCGGGTGTGTGATGCCGATGCTCAGAGTTGAAGGCCCTTTCCTTCTTCCCCGACCACCACGACCTCTCAGCTTGCTAAACGCACAAAGTCTTTGAAATGACCGAGAAACGGAAAAAAAGCCTGTTTCAAATGGAGGACTGGCAAATGTATGTTCATTGTGCATTTTGACTTGCATAGATCCTGACTTCAGACTGTTCAGAGAGCCAAAAAGGACTCTGGAGGAGGAGGTCAATAGACTGAAACGGCTTGTGAATACATTGGAGGGGAGGGCCGCGAGACTTGAACGTCGAGAAGAGGAACTCCGCTCATATGAAAAGGACATGTCGGCCATACATCAAGATATCAGAGCCATCCGCAAACGTGTCACTGAATCCGAAGAAGAGTCCCGCAAACTGAAGAAGATTCTGTTAGCGCTTGCGTTGTTCTTCAAGGCTGTCCACAAACACGTCACCAAATCAGAAGAAGAGTCTCGTAAACTTAAGAAGATCTTATTGGCGCTCGCGTTGTTTTTGATCAGGGATGCCAATGTCGAACCTCCTTCACAAGTCCTTCTTGATGCCGGGTATCTTGTTAGGAAGGAGCTCAATGAGCATATTGGGAATGTAAAGGTTGATAGACGTCAATAGCATACTTGCCAATACAGTGATATTCGATGAATTGCTGCTAAATGAGCGTGAAGTTCTGTGGAGATAGGGGCGCGTCAGAGATCATGTGATCTCACGTGTGAGAAGGATCAACAAAGAAATTCAACATCGTTCTCTCTCGTCAACCACCATTTGCGTTTCCCCTCTCCCTCTGTGTTTCAGCTTGCAACATCGGTTATGACGTGCGCGCTCCCTCCTCTGGGGTCTGGCTTGCGCAACGCACATTTGGTTCTCCCACTGCGCCATGACTGGCTTCTGCACGGATCCTGGGATCACCAGCGGGACGTTTCTGGTCTGGCTCTCTTCATTCACGTTCCAAAATTGAGCTCTACTAGATCGGATTCTTGCGTCGGACTGAGGCCCAGGTGAGTTGTGTCAATCCGTCATCTTTCTCGCTAATTATAACGCGATGTCCAGATGCTGAGCTTTGCGTCCAAGGCGGTTCAAGGGCCATTTTATACCATGTAAGCTCTCAGTCTGCTGTGGTCTCTATTCCCTATCTCTGATGTGTGCTTCTACAGGTGGTGTGGGGCGCTTCTTTGTCAATCCGTGGCGAGGTACATCATGTCTCTCGATTTTTTGTTTGAGTTGCGCTGACGTTCTATTGATTCATCGCAGTTGATTCATCGCAGTATCGATTGAGCAAAGACGAGGGAGTACGGAAGTTCAGCAAAGGTGGCTATTCGTCAATGGTGTGTTGCTCTTCTCCTTCTTGGATTCTCGTCTGACTCTTCTTCTTTTATTCAGATAGCTTGGGAGGTACTCGAGTTGTAGGCCTGCTGCAGCTCAATACCTAACATTGAGCTCTCTTGAATCAGGTAAGGGATGGTTGTCATTTTGTATAGTGGCTTGTAGTAGATAGATTTAATCTACCATCCTTATGTATTCAAAATTCGAAACCGGGATGCGATGAGCATGAGGCAAGGTGGCTGGAGGAGCCAGGGGAGGTCCCCAGAGCAGAAGAACCCAATGAACCCGACTGGTCCTTGAGGTCAAACCCAGGCGCTCCCGGAGGCTAACCTGGGGTTAATGCGAAGGGTGCATAACCCCAGGTTAGGAGCGCCTGGGTTCGGTTTGGTTCAATGCGCAATGAACCCTAGCACCGTGGTCACCTGGTTATCCCGTGTTTATCCTACCGACCCGGATGTGTAACACACTGGTGACCAGATAAGGGCTGCCGCCTTGGCCATCAAACCGATGATGCCGCAATGCCGTTCGGCAACGCGTCGACGCGTCGTGACTCGTCCATGCGCATCGCGGGCAAATCGCGGGTTGGTCTTTTTAACTTCGAACTCGCCAGCCGTTTGGGGGCCTCCTTTCGCGAAAGAATGGGAGAAACAGACTCAAGGGATAACCCCACAACAACAAACCATGCGCTGATTGCGGTAAGCTTCCCATTCCTGCTGAATACCGATATTGACATTGTTGCATCAGTCGGTGAGTTTAGGAATTGGACTCGCCATCCCGTTCCTCATTGTCCGGCGTCGAAGACAAGTCGTTGCAAGGTCTGGGGTGGACATGACATACCCCGGCCCACCTCGACGAGCTCCGGCAAACCAGGCTCTCTTGACACGCAGAGCCAATGTTTCTGGGTCGCCAATTCGAGATGTAAAGGTGCAAAAAGGAACGCCGGAAGAAATGACAGAGCAGGAGGACTCGGTCAAGGCGTTTGGGTTCCGGGAGTCTCTCTCGCATTTGAACGCCCAGAACGGGGCTTTGGGTGCTAAGGCGCTTGGGATTGCTACAGTAGGCGTTGCTGCCGGTGGTTTCGGCATTTGGTGGGGGTTCACGAACCTTCTCACGGTTGAAGAGGTGCGTTGAACGACTCATCACATATGCCACGGACAGCGAGTGACCACTCACTATCAGCGAGATCGACTCCTTGTGAGGTTCAAAAGTAGCACAAACTCCCCCGGAAATACGTAGAGGAGGTTAAAAGCATTTCAATATTAATGAGTGAGCATGACTGAATGTCACGCGTGAAGTTGGAAGCCGGCCTGTCGACTTAAAACTCCGCCACCCGCTCCGTTCGATGTCTATTTAACGCTGTTCGCTCGCACTTTTATCGATATCGATCCGAACTCCTCTTAGCTCTAGGTCTCTATTACTTTGATATGGATAGGATGAATATCCACTTCCGTCCGTTCGAGGACATGATTTACTCAAGAAGGCCGGCGAGCGACCACCCTGTCCTTGGGAATTACGATCTCATGGCAGCCATTTTCTCCACATTCAAAGGTTCGAAGGTCGAACTGCCCTGTTCAGGGCATCTCTAGCATCTCGATCCTTCAAGGATCCTGCCTTGGATGCATTATGGGTGGATCTAGAGTCCTATATTCCACTTTTGCGGCTTTTGCCTCGAGTAGAAGGTCATGATAACATCTACGTGAGTTCTCTCTCAATCGATAGATTATTCTGAACGAAGCATACTCATCGGCTGATTCTCCTACTTTATGGACGTAAACAAGTATTTCGAAGGAGACATTACAAACTCGAAGTTCTTGGAGTACGCGCGACGCGTCAAGACCATTGTCATTCCGCCATACAAGGAGAAAATTTCCTACTCCAACCAAGTCTTTACAAGGCTCGCAACGCAACTCGGTGGGCGTCCGATGCTTCCGCAGCTTGTTCGTCTTCGCATCGAAGATGTCGACGCGACAGGTTTATGCCTCTTTCCTCTCCTCGCATCGCCCACTGTGAAAGCCATCGAATTTTGTCGAGAGTCACTCTCTCGACCACACCTGTACCGATCGGTTTTTCCCACGATGACAACGGATCTACCGGGGCTCAAAAGCATCGTGTTGGTACACGACACCGCTACATTTAATTTGGGCCACAAGATTCCAAGCATGCTTCTCGAAATCACAACCATCCAGCGACTTCACTTCGATCTACCAGGAACGTACCTTAACCCCGATTTCCTGGTGGAGATGGGCAAGAGGTTCAGACATCTTGTCGAGCTCTCTTTAAACATCAGCTTTCATTCTGGATCTTCTTGTCCGCGACCTGGAGCGACCGTCGATCAGGACGGACTTTTCCCCGCGATGTCGTCCCTCCACCTCACCGTTCGGGACGGCGCGAGCTGTCATTTCAAACCGGGATCCACACCATTCTTAGAGTTATGCCTTGGATTTCCTCCCTCATTTCTGTCGAGGTTGACCTCCTTGACCGTATACATTCCCAGCCACGTTACGCCAAGCAGCCTCGTCGGGCTCAAGGAGGTATTCAGTCAGTCACCTTCCTTGCGACGAATAGAACTACGGCAGGATCCAGGGGTTGATATCCACCTCACATTTGACGTGGTCCAGTCGATCCTCAGCATTGCAAGTATAGCAGAGGTCATACTGGACGTCCCCTCCCTCAGTCTCAGTCTTGGTTGGGGCGAAAGTGCCGACAGCAAAATCAGCAAACTCATCGACGCTGCTTACAGCTCATCAAGAACGGCGCCCTTGCGGAAGCTGATCTTTCCTCACGGTATGAATAAAACGTGCACTCTTCGACTCTTGAAGTATATTTCGCAGAAGGCTGTGGGCCTGGAGCACTTATCCGTTCCGCTCCATTCCAGCGCCTGGTCTCTTTCAAACCACTGGGAGACCGACCTCGTATCCACCAGCACCATTCGACATTTGGAAATCAGCGACACGCGATCGACTGGAACCGGGCTTTCGTTTGAGGAACACGACAATATCGCACGGTACCTCGACCGCGTTTGCCCCAATTTGATGACGCTGGCGCCACGCGTCAATTCTAGGGGCCAAGGTTCAAATCACCAGGGAAGCTGGAAGTTTGTTGATAGGTTGAGGAAGAAAGAGAAGGCCATTCGTGTTTACGGGGGTCCAAATGTCGCACTTTACTAGTAGCGCTAGACTAGCTACGCCTGGTTGATAGCACCATCGAATGTTCACTGTCCATGTAGCCCAGATTTCTGTGTACCCTAGTACTTGATCAGGTATTTTCTTTTTTGTATGAAAGTTTCGTTTCAACGGTCCTGCTTTCCTTTTTTCACCGTGACTCGTAAGGTTTGAAGAAGCGAAACGGAACTGGGAGACTGCACCGTCCGAGTCGGTCCTCTCTGGAATCTGGATGGTTTGGCGGAGGGCATCGAGGTTTCCTGGGGAGAATTCTCCAGAGATTTCGGCGAGAATTCGGCATGGGAGAAAAATGATGGCGAGTAGACATCCCAGCTCCCATCCCAGCCACCCGGAGTCGATGCCAAGTGCAGGGGATTTGCTTCCGCAAAGTTCTAACCCGGTGGCCACCCAGACTTTTTACCTCGCATATCCGCTGTATGTAGTAGTGAGTCTTGGATTTTGTCCGTGTACTCATAGGGCGGCGTGCGCTTCTGTAGGAAGTTCCAACTTCGGTAAATTATCTCTGCACATCTACGTAGCACCCTCATCGAGCGAGAATCCGTCTTCCAAGTTGCTCAAGTTGAAGCCAATATCGCAACTATACACCAGGAGCTAGACGGTGTGCTGCAACTAATTCTCTGCGAATAATTGGGACTGTTATTCTGCTTTGGCGTGCATACGAAAAAGCAAATCAATCTCGAGTGTCAAACTTGAGGCGGACTCTTGGTCAGCCGAAGTCGCGGGGCAAATCGGCACAACGAGCTCCTTCTGATATGGTGGTATTCAAGGTTGGGAGAGTGGCGACTGTTGACGGCGCCTTAGACGAGCGATAAAAGTAGACAAAATTTCTCCTTTATTTCTCCTTGATAAAAATAACATCGATTGGCTGAACAGGAGTGTGGTATTCGGTAAAGGACAATATGAGCGGCAACGCGTAGAGGCGGAGACTGGCGGAGACGGAATCGCCATCATGCCGAATTCTCGCCGAAATCTCTGGGAGAATTCTCCCCAGGGTAAGGCTCCAACCATATACTATCCCTTTACTCCGCTTGGAGTATTTATAGGGATAGGGTATCGTAAAGAGTATATACCCTATATATAGGGTAAAAGGGTTTTTGAAAAGGGTAATACAATTGATTTATAAACTACGACAGCAGCTCCTTGCTACCGTGCTTCACCACCTTCTGAGGTCTCGCTACCAAGTCAAATAGCCCATCCCTGATCCAAACCTTTGTCAACATGGCCTCACGGATGGTCTCCGCCTTGAGAGAGCTTCGCCATTCAGTGCATAGGCGACGCGATTTCGCAAATAGACGCTCGACAGAGACACTAGTGGCTGAGATTGCAAGAATATCTCGTGCCATTCTTGATAGGACAGGGAAGGAGCCCGAATGAACCTGTCAATTGTGATTGACGAAATCAAGGCACAGTCAATCAACGTGCATAGCTTCAGGTAAGGGACATTAGGACATACCTTCCACCATGCAAGAGGATCCAACAAATTTTGAGCAGGGCCACCCTCGAAATTGAAGTACCTTCGAAGCTCTTCGTCCAAGCGCTCACTCGCTGTGTCAACCACCATGGTGGGAGCAGGTATGTCCGTCAGACACATGTCATCCAAGAGACTCGATGACGAGCTTGCTCTCTCCAGTCGTACATGAGCTTCAGGCTCTGGATCAGCTGCTGATTCTTCGGACTCCTGGTACTTTTCCGCGATGGCCCGGGTTATGAATTCGACGTCCCAGACCTTCTTCTCTTGGTCGATGTCGGTAGAGGCCATCTTCCTGAACCACTGGGAGCGCATGGTCGGGTGAAGTACTAGAATACACGCCAAATATCAAAAAATGCAACAACTATCGATGAGATCTTGCTCACCAGTACCAAGAATGTAATTCTTGTTGTCTACTGCGCGATTCTTGTACTTTAGAAGCTTGTCCTTTCCAACACTAAGCGCCTGCCGGATGGAAACAGCCAGGTCCATTCGGCCAAGGTAGCTGTTCAGATGATTTTCGAGGGTGCAATAGATAGGTAAAACGAATGGAATGGTCGGAGTTTTCGAGGCTGAGAGCCTCTTCGTTGCATCTGTGAATGGCTTAGGGAATATGTGAGATCCAATCCATGATTCAATGCGTCCAATCATACCTCAAGGATCTCAGCAAGGAGCTTCAGACGTTCCCAGTCCTCCTTCTTCAATCCCAAGTCCCGGTACTCTTTCATCTCAAAAGTCCACGAGTCAATTGCCTAGATCACGACCAGAGCTAGTTAACGAAGTGAATAGCTTATAGCCAATAGATATTTACCTCAGAAAGAAGCAAAGCTCGAACTATCATTGCGTACGTCGAATTCCATCGTGTGCGCACGTCCCGAAGCACCATTAACATTGAACGAAGAGGGCTATTGGGATTCTTCTCATCAACTCGCTTATTCCCATACTTTGCAGCAGATATCTTCCAGAACAACTGGCGACGTTGCGGCGAAGAGGTGATTTTGTTGACGATAAATCGGAGCTGTGAATAAATGAGACATGATAAGCCAATCCGAGGTCGATCGATGACAAAACCTTACCCGTTGTAGCGCTGTATTGGTTTGTACCACTCCAACTTCCTTTTCCAGCTCCTCCGAGCCTAGTTCTTCCAGGATTTCCCTTTCTACATCATCGATCTCAACACAGTATTCCATATCAGTCGTCCGATTTGCTTCGAGCTCCCGCAACTCGTCATTATCTTCCACGTCGTAATGGATTGGCGCATCTTTATTGATCATGAAGTGATCTGTCTCCGGGTCACCGTCTTCTTCACAGGCATCAGCTTCATTTAGGGATGCGAGAATGTCTTGAACGACGAGGTTAAGAATATGTGCAAGGCAGGTAATATGATTATCGGGCTGCGACGGAATATTGTAAAGCGATAGGAGGTAACGAGATGCGGTTCGAAAGAGCACACTGTTTACCGCGGCGCCATCCGTAGACAGTGCTGAGAAGTATAGAACAGATGTTGGTAAGTCACTGGGGTCTTCATATTCCATAATGCCGACTTATCTTGTTCAAGCTCCCAACATCGCGCGCTCCCTTCACAAAAGCGAGGCCTGCATAAACTCCTTCGTGCTCGCGGCTCTCAAGGGGTTTGAAGTCGATCACACGCTCGACAAGGTTCCAGTTGTCATCGATAAACGAGGCAATGGTCCCTGAAAATGTGTAGATCATCTGGCGATTGGTCCAGGTATCTGTGGCATATGCAATCTTCGACTTCGTTTCCTACAAATAGTAAGCATCACTCTAGACTCTACGCAAAGATAATACAGATATAAACGTACCGCCAGCTCCTTGACGACCTTATCGCGAAGCTCTGCGTGGATCCGATGCAGCTGATCCTTCACAGTGGTGTCGGTCGGAAGCTTGAAGGGAATACCAAGGTAGCGGAACACTAGGGCAATCATCGGGGTCTCACCTGTTGTCCAAGACAGGTCGTCGTCGAAAACCCAAGCTGAAAATACCCGGTTGAAACCACTTTGGGTAGGGATGATAGCGGGGTTCAGCTTCCCATCCTCAAGGAACTTTGCCATGAGAACGACACTTTGTTGATAGTTTAACTTGATGCCAGATGCGAGAGGCTGTCCCGGGGATGTTTCTGATTGCTTCGCCAGCCCTTTACACCGCTGAAGATGTGCCGCAAGGTTTCCGAAGGTGTTAGGGATCTCGGGTTCATCATCGAAGGTTGGATTATTGCCGCTCAAGGTGCGTGCAAACTTCCGTACGCTGGAAGGAGTGAAGTTTATATGGTAGAGACGTATGAGGTGGGAATAGGACGTACGAAGGGCAGTACTTGCAACGGAATAACCACTTCATCTTTCCTTCTTCGACAATGGGGACTGGATCATGATAGTGCTGCATGCTTTTGTTGGGAGGACCTCGTCGGGCGGCGCGTGGTCGATTTTCTTCGTCTAGGACTCGCTTGAGCGCAGTAGCGCCATCGGACTCCTCGCCTGAGTCGATGGATATCGGCTGGTCGGCAGTGCTTCCATTGTGCGCCTGGAATCATTGTCAACGATGCTGAGTGCGCCCTGAATGCACAACTCCCTCACCTTCTGCTTTCCTTTCGACTTCCTTGATTTTTTTCTGCTGGGAGAAAGCCTGGAGCCGGAATTGTCGAGCTTAGCGCGTTTGGCAGCGCGTTTATCGTTCTGGAAGATGTATCAAGAAACAGTGCGTCGCAAGTTAAGGGAATACTCACCAGTTCCTTCTGAAGCTCGGTATCTTCAACGATCTCCTCGCCATTTTCATCGAAGATCTCAAGGGGTCCGTCGTCTGAGTCGTCTTCATTGCTTTCCTTCGGTGGTATGTAGTCCTTGTCATCTGGATCGCTATCTGAACCTTCGGGGACCGTTTCAGGTGCGCGCTTTCGCTTCTGGGTCCCCCCTGATGTCCTGCACCGAAGAATGAAGCTGTTTAGTGTTGTATTACACGATGGGTTGTATAATACTCACTCTGGATTCCTTTTACAGATTTCCTTTAGCTCTTCAACCAGGCGCATAACCTTGGGCATTGCAGCAGTCCACTGAAACGCCTCGGGCCGTATGGTTGCTATCTCATCGAAGTAGCTGATTACCATGTCCAAGCCAAAGACCCCTCGCTCGATGTTTGGAAGGCGTCCGTTTTTGCGCAAATCCTCGCCATATAATGCATCGGTTCGCTTGTTGAAAACCTCCCAGTGCTCCGAAGGGTCGACAGGCGTCGGATTCTTCGCAAAAACCGTGGCGATCGGCCCATTCTTTTTGGAAACTGGAATATTTTTGGGAAGGGTTTTGAGAAGGGTCTTCAGGGTACCAACATGACGTCCAAAGATTGCCGGGAAGTCTGGCGCCATGGCAGAAGATAATGTAGGGAGGAGGGGAGTTGGATCGTGTTGTAAAGATAGAATGTAAAATTTTACTCTGAGAGTTCGGAGTGGTATGAGACCGTCCGCTATTTGTCCACAGATGGCAAGCAACATCACGATTTTGCTTCCGCTTTTCAATATGATCTCATTGCCGGTGGCCTGGAATATCACTCAGTGTTTCCATTCCTCTTTTCAACGTAAGTATATCATGTACATGGCTTCCCAGAACGAGTTGACACCATAATACACATAGTAGCTAGCTGTTGGACACGGTTTTCCTACCCTTATTTGGGTCGAGGATGCCTTAAAATGGTACAGTAATAAGTTCCGAATGTCGCTGCCGAGACGAACAGACCATATGGTCTCCGTGCTCAAAATCTCCGAGAAGGTTCTAGAACAGGCCACCTTGCGAGCGGACATGGGTGGCCAGTGGCACGGAAAACCCTTTACACAATAGTATACAGGATAAATACTCAATACACACATTTCTCAGCACACCTGCATAGAGATAGGGATGCGGAAAGGGTATATACCCTATATATAGGGTATCAGATAGTATTTGGTTGGAGCCTTACCCCAGGGGAACCCGACCTTCTGGTTTGGCGGGCTCACGATCTTCCTGGGGCAACTCTAAAAATAATGAGTCGCGGGCAAAGGCCAGTAGAATATCGAGATTCGATTAGCTTTGTTATTGGACCACAATTGGCCTATCGGATGTCATTGGCGTGAGCTTGGAAGCGGGGGGTTCGACGGGCGCTTATTCATTTATACCGGCGCTTAAGCCTTTCCATATTGATCTCGTCGATCTCGAGGCACCGTTGAAGGCAAAGAATAGACTACACTCAGGCTATCGTTACATCCTTCCTCGTACCACGGACTAATCCAAATCGAGCAACATGGCATCAATCTCAGCATTCCTCGACGGATTCACGGTTGACGCATGCCGCTTCCCATCCCTCACCTCGTCCCTGGCGTCTTTCCATTCCGAAGCTGGGGCAGGTTTCGACACTGAAAAGTAGTCAGATTACATCATCCAACCTCGAAATCAGGATCATTAAAAGTTCGACTCACCAGTCTTCCACTGATTGGTTACGAATACGATCATGTTCCATCCCTCCTTCCTCATCCTCTCATACCAAGCCTGGCTCATCTTCCACGACACCTTCCCAGTTTCGAAATCCATCGCCTCCAGAGACGAGAGGATCTGTACCTGCAACCCTTTGAACACCGGGTCTTTCTTCTCGATCAAGTCTGGGATACGGGATGGAAAAGTCTTGATGAATGAATCTGTATCGCCGGGTTTATAGAATAGCAAGGACGCGGTTTTGGTGAGGTGGTTCGTTTCGAGGGTGTTTCCGGCGGTGGAGACGACTGCCGTGGTGTATGTCTTGATGAGGTCCGCACTGGAGGCATATCGAGCGGGGTACACGACTGGGAAGGGGAGAGCGCCCTTAGCCGAAACAAGAACCGTCTCCACCTCGACCTGCCAAGGCTCCAGATTCACCTTCCTTGCAACAGGAGTCGGCTTTGGGCTTTGGGAGAAGGTGACGGGGAGGGTTCCGGTGAAGATACCGGCGCTCGTGGTGAGGGTATCATTCACGATGCTCTGGAAAAAGTCGCCGATCCAGTGGGATGGGCAGCCAATTGTCTGGCAGAGGGTGACGAGGAGGCGGAAGAACGACACGAGGTTGGTGGGTTCGTCGACGCGGAAGGGGGTTGTTCCGGCTTTGGGGCAGCAGATGGCGCGCAGGAGCATCGTGGCGAGGTAATGATGCAAGTCTTTCTTCGAGACCGTGCTCGAGTAAGATTTGGTGCGAGGAAGCATAGACATGCTGAACTCGTCGAGAGACTTTCGGTGTTCGTCGCGAACGACGCAGTTGAAGTAACGTCGAATCTCGGCAGGTGTTAGGTATGTGTAACTATTATGGGAAGGTTAGAACAGCGTTCGAGTCAATGGAGTGGAGATACGTACTTGAAGCAGATGTCCCGGAGAGTGCTGAACGATGCTGGATTCAATAGACAGTTCCAGAGAATCATCGCCTGCTGCGAGTCTTCAAGTAGAGGCACCAGGTATACAAGGTTGCTCAAAACGGAACCCGTATAGTCGCTGGTCAGATCCTTCAGTCAAACTCAACGATAGAGCGAAGGAGAAGAACGTACGGAGTATTACTCAACCACATCCTCAGGTATTTTTTTGGATAAGACGCTGGCCTGGGTCCAAGGTCCCCAGCGATCAAGCGCGGGAGGCCCGAATACAGTTCCGAACACAAGAACTCCAACGTTATTGACCCCTCCAAGAGGTCCATGGTCTGGCGAACGGAGTCGAAGAGCTGTTGGATGATTCGGAAGCCGGTCTGGTCGAGTGATACCTCGCCCTTCTCACGGAATGGGAGGACGAAGTTGAGACAGTCGTTGAACGTATGGAAAGGATCGGCTGAGGAGATGACGGGGTAGCCACCTGGAGCTGCGAAACATCGATGTTCGGTCGTGTTGTTATCCTGTGAGAAGGACGTTAATGTGGGACGATACCTGAGGAATGGAAAGAAGGAAAACGCACGAATAGAGTCGCGTTAGGTCTCCAATCCCGGACCACCTCTTCCTGAAGCGCCGCCTTTCCAGTCTTCCCTCTTGACTTGACGTACTTCATGAGGTTCGGATGGCGGCTGAGAATCTTCTTGGGAGGGAGGAGGATAGCCGCATCGTCATACAGCTTCTCTTCTCCCCGACAGTTGTTGTACAAAGGCAGTTCCGAATCCGGTTGTGCGTTGATCAGCTTCATCCTCTCGAACTCCGCAATCATCGCCTGGAACCTGTCGTTCCGTGCGAGGGAGATACCCTTGGGGGCCATGAGGTTGCTGAACGCGTTACTGGGGCCATTGTACTCGTAAAACTTCTTCATGCTCTTTTGGAGGGGTTTGGACCAGTACTCGAACACGGGCAGGACGCGAGCTCGGGTGCGGTCGTCAACGGCCCAGATCGTCGTTAGCTTCTTCGGTGCCTTCTCTGCCAGCTCGGCAATAATCTCTTGGGCGATGGTGGTGACGCTGCAATAAGTTCAGTGGTCAGTTCGTGGAGAGTATGGTAGTTGAGCTTACAGTTTGGCGCAGTAGTCCGGCATGATGATCGTGCTCCAGACGTAGAAAGCGGTAGTCTCGATCTCCATGAGGACCTCGGCGGAGGTGTCCATGCTCCTCCAAATCAGAGCGAAGACGAGCATGACCCGAGCGAGCGCGGCTGGATGGATGTCGACGAGGGTGAGATGTATCTTTGGGAGATCAGAGCCCCGTTTTCCGAGCTTGTACAGCTTCTTCCAAATGTCGAAGAAGTGGATCAAGGTCCCAAAAGCGTGTCGTGCTATGATTTGAACGAAGGGGAAGGTTAAATGGTTTCTATCGAGGCTAAACGAAGAACGCACCATCGCCAGACCCGCCAAACAGAAAGGCTACAGACTTCCACTTCTCTCGAACAAACGTCTTCTCGTCGATGTTGAACTCGCCTTGGTTTCTGTTGTCGATGCCGTAGAACAGGGAACGAGTGGGATCATGGCCGAACTGAGAAACGATGTTAGGCTCGTCCATGCTCCAGGCAAGGAGACGAACTCACCCTGTAGTATTCGAGGACAGGATACAGCGCAGACCTAAAGATGGGGAGGGCCCTCAGCCGTTTCTCCGCATCCGCGATATTAGTCTTGCACTCCTCCTGCGAATGTCGACTGCACTCGTCCCTGATCCTCGTCCAAGCCTCCCAGACCTGCTGCAGCTCAGGGTACTTCCCAGCATTCACATCTCCAATCACCCGCTCCAAAAAGTCATCGATATCCTTCTCGATACCAACGTTACTCTCCGCGGACTTGCCCTTCTTCTTCGAGCGCTTGTCGTGGAGAGAGACCCGCTGGCGATAGCGTTGAGTTTGGCTTTGACGAAGCGTTGGGCGAGCTTTACGGCGAGCGGGTCGGTGGTGGGAGGAGAGTTTGGTTCTTCGTTGACGCTGTGTTTAACACGGAGGGCGCGCCAGGAGTTGAAGATGGCGTCGATACATTGGAGGTAGCGGCCTTGTTCGAAGTAGACGGCGGAGAGATTGGAGGCGAATTTAGGATCTGAACCGTCTAGTTGGAATGCCTGGAGGCGAAGATGGTTAGAATCCACGAGTAAAGATATGGAGAAAGGAGAAAACGCACCAAAGCATAACACTTTTCAGCTCTGGAGGTCGAAGCAATCCGTCAGACCTTTTCGAAACTGTTATCAAGGACCGGTCTCACTGTTCCAAGTTCCCTTTCTTGTAGAACGCGTTGCCCTCTTGATGGGCTATGTCCGCCATGATTGACTAGAGCCAAAGGTTGAAGAGAAAAAGAAAGGAAGTAAGCTGGCCCCTGACCCCATAGCGCTGTAGTAGTTTTAACCGTGAATGTCACGATCCAAATTCTTGATCTTGATTGGGTTAGGAGCATTTTCAAATTCTATTCAAACGGCGATCAAACAAATAGACTTCCCGGGAGCGGGCGAGGATTCCATTTTCGACCCTCAAGAATCATTGCTGAAGAACTCGTTGCGTATAGCCTGTCGCGAGGCGAACCAATTACTTTTCAAATTTGTGGATGAGGGCTAGTTTCTAGACTGTCTGAAATTACGAGGCGGTATGTAATAGCTAGGAAAGCATGCGAAGCGCGAGCACAAAACGATGTCCGATAGTTTTGTTGTGGTATCATATTAGGCTTGTGGTGGGTATGGTATGTTGGTATGTGCGATGAGATAGAAATTAAGGAGAGGGACTGATGTCGAGAACGTTAATGCGAACAAAGAGCGTGGAGAATAAGAATTGCGATAGTTGTGAATCGTGCAGTGGTAGATGTCGATAACCTGGAATCAACAGTCAGCAAGCCAGTCAGGAATGGACTACCAAATCAACTCACCTCGACCCAAGCTTCCCAAAGAAGCACAGTAAACCGCCAGCGGTTCATCACCCTCCTTGGCATCCTGGCACTTTACAACAAACCGTACAAACACCAGATCCATCATGTCCCCAACGCACTCAAACGGAAGCTGAAGCTTCTCCTCCCAAATCGGGTTGAACCCGTTGTTCTTCACGACGCCCGTCTTGCGCGAGATCGTCTTGCCGGGGATGGAGCTGGGCACGGGGGGTATGGGCGATAGCGGGGCTATCGCATCGGCAGGGTTGGGGAACGCTGCTGCTACGGGACTGAACGTCCCACTTCTCTTCTTCCGAGGCGAGGTGATCGCCGCTGCGAGCCTCGTCGAGTTTCCGCGGCTCACTCCTCCATTGGTAGAACCGGGAGTGCTGAGCGTGGGCCAGTCGGGGACGTACAACGAGACTTCGACGTAGGGGTTGAGATGCGATCGAGGCATCTCGTGGCCCAGCGCGTTCTTGGGCCGTGGAAGCTGCTGCGCGGAAATGATAGAGACTTGGAACACATGGTGCGTCTTCTTGGTGAGCTCGTCCTTGTTGGGCGAGCGCAGCGCCGCAGGCTTGAGGACGTATCCTGATCGACCGTTCCGCTGGAACATGGCGTGATTAATCATATAGCCAAGGTCTACAACACATTGCCATCGTCAGTTTGGGCGTCGAGACTCGGGCTTGGTGAGAGAGTGCTCACCGAATGTTTGCCAGTTGATCGCAACCAACTGTGCGCCCGACGCCCAGAAGCGGTGCGGTAGGAAGTTGGTGGAGGTCACTCGGGTCCCTTTGGGGTAGATCCTGACGAGATGCGTGCGGGTGTGCTTGATGAGGTCCATCATACCCATCTTCAACAGTTTGTTGGCCGTGTTCTCGGATAGGGAGAACATATGTTCAGGAGCGTATTCTTCCTTCTTGTTGAGACCTCGCCACTTGACGCCGACTGTGTACACGAGGAGGGCCACCAACGCGAAGGACATCTTCGGTTTTGGTCGATCGTATTCTGAGTGACGTCGATGAGTTTGGTTGCTTGCTGTAGGGGAGACAACGGGGCTGTTGAGCGGAACTTCCGGAGCAGAATGCATTCGTAGTGGTTTAGGGCCGGATGTCGACGGCTTGGCGATGCTCTTCACCCGTTGAAGGACGTTGCTCCCAACTTTCGCCAGCGGTCCTAGAGACAGAATGAATAACAGAGACTAGACTATGGAGGTGACCAGAGCGCACCTTTAGACTCGTGCTTATCGTGCACCCCGACCTTCTTCTCTGCTGGGACGCTGTAGATGTGATCAAAGAACTCCGTTTCGGAGGCTGAGGCGGACGACGCTGAAGGGTCTGTCGAGGAGCTATCGCCATCGCTAGTATCGTTGAACGTGAGCATGAGGTTCTTCGTCTAAAGCACGACGTCATTAACCAGGAATAGAACAAAGAGGCTAATACAATAAGCTTACCTTCATCAGGATCTTCCCTTTCAGCTCCTCGGGGCTGGGCAGCACGTCGATTTTGGTTCGGCCTTCCAGGGGTTCACGGATGAGGCTATCCCCAAATACCTCAATCATGATCTCCGCAATCATGTCTTGCATGGGGACGCTGCAATGCACTTCGGCGGAGATGATGATTGGGTAGGGCGATGCCACGAAACCGTATTTCTTGATCGCTTCACAGACCGTGCGGAGTGGGACTTTGGAGGTCAGGGTCTTTCCATGGAATATCATTGGCTCCACGTCGCCGTCGTAGATATCAACTGAAGAAGAGGTAAACGTAAACCATAGCCGAGTAGAAGAGATGAAGAGGAGCTTACCTTCGACGCTCCGACAACTATGGAGAAGGGCGCGGATGTACCCTTCGATGGTGCTATCGCCCACGAGCTGGTGACCAACGAGGTAGGTGTTGTGTGAAGACGAGATGAAGTATTCGGGGAGAGGACGCGTCATGTCATGATAAATCTTGAGATGCTGGTCCAAGAAGGCGCTGTTATCGGGCGATAATAGGAATGTCGTAAACGAGTCGAGGGACATCGCGGGTTGTGATCCCGTGTACTTGGAAAACAGCCCCTTGAGTTCATCTGTGGTAAGCTCTGACTGGGAGGACGTCAGTACCGCGACTTGCTCGGAGGTGAAGAAATGGGCGGACCTGTTGCTTCTCCCGCATGAAGATTTCGAAAGTCGAAAAGTCGAACACGTCCAATGTCCGACCCTTGAGTTTGTTGTATAACCGGCGAATCTCAGGTCGAGTCTTGAGAAGCTTGACAAACTTTCGGAAGTCGTCGAATTCGAGAAAGCCTCGTCCCCGCACGTCCGCTTGCTGGTACCGCCGCATTAGCCAAACGAAACGATCGTGTGCGTAAGGAAACTCACCTGGAAGAGACGCCGCAGATCCTCCTGGCTCGAGTTGATGTTGAGCCTCTTACACAACTTCTCCACCTCCTCGAACGTAAGCCTCTGGTCCTGCTCCTCGTCCGCACCCTTCCAGTACTGCTTTTCCCATAGGGCCTGCCGAACCTCCAAGTTGCCCAGTCCGCTCATGAGCTCTTGACGGATGGCGTGAAGTTGCCGTAGCGTGCTGTCCCACATGCGAAAGACGTCTCTGGTAGCGACAATCAAATGTATAGTCTTGTAGTTGCCGTCTAGGATGTACACAATGGTGAGCCAGCGGTCCTCGTATTCTTGTGCCAATTGAAACTGTTCGCGATAGTACCGAGCATCTCTACCCGACCGAATCTCCTTGATGTTCTCTATTGGGACTGGAATCAGGGGTTAGTCGATGAAAACGGCAGGACGACGACGACGACGACGACGACGCACTGATTTTGTGTTTCTTCGATTCCCAAACAATCTGGCCCAGGTCAGGATCCAGCCTGAATACGAACTTCTTGTGCTTCTTGGCTGACACCTTGGTCATCGGCGTGCCGAGCTGTAGGAGGTGGGGCACGACCATGTCACCCGACTCTTTCGAGTCCGGGTGGGTGTTGGGACGAGGGGGTGCTGGTGCTGCCGTCGACGTCATGAAGGATCGTTCGGAAACGGTCGACAATGTCCGCTGATGGGCGGTGAAGTCGTCGGTGGCTCGAGGTGAAACGGAAACGATCGAGACCGGTTGTGGTGGTGCGCAATTGAGCTCCGACAGCGATCGCGAATGGACCTTGCGGGGGGTTTCTTCCGCGTTGGCGGGGGTCGAGTCATGTTGGCCAGCGGGTCGAATCGAACGGCCGTTAAGCGAACGCGAGCGCGAAAGGACGCCGTCGCGCACTTCTTCGAAACGTCGACGGATGGAGGCGCGGATGCTGGTCTGGCGGCGGTGGGATGGGCGGTGCGTGGATTCGAGTTCTTTCACGAGGGTTCCATCGTGTAAATTTGGTGCCCTGCGCAGGATGCGCCCTGAGGAGAGTGGGTCTTCTACATTTGCCATGGGATGAGTGTCGCCAGGATAATAAAGACCGTTCCTTTACCTCTTTATACTGGTTCGATTGCCGTGATAGGCACATGGCGTTCGAAAGGAGGCAGGGTGATCCCAGGGCGCGGCGCTGGAAACGCAGCTGCCCAAAGAGGGTAAAGCTGTGCTCGGATGCGGAGGCTTTTGTCGTAGAACATGCTGTATATGGTGTGCTGGCCCCTATTTCAGCTGTCATTACCCCGTTTCTGAACTTCGACAGCGTGTATACAGTGGCCGTGAACACAGGAAAGCTGGGAATGCTCAACATTCAATGTAATAAGTGACTGAACGCCTTCACTCTGACTGCCTGCTCGGTAACATCGACGAGCACCCTGGCCTAGCCCCAAAGTGCGAGCTGCCAGCCTGGCACACGACCCATCGTCCAGTCGTCCCGAGGAAGGACTCCATTTGGATTGCTCCCCTTTTCGACAAATGAAAACAATGCCGTCATATGGTCCGACATCTGGTTTCCCATTCTGTGAATCATGATTTCCTAGGCGCCTGGGCACAAGATACACAAGCGCCGCCAAGACCAATGAAGCGCGGAACGAGGTAGCACTGACATCACCTTCAAATACCATGAACCAGTAGCCATGGAGGAGATAGCCATGGAGAAGTGCAACTCTGGGGTGCTTACCCTCTGAATCAGTCAGCCTGGGGCACGGAGCGCGCCCCAAGCACCGGCGGTAGGCACCTTCATCACGGGAAGTAGACGCGTATGTACACTAAAGGAATATTCGCTTGCACCGGCGCGAACACAAGATCTCCCACTTGCCTGATGCGGCAGAGCACTGACAGCACCACCGCCACCAAGTATAAGAAGAACAGGATGCTATACGTCCTCAGAAGCCATTGAAGTCCACTGGGCAGTGGGCCGAGACGTTATGACTATAGCCTGAGAGGTTATGGAAGTCGATCTATTTGAGCCCAGTATTCATCTATCATCACGAGGTAGGTCATTTGGGTTTCAAGGTAAGCTTTAGACACTCATAAAGATGATCTTATGACCTTACAGTATTGAATCGATCGCCCACTATGAAATGTGAATGGTGAAGTTTCAGGAAGCACTGAATTGAAGTCGTCCAGATAGGCGCCCATTAGCAGGGAGGGTTCTGCTGAAATGAAACAAACGGGTCTTCAAGGGACACAGGTGGGAGATCTCTCTGAATGTGGAGGCGAGACAGACAGCTGACTTGTTCGCTTCTGCAGTCGCTGGTGACGAGATGTGGCAAGGCAGTGTAACCACCGGCTAACGAGCTTGAAGAAGCAAGCGGGGGAAACAGCCCGTCAATACATACCTCGTACTGTGCGTTCCCGCCAGATGTATACATAGCTCTGTGCATGCTGCGCACACGGTATTCGTGGGCTGGTTCATTTGGGGTTCATGACTGGATCCCTGCAGATCGGCCGGGAGCCCGGCAACTTTGCCGTGATTGTATCAAACGGGCGTGATGCGCTGATGGCGGCGCTAACGGCAACTCGCTTTCATCCCATCTTCGCACGTCCTGCTGAACCTGTACTTGCATATTCTCTCCACCTCTCCGCCCCAAACCCTACTTCAAATGCACTTAGGAGGCTCTATTAAAGCGACAAAAGCAGACCCTACTGCGAAAGAAGATGTTTTTGCCAACTATGACTTGCTTTCGGTGGTGATATCGTCGCTGAAAGATACCACCGAGGGACGAGCGGTTCTCTCCAAAGCGGCGCTCGTCTGCAAATCCTTCAGGGAGCCAGCTTTGGATGCTCTTTGGGAGAAATTGGACTCTTGCGTTCCCCTCCTGAAGCTACTCCCAAATCTTAAGGAAAGCGAATCGACTTACGTACGTTCTCTGTTATCGATGGGGTCGTGGATCGATGCTGAGCTTGGTTCGTCCGCGTCGTTTACTAGTACTTTTACGGAGATATTGCGTCGTCTTCCTTCGCTGAATATGCGAGAAGGGTTAGAGATCTGACTCTCCGGGACGTTGAAGAGCCGGTCAAGGTCTCCGGCCAGCTGTTCGCGCGGTTAGCCAAACAACTGCAAGGGCAGCCTCTCCTCCCCGGGTTAAGACACATCCGGATAGATTCCCTTGGAGGATTCACCTCGGACGTGTTGGAGCTCCTTCCTTCCCCCTCCATTCAATCAGTCGAGTTTCGCGGAAAGTCGCTGGCGCGATCTCGTTCCAACCCCTATTCTCGCGATCCCTGCGAGTCGTATCCATACCTCCCGATTTTCCCATCTTTCACCACCGACCTTCCTTCTGTGACGAGGCTTGTCCTCGACCAGAGCGAGCGATTACATGACGACGTGCTTACGACAGTACTGGGGCTCAGTAGCCTCCGTACACTTGTCCTTCAGCTACCTGGTACACCCATCAATTCTGAGTTCCTAATTTCCCTGCACCAACAGCTCCCTCAGTTGCGGAACCTTTCCTTGGACTTGTCCCTCATACACCCATCTAATAGGTGTCCCCAATCACTGCCGATCAAAGACCAGTGGCTTCCAGACCTAGAAACCTTTCACTTCACCCTTCGTCATGGATCAACATGTCATTTCACCACCAAAGGTCTCGTCTTTTGTCCCTCTATCCGTCATCTGGGCCCTATACAACGCATCACGGCTGTAACGCTGCTTGTCACGAGAGTATCAGTCTCCTTCGAGGATTTCGTACGAACACTCTGCTCCGCGCCCAACCTTCGGCGGATCAAGTTCACACAGGGCAAAGAAGATTCCGCCATCCACCTGTTAACCGCCGGAATAATCAGGTTCCTGGATCTACCCTCGTTGGAGGAGATTATTGTGGACACAGACCGTATGGGAGTATCTAGGACCGGCGATGGGACCATGGTCCAAACTTTGGTTGATGCAGCCTACAAATCGTGGAAGCGCGACGGGAAAGCGACTATTCGGAAACTCGTTTTGCCAAACCACGAAGAATGCTGCGCTTCCCCGAGCGACCTGGAGTACATTTCGCGCCACGCTGTGGGACTGGAACACTTTTCAATCTCGGTGGACACAGGGGGCTTTCAGTGGACTTCCGTGTTGAGCAAACCGCCGACTTTGGACTACATCAAGACGAGCACCGTTCGTCATTTGGAAATCGGGGATTGGCGCTCGAATAAGGAGTTTACGTTGATGGAGAACAGCTATATGGCCCAATGGTTGGATAGGGTGTTTCCGAACTTGGAGAGTCTGACGCCGTATACCGATTCGCGAGGCAAATGTGCGAACTATGTAGAGAATTGGTTTTTCATTGAACATTTGAGGAAGAAGGAAAAGGCTTCGCGATGCTTCTTTAGTTACTAGTTGGAAGCCGTCAACCCCTCAGTACTGTTTGTAACGACAGGCCTTTATACATTTCTTGCTCCCTTCGGTGGCCTCGCTATGTTGAAATTCCCTTGGAATCAGCTATTTATCGACCCGAATCACCGCACCGGTGTGACATGCTTTGCCAGGGGGCGGCACCAGATTACCGTTTCGAGCAGAATTGATTGCGTGATCGGCATTGGAGTTGCTCTCACCGTCTGCCTCGAGGCTCTTTCCTTATCCACGACATCCACAACGTTATTCGTTCATTAAAGGTCCTCTACCATGAACAACGAAGACGCTGTGAACGCTTCTCCTCCGTCGCATATGGCGAGACAACAGGTCCTCACCAACTACGAGCTGGTTTCTGCGGTCATGTCTTCCTTCGATTGCACACTTAGTACCGCTGAAGGACGAGCGACTCTCTTCAAAGCGGCGCTCGTCTGCAAATCTTTCACAGGACCAGCTTTGGACGCTCTCTGGGAGAGAATTGACTCCTTTATTCCCATTCTGAAGCTCCTCCCGGGGCTTAGGGAATACGAGTCCTCGTACGTGAGTCACGCACCTTCTGGATCGCGCCCATCTCCTCTGACCTCGGGGTTTCCCATCACTTTTCAGTATTTTCATGGCAGTATCGTGCTATCACCATTCCTTGAATATGCGAAGAGGGTTAGAGAACTTACTATCCCTACTATCGAGGAGGAAATCGCCTTCTCGGGTCAGGTGTTCGCAAGGCTAGCGAAGCAACTGAACGGAAAGCCGCTGCTTCCTGGGTTAGTTCGAATCCGGATCGAAGACGTGGATAACATGGCGTCGAATCTGATTCCACTCCTTTCCTCACCCTCCGTGTCTGCCCTCGAGTTTCGCGGCGAATCGCTTGCCCGATCTCACCTCCATCAATCCCTCTTCCCATCTCTTGACGTCGACTTTCCGTTCCTGGAGAGCCTTTCCCTCGAAGACAGCTCTTCATCGTTCGAACACCACGACGACATCCTCCCGTTGTTGTTAAAACTGACGGGACTTCAAAGCCTGGAGATTCATATTCCTGGAACTATTGTCCAGCCCGAGTTCCTCGAATCTCTGGGCCGAAAGTTACCACGTCTGCGCCACCTTTCGCTCGACATCACCCTTCCTCACTCCGATTCCGTTTGCCCCTCTGGGTCCCAGTACGGACCTGAGATGTTCCCATCTCTCGAGTCACTCCACCTAACTCTGAGGGATGGATCGACGTGCCATTTCCACTCTTCGTCGATCACCATCTGCTCCACTTTCGACCCGCTGCTTCTATCCAGACTAACCTCGATGACAATATTCATGTCCCAGCCAACGGGTTCCGTGACTGATCTGAAGCGGGTCCTCCTTCGTGCTCCGAACTTCCAGCGCCTTACATTGACGCAGGCCAAAGACGACGTCGAGCACGATCCTCATCTCGAAGATGTTCTTTCGCTCCTCGAGATACCGACTCTGGAGGAACTTGTAATCGACACCAATTATATCGACTTCTCTGATGAGCGCGAGGAGGAGACATTGGCTCAAATCCTGGTGGACGCCGCGTACGGTGCATCTAACACCAAGCGGAAGACCACCCTTCGGGCTCTTGTTCTCCCTGTGACGGCAGATCAAATGATCTCCTCACTCGAATACATTGCACGCAATGCCCCAGGATTGAAGAAATTGTCCATCGGGATAAACTCGAGCATTGAATGCATACCGACGTGGAGAAGCACTCCAATACCAAGCACCCTCCGGCATCTGGAGATCAGCGACATGCGCCCGTCAATGGAGATGAATGGGAAAACTGACCACAGCGGTGTTGTAACCGATTTTGAAGACCAGATAGGCTTGGTATGACGGCCAAGTGTCGACGACGTTGGTGATGGCGTATCCTGCAGCCATGATGGTAATGAAGACAGCCGACTCGACTAGCATAGTGGTAATTCTGGTATAGACAATAACACCATCTGAGTCTCCTCCCGAAGCAAGCGGGAAGATCTTAAGGAGACGACTACGGAAACTCATCAGGCGGTACACGATGAGGAACGTCACGACGATGTGGAGCGCGAGGGAGATAAAGATGTCGACCGAGATGGCGATGTAGTTGTTGTATTCCCAATTGTGAATGGGAATAAACGCTCTGATGCTCACTCCTAGCTTTAGTAAGTAACAAGGCATCGTATGGTGCCAGCCTGACCTTACCAAGGGAGATCAGGAACACAAATACTGGAGCGATGGCAACCCAGAGATGGTCGTGCCAGATGACGAAGCATCTGTAAACCTATAAAGGACTCTTGGTTGAGTATCATGTCCCAACATACGAGACGGAACTACAGTCTTACAAGTAGTGCATCGCCGATCCACCTTTGCCCAATGAGTGTGAAGGACACAATATGATCGACGACCGAGTTATCGTGGCTGTGCAATGCTTCATTGACGTTATCAAGGGACTGAGAAGTGTCCAAGAAAATCCTGAAGGAGAATATTCCACTCGTTACGGCGTTGATGCAGGATATCACCGTCAACACCGAGGCGACGACCATGTAGAGCGTCAGGCCTTTCCTTCGAATGGACGACATATTCATGAAGAGGTTGAGGCCGTAGATGCACATGAAAACCTCGAGGGCTAGGTGTTCGCCATTCGTCTTAATCACTTTCCTTTTGCTGATAATGAGCTGAGACACTTCACCTGCAACCGGTATGGCCATAGAGCTGTTGGCCTGGAGGCCCACGGCTGTGTACCACCTATCGATGTTCCGAGCGGATTCCGACATGACCTGGCGAGGATTGGGATAGATAATGGGAGAGTGAAGAGGCGTACAAGGGACTCCTTCTCGACTCGCCGCGGCTCTATGTACTTGCTCAGTAGAGCTTCTTTTTCATGTCGTGCCAGTGATATTAATCGAGTTTGATAGAGCACTGATCGCGCGAAAGTCCCGAAAAGCAGAAGTGGATAGAAACTGTCAGTTAGCAGCTTCTTAGTGGTCCACATGCCCAATGGAAGTCGTTCTCTCCTTACTTTATTTATAGGCCACTAGGCTCCTTGATTTTCCAAGTCTCCACGAGCTTTGGAGAATCTTTCGAAGATAGATGACGCGGAATGGAAGGTCGAAGGGTACAGACTCTCTGGATGTCCTTGTACCTCTTGCTCAGTTGATAACATTGACATGTAACGCAGGACTGGCACAAGGAAAATGAGTGTCTTTCTGCTACGCTTGTGCCAGCTTGTCTGTACATTCTCGATATGCAGAGATTGCTTTGGGATTGAAGGAGTTAGTGTACGACCCCGCAGGAATCTCGAGCACCTGCTCTTCCGCCATTTGAGTCGCGAATCGTCGGGAAGGTCATGCCGAAGCATGGCTTCGGGTACGACGGGGCGGTGCAGCAGGGTTGTTTCAAGGGGATAGCCTGGTGCCAGCATCAGCCCTCCGTCCTAATTCGGGAAACATTACGGTAAGGGCGCCCGGCGCCCCAGCAAGTCCAAGTCCCTTTGAAAATCTCTCATTCTGTCCTTCAGACAATGTCACTCAACTGAGATGTTTGACGGCGTCTCCTTTCAAATAGGGGATGGTCCACCAAGGCACTGAAAGGCTCAGCGCCATTGGAACTAACGAGCAGAAGGAACACGCCGAGACGTCATCAGTGGATAACCCCATGTGCCGCTATCCACGGACGAACACGCCTGGTGACTTCTTTTGATACCCTCTAATTAGCGTTTGGTCTCAGGGTGCTTGTTATGTTTGGTAGGCAATACACCTACTGTACAGAAGCGGATGGATCGTCACAGCCCACTTTGTCGGGGCGAACCTGAACCAATCGTTTTTGATGCAAATAAGCGCCCGGTCAACGGTACTACTCGTCCATGCTGCGTAGATAGTTGGGGTTAACGGGTTGACAAAAAGTCAGGCCCAGTGGCTCCCCAGCATTTACCTAGCAGTCATGACGGATTCAAGTTTATCGCCTAAAGCTCAGTGCTCATGCCTCTCGAGCCTTCAGACACCCAATCTCGTCATGAGCACCTTGGAAAATTGTCGCTTAGCCTAATTGAAAAAAGGGGTTTGGTTGGATTAGAATAACTGGAACATGGACGGTCACACCATATGAAGCGTGTATTCCACTGGAAGGTTGGCGATTATGTTACAGACACACAGGCAGGACAGACAAAACGATGCAGTTGAGCGATAAGATTGAAATATGTGCCTATGGGGGTGAGATATAGTGTGTGGATGACGAGACCCGCCGAAAATTGAACACCGAAGTTATAACCCTTCCGAGCCGTACGTACAAAGGAAAGAGAATACAGGTTATGTGAAAGAAATACGAAGATGGATTGAGATGGGACAAAGACGATCGAAACATTAGAAATGAGGAAGGACAGAGGAGAGAAACCGTTCACCCTCAACGAATCACCGAAAAAAGCAACCCGTCAAAATGGGTAAAATAAATACTAAACAACGAAGGCCCGAAGCCCTAGATAATTAACACAAATACGAAAGGGATCAGAAAGAAGAAGCAGCACCACCGACGTTCGTGAATTCAGTGGACGTAGACCGCCGTGCGGTGCAATCGCATCTTCGCCAGCACCCCACTAACATTCGCAAGGGCGGAGACCACTATTCGAATCCATCCAGCATCAGAACCCACGCACAAATCGCTCAAACGTCCCCGATTTCTTCTTCCTAGGAGAGGTAGGTGCAGAGTTTGCACCCGCACTAGTCCCTTGATCACCCAAATCACCCCTCGAATGATCCCCAGGCGACGTCACACGCTGCAAAAGCGACCTGGACGACCTCGTCGGACTCTTGATACGCGGCGAGCTCGGATTCGCACTGCTAGAGCTTGGCGTTGGTACGTTTGGTGGGTGCCCGTTCGAGTGGTTGTTGGAATGAGAGACGGAATGAGAGTTGGACGAAGATGCCGAGGTGGAAACAGTGAGCTTGGGTCGATCCGAACCAGACGGACTTCGCCCGCGATAATACGAATACGAGTCCATGTTGGTGCTCTCGTTGGTTGTTGTAGATGGGACACGAGACCGAAGGATACTTCCCGACCTTCCTAAACTGGAAGTAAAGCTTGCTGACGAGCCTTGGTGTCGAAGAACGGAGGAGGGCGGTGAACCTGGAGGTGGCGACCCGAGTGCTGATGACGAAGGCGATCTCAGTACTGAAGACGAAGGTGGAGACCCAGAAGCAAGCGACGCATTCAACGGAGACCTATACGGCGAAGTTGGACTGGCAGGAACAGACGACTCGATTGACCAATCTTGCAGTTCTTCCCTCCCCATCGCCAATTCCTGACCACTCAGCTCCCTGATCTCCGTGGGCCCTGTCAACGCGAAGTTTTGTTCCGTTGACAAAGTGGTTGTTATGGACGTCGGGGTGGTAACTTGAGTCATCGTCAGCGACTGAGGTGCTTGAAGAGTCGTGGTAGGGCCGGTCAGAGCCGCAGTCGGTAACGCCGGCATACTAGGCCGCCTACCCGCCACAGGACTGGCAGGGGCAGGCGACGCAGGTCCCGACCCCAGATCAGACGAAACCCGTAGGTTAGTCTGCATTGAAGCCGAATGGTACAGCGATCCATGGCCACTTTGTCCGTGGCGAGCGTAAGAACTGACGGGTGAAGGCTGGGAAAGCGAATGTGTACGGCCATGTCGTGGTACCCTCTGCTGTTGCTGATGGACACCTTGAGCGTTGGAAAGAGGGGCCCCACCAGCCAAGGGGCTCGACTGTCCCCTCGCCACACCACGATTCGCAGGAACAGCCAACGACTCCATCGAAGACGGCGACGTCAGGCTGTGACTACTCGGAGCTACACTGGCAGAGGGATGGAGATGTCCATTACGCTGAACCCGGTGCAGCCTCCGATGCTCCTCGTGCCCGTGGTGGTCATGATTCCCAGTCTCAGGGACCACAAATGTCGGTAGCGCTGTACTTGTTGTCATCGATGTTATAACACCGACGGGTTCGTACGACCTCTTCTTGCGAACCATCATCTCCCGTTCCTCGATGACTGAACTTGGTGGCAGAGGAGCGGCTTCGTAGTCGGATTCGTCATCGTTGATGCCACGGGTGTCGACAGCGCCTTCGCCGACAATCTCGACGGTGGGGATAAGGGGAGCCTGAGATTGGGCATGTGCAGCAGCTTCAGCTTCGAGACGCGCCAGCTCTTCTTTTTCTTTCTTGACTCGGATTTGGCGCGGGAGGTCGGCGGTCCAGGCTTGCCACTCGAGTTCGCTCTCCTCCTCCTCTTCTTCATCACTCGCGTCGAAGATGAGTGGTTCGTCTTCATCGTCGTCGCTGTTCTCTTCATCACTCGCCTCCACCTTGACCTCGCCCTCCTGACCCTCCGCCTCACTAACGCCACCCTCTCCTTCCACACGTCCAATCTCCCCTTCACCATCCCCGCTATCCTCCACGCCCCCTCCCTCCATCGAGTCATCCTCCAAGTCATGTTCCCCAACTGACCCAAAAGGCCAATTCGAAATCAAACAAGGATCATCAATCTCATATCCTTCCTCCATCCTCTCCCCCATCGTGAGCAGCATCAACTCCACCGGCCTGCCCACCAAACCCATCCCAGCCCTTCTTGCTCGCAGCACCACCTCCATCCTCCACTCGGGGTACGGCAACGCACCCAGAGCACGGACGATAGTTTCAGGCCCGCGGCTGAGGTGGTCTTGCACTAGCGTCTCGAGACTCGCAGGGTGCTCACGTAACGGCGAAACAGATGGATCATCCGCGATAGGTTGAAGACCTTGAGGAGGGAAGAATGCGCCAGCGTCCGAGTGCGAACGACCGCGTGATGGGCTTGAAGGTGACGAGAGATGGTGTTGCGAGGCTAGGGCGTGCTGGCGATTGAGACCCATGAGACTGTTACTTCGCTTTGGAGGTCCGTAAGGCGGGGAAACGGCGCCCCCGTTAGAGGCGTTGGTAGTGCATTGGGTGATCATAGACCCCAGGCCTGGTAATCCTTGAAGGAAGGACGACGTGAGTGGTTCACCGAAGGATCGGTGGAGGACACGAAGGAGGCTGTTGTAGGCTACAATCGAAAGTATGATATCCACCGTCAGCGCCTCCAAAACAACATTAAATAAAAAATGTTCACGCACCAGCATCACTCCCCAAATCCATAATAATCCACTGAGCCTTCTGTCCACCCTCACGCTTCCTCCTCGGCTTCACAGTAGACGCAGTAGCAATCGAAGCTGAACGCGCTTTATGCGTTGGTCGCTCAGTAGCCGAAGACGCAGCGGTAGATGTCGTAGTAGGAGGCGGAGGTAAACTTGACTTGGCCACGCCATCCTTCACTGTGTCAACCTCCTTCGTCCCTACTCCCCCACTGACACTCGCGTTCGAAGCGCTACCCACACCACCATTCGCCGCAGCATTTGACGCATCACCACCTGTACCTGTCCCGCCAATCCCAGTCCCAGCTTTATGGCCCTTCCTCCGTCTATACCCCCTAAACACCTCCCAATCCTCGTCATCATAGATATCATCATCACTCCCACTATCTTTGGCAGCGAATACGGGCGACGAAAGCGCGAGTGATTCAGAGCCGTCGCTCGCGTAGCCTGCGGGGTCGACTGGGTGGTTGTCGTCGTGGTCATCTCCATCGCGCTCGTGCGGGGCTAGAGATCGGTCGTCTGCCCTTCGAGGGCCACCTCGGAAGTCTTCATGCGCGGTAAACTCCTCAGCAGCGGCAACTTCCGTATCTACACTCCTAAACGACGAGTCGGCAGCGAGTGGAGACGTCCCCGACCTCAGCGAAGACGAAAGCGCAGTGGCAGTTACGGGGGTGGTAGGGTGGTGGTGATCGTGGCTGTCGTCACTCATCGCCTTGGGTGGAGGCGACGCAGCTGCACGTCGAGACGACGCATCGTTGGTTGACATCAAGGAGCTCGCGTCCGAGTCCACTCCTCGTCCTCCTCCGGTACTACGATCTCCACCGAGACTGTACCCAGCAAAACTCTGGCTTCCGCCTAAGCTGAGACCACCACGACTCCTCTTGCTCCTCAACGCCCTGAGGTTCGACGCGAGATCCTTCTTATCGGTGGGGCTCATATCTGGCACAGAGTCGACTTGGTATGAGCTAGGTGTGGGCTGCGAGGAGTGATCGTTAGCACTCTGATATCGAAAGCGGCAGAAGACGTACCGGAACAGCATCCTCCCCATCCTTCTCCTTCTCCCTCTCCCTCTCCTTCCCCTTACTCGACGCAGTCCCCTTCCTCCCCCTCCCCAAAATCCACGAACTCGAACTCGTCATCCCAACCTCATCCTCCGCTTTCTCCCTCTTCTTCTCCTCCTTCTCCCTCCTCTTCCTCTCCTCTTTTTCCTCCTTCTCTTTCTTTTTCCGTTCATCCTCGAGTTTCTTTTCTTCCTTCTCCCTCTTCTTCCGCTCTTCTTTCTCCTCCTTGGTCTCTTTGTGCCCGCCGAAAAGCGAGCCGAAACTGAGAGTCGTCTCGCTGCCGCCGCCGCCGCTGTTGCCGAGACTAGCGCCGCCTGTTCCTAGACCGAGTGTAACCAGTGGATTAGGTGTAGGCGGATGCGACGCCGCTGAGAGGAGGGAATGCGAACTTCCTAATGCCGGTAGAGAAGGTCGACGGTCGCTAATGACACTCCCCAATTTAGCCCCAAAATTGACATCGCCGAATGAACCTAGACGACGCAAGCTTGGAATACAGGACGAAAGAAAAGAGAAAAGAGAGACGAACCTAGGTGCAAGGAACTACTCCCCCCTTTAGTCTTCTTCTCCTTCTCTCTATCACGCTTGGACGAACCACTCCAGGTAACGTCCTCCCACAACTGCCTCTCCCTCTCCTTCAACTCCCTCTGTCTTTCGCGTTCTCGTTCTCGTTCCCTATCTCGCTCCCCGTCCCTCCTCTCTCGCTCCCGCTCTCGATCCCCCCGCTCCCTATCCTTCCTCTCCCTCTCCGCCCGATCCCACTCCGGGTCCAAAAAGCCACCACTGATCAGGCCAGCGGTGATACTGGGCCCAACAACGTCGCCCAGCGACGGCGCAGTAGACGTGTACGTCCTCCCCTCTCTATCCTTCCCATTGGCAGACCGCTCAGGGCAGTCATCCGGGTACCCAGAGAACGGGTTCGGTCTACTATCCCCGCCGCACCCACTCCCACCGGGTCCGCGCGACCGCGAACTATCCCGCACGACGCTCTTGAACTTGGCACATACAATCCGCATACCGACTGCCTCCGCCTCTTCTTTCGTACGTGGTACGAACGTACGCGGGTTCGCCTCGTAGCGTGCTCGGGGATCCCCGAACTCCCGCTCTCGTCGTCTCCGTTCGCGGCTCTTTGCGCGGGCGGCTGCTGAGGCAGCGGCGGACGTCGAACTCGAGGAAGGCGGTGGGTGGGATGGGTGACCTGACGCTGAGGATGGTGCATGGGACGAGGTCGAACCCGGCGCTCGAGCCTGCGACTGCTGAGCACCCCTAGCCCTGACAGACACAGATCGACCCAAGGGTCTCTCACCCTCGTCATCCTCCTCGTACGCATCGTCATCCGCGTCGCTCGTCACCTTCGTTCGGGAGGGCTGACCGTGCTTCAACTGGCCCTGGGTGGGATTGCTGGATGAAGGACCACGGATGGTAGACGTAGGCGAGGAAGGTGGTTGTTCACCACCCGCTGCATTCGACGATTTCGTCAACACAGCGGATGGCCTTGATCTGTGACTTGACGTCGAGGATGGAGGCGGGGGAGATCGATGGCTTGATCGCGAAGTCGGAGGTGGAGGAGACCGGTGTCGGTGGACATGGTGGTGGTGATGGTGGTGGTGCGCCTCTCGTGCCCTTCGCTGCCTTGTTCGTTTGTTGTTATCGAGGGATTCAGTGAGTTGATCTGCGTCTCGAAGAGTAAGGAGGTTGGCGAGTGGGAAAGAGTGTGTCGGTTCAGAGTCCTGTAGGATGTAGATGGAAAGGGTTAGATTACCGTAGTTGGGAGGAAGGAAATAAAAGATGAATTAGAAGAGACGCACCCCGCGTTCACGTAAAAAGAATATCCAGCCTTCTCGAATGATCAACCACCTCTCGCCCCACTCGAACCCACTCCTCGTATAGCCATATGGATATCCATAGCCGTCGCCTCCCCTATAACCACTTCCACTTCCTGACCCTCCAACAGCATCGCCTCCAGACGAACTAGCACTCGCCCCCTTCTCCCACCGCCCCAACCCCGCAAACCCAAAATTTAACGCCAACTCGGCATCCAAATCCCTGTCCCTATCAGACTTGAACATCTCCGTGTGTCCCCAAGACGCTTCTCCCACACTCGCGCCAAACTGCGCATAAGATGGCCCGAACCACGGTTTACTCGACGTTGATTTACTCGAGGATCCGTATGCGGATCCTGGTTTGCTGGAGCTGGCATGGAGGTGGTGGTGCGGCGGGGGAGACATGAACCCGCCATAGAGGTAGTCGTCGTCTTCGCGGTGGGAAAATCGCAGGATGCGTATCCACCCTTCCCAGTATGGCTCCGAATACGCTTCGGGCATCGACCGCGGGAGATGCACGATTCGAGCTGAGTGGGGGGCCATGAGTGCCTCCAGTTCTCTTCTCTTCTTCTTGCTCTTCCCCTTGAGAAGTTGGGCAGGGGGTTTGAGAAGGGCAAAGGGAAACGTCGCTGTGATGGGTGTGAACCCGGGTGCGGTGTAGTGGTCGGGCGAGATGGCGTAGTGTAGTTCGAGAATTTCGTAGGCTGCGAGATCGTACTCTGATACTGTGTACTCGTCTTCCAGGATCTGGGTTGTGGAGAAGCGAACGAGTGCGAACGAGAGGTGGGCAATGTCGGGTACGGATTTGTGGTCGGGCGGTACGGCCAACGTGCTCGAGGTGCTCCCTTTGTGCTGCACACGATTGGTTGACGGTTCGTAGGGTTTGAGGCGTCCTCCATGACCTGACTTCGATGAAGAAGGGACGACGCGTCCACCCTCCAAGACTACCTCGTTGACACTAGCCATCTCGTCCCCATCTCTCCCCTTTCCTTTCCCCATACCCATCCCATCGAAATCATCGTCATCCCCAATCTCGCTGTCATCGTCGTCGCTGATGGCGAAGCCGGGGGTGCGAAACAGAATAGGGCTGCTGGGACGGTGGCTGGGATCAGGAGCGAATGTGATGGGTGATGGAGGTCGTTGGGAGGTGCCTTGCTCTGTGAACGGTAGCGGCGGGTCAGGGGGCGTAAAGCTCAGTCCTAGACAACGAGCGAGCGCGTGGTGCTTCACAGCCTTGATCTTCCAGTACGGCGCGATGTGCGTTTGGATCCATTGGTCGTGTGGGACTAGAAATCGGATTTAGCATGGATTTTGGGCTTTGTAGTGAGATCTGGACGCACCGAATCGAATTACGACGGGTTTGTGTAGTGGATGTGGTTTTGAAGTGCCGAGTTTTGAAAGTAAGGATGTGGATGGTTTGGGTATAGATTCTGCCATCTAGTCAATCCAGCCTTTCCTGTTCAACGCGGGATAAGCCATCTTCTCCTCGTGGTACCCAACGTGAAAGATTCCGCACCGCAAGTTAACCGACGTGTCAAATTCGTCCTTTTCCTTCCTTCCAACACTTCCTCTCCCTGAGACCTTCCATCGCCGTCAGTCAGCATTCGCAAATCGTCAAGGGTTGGACAAGACGCACTGATAGAAATCGACAGCTAATCCTTTAGCTTACACCCGATATTTAGCCTTTATGGTTTAGTTTGGCGCGATCATGGATTAGTGAGGTTTCTTCTCCTGTTGTAGAGAATCAGAATATTGTTGAGCAGAGTAGCTGGATGCACACCTTTCAGAGTCAAGAAAAGGGGTATCTGGTCGTGGAGGAAGGGAAGAACCCAGAGCGGTATGCGCAAGCGCGACGATGCAATGTCACCGACATGAGCCTTTGCCGCGGGACTGCCGAGACAGGATTGATGCCATCACGTTCGGAGATTGCGGGGTAGAAACACCAACAATTTGGACGTTTCGACCCCTGAGTTTGAGTTTGGCACTGGCAGGCGCATTGGAAGCCTGAGTCGCAAGGCAGTGTCTGACGTTCGATTATGGCAGCTTGTAACACGGTACCTGCGTTGGGATTTAATGAAAGATAGAGCGGAAGATAACCTGTTTCCGCTTGGAGAAAACTACCCCACCTTGACGCCCACAAGCCCATCCCCGAGCCCCGATGCGTACATCCATGATCCCCGCATTCTCGACTTCGATTTCTCCAAGGACATACCTATATGCGCGTTTCTCATTGCTCCACAGCAGTTACGACATGTAGACTCGGATGATTCTGGTTCACTTTGGACCTCGTTCAGGATTGTCGGGCTCACCTTCACAAAGTAACCAAAGTGGCTGTTAGGTTATCGACTTCCTAGGTTGCTAGGTCGAATTGGAAGTGAAAAGTTGTCCTTTAGTGTCAATCCAAGGACCTGTAATATTCCTCAAAAAGAAATTTAAAACACTGTACCGGTCAGCCAGACGCGGCTGTGTCTCACAAGATAGAACGTCGCCCATACAGATGTCAGGAACGCCAGTCTTTCGCGGAGGCCATACAAGTGGCTGCTCAGGTGTTACAGTGAGACGAGATAGAAAGATGGGGAATGGAAACAAGGAGTACGCACTCGAAACTCGAGATTTTATGCATTTTTACAACGACGCACGGTCCAACCGATCGACGCCTGTCCCAAAATGAAAAGAAGCTTTCAAAATGAGTCAGGTACGACTATCAACTGACAAAGTTAGGCAGAGAAGTGTCATGAATTTGATGAGAAGTATCGGACTGACGCTTCTATGAGGCGCAAAAGAGGGAAGAGGGTCGCCCGATTGGGCAGGATGTGGCTGGAAGAAACGTGATAACTGACGCGAAGGTCAGGTATAACTCTCAGGCTAGTGCGCAAGAGCCAGTATAACCAGCGAATTGAGCTTGAATTCGCTAAATAATTAAATCAAGTACATTGCTCTACTGGTATACATCCTCCAACTTGAAATTGACGCCGCTGAAAGACAGAGTGAACTCCGCTCGATTCAAGCTAGCGGTAGAGACGTTCACTCCTTTCTTCAGAGGTGGAGGATGGATTCCTTTGGCTGGTGCGTTTGCCCACTGCTCGCCCCGCAATGGCTTTGTCCTTTGATATGCTAATGGCCTTTCGACAATAGGTACTCAATATCATTTCATTTGCGAAATTCCCATCTTGGCTTCATACGAAGTGCGAACGAGCCTCGGGGCTTGGGACGGCAAATGGGTAAGTCATATTCCTGTCGGGCCTCGCTCTCCATCTGATCCTATACTCTATTCCATCAGTTCTACCTCGTATCGAAATTTGTCGTGCCCGCTAACAAGTCGAAGAAGAAACGAAAGTCGAGACCTGCCGTCACGAGCAGAAACGCAAACCCTGACGCCCTAGCCTCCTCCGGACACCCTCCTGCGAAGACGATGTCTCTTCTGGTACCTCCACCCCCGCTTCTGGATCATCCGCCACTTCCAACCCTGTCGGTGCTAAAGGCCTCGCTGCACAACTTCTGAAGGCCAAGGCCGAGTCCGCAAATGGATCTGCTACCCCCTCCTCCAAACGAGTCGAGCACGACGACTTGGATATCGAAGAACCTGATGGTGCCCAGGTCCACACAATCGCCATCTCCCGATGCTGCTTCAAGGTCGGACGAATCACCGTGCCGCCCGCGTTGGTGTTTTCATTGTGCGGTATGAGCTCGGAAGGCGCGACTTTATCCTCCACATCGGTCGTCTCTTCCAAGGACTTCAAGCGCGGCAGCCTCCCGCCCCACTGGTCTGCGGTTCGGGCTACTTGCTCGCCTTCGAACGTGAGCGCAAAAGGCAAGGGGAAGGCCAAGGTTGGAGGGTATGGGGGTTGGAGGGTATGGGACGTTTGACCCGCGTGCGATCAATCGGTTCTTGAAGGGCGGGTGGAAGGAGGTGGAGGACCCCAAAGATAAGTGGTGGGAGCGGGCGTTTGATAGTGTCAAGGAGGAGAATGAGTCTCGCCTGAGGAAGTTGGAGGGCAGGGTGTGAGTGCGGTTGTTTAGTTTACATGATTAATCTTTAGACATTCATTCAGCGCATAGTGTACACCTTCGATGTAGGCACATTACTCTAATTTGCATATCTTCTCAACGACAGCCGCGATATGATCGAGGCGAGTCCAGGACGGGTCATGAGAAGTTCAACGTTCAGCCGTGGTTGGGCGCTTAATAAATGAATACAGCTGGCGGGGGACTAAACGAACACGGCATCTTTTTTTTATTGAAGCGCTAATGCTATCTGTAGCAGGATGAACGCGACACGTGCTTTTAGGGCGGTCAAAGGCCTTACCCATTGTCGACGGTACCACCTGAGCCCCCTGTTTCAATTGCTCGAGATGGTCCAGCTCCAGCCCTTCTGAAAGAGGATGCATCGTCTCCGCCTTTAGTAGGCTTAGTAGTCGATGGTCCCGTCTGCAGTGGTAGGATTTTTGCTCGGAGGAGCTGTTTCCCATACCCGCAAGTAGTGAACCTGGACCTGGACCTTTGCGTAACCACCATCGGTTTCTGTGCCACCATGTCCATTATAGTCTTTGTTGTCTGTGCAGGGGGTGCGTCGAATCTCAGGGTGTTTTGTCGTGACTCCGTGAACCGGACTTCTTTAGGACAATGGATTGCTGTAAAATCGGAGCCAATAAGATTCTCTTTGTCTATCTACCTGTCCCATACCACTCAACTTAATATTCAAGCTGGTAGAATAAGGTTGAAGGAGCGAGTAGCCCTGGGTATAACTTGGTTCGCGTTTGGAGACCAGAACCAAGGCAGAACGTGACCGCGACATTCCCGACGCGGCCGTCGAATACGCGTGTCGGAGCTTGAATCCAATTTAGGCGCGCCATTGACTCTGCCAAGAGGAGTTCCGCGAGCGCATATAACGCCTTTGCTGTTCCTCTCCTTATCTACAGATTTACGTGACACAATCAGTATATCTCTCTACAAAAATCCACTTACCAGGCGAGGTGGTCCATACCAACGGTGGCTGCTTTGTTTGACTTAGGTAATGCAGTTGCCATTTTGAACGGAGTTTGAATTCAACCTTGTAAAGCCACGGTCGCTTTGACGCATGTTGGTTAACGGTGAACCACTACGAACCATGGAATCTTCTCCTGAGTCGCCTCCGGCGTCTCCCTCGCAAACAACTGTCCCTGGGTCACCTACGACGTCTGGCACGGCGTCTCGCCCTCAAACACCCACCAACAAGAACATAGCTGTAATAAGCGCGGCGTGGGCAAGCCCACCCAGGGCCGGCATCCCCTGCCGAACTCCACCAAAACTCACCACCACTTCCAGCGACAGTCAGTGAACCCCGTTGGAACTAGCATCGCGTTCATCGGGGTCCAGTGATCGTCGATGGCATTAGCAATTTCCAGCGAACCCCGGTGAACGACAGCGGCCGAAGGGCCATGATCGATGGATTTTGTCCCGAGTCATCGCTTAATGATACCACCCCCAGTGGACTCCAGTGGCCCCCACCAATCACCACGGGTGGTTCACTTCGACCTTTTAATAGACCATCCCAGCAGCGTAAATACCAGTTTATTTGTAATGGCAATAATGAAGGCACAAGTTATATGGGTTCCGAATGCCACCTTTGAGTAGGCACAGCCCCGGGCGCCTATTAGTTGTGCACGCCCCTTCTCCTGAACAGCCGATTTTCAATTCACATAACTGGGTTGTATCTAAGGATCTCCATTATAATTAGTTGATCTTCAAGTTACAAGCAAAGTTTGTGGCTGTAACTCGAGAAAATGGTGGTACAGGAGGAGGCATGTTGGTGCCCGGACCATGAGACTAAGGTAGGTTGCATGAGCCATATCTTCTGGATGGTGTCGTTCCAACTCGTTATTTCAATATGATCTCAAATGCCATATTACAAAGCTCCAACGTATCGATCTTCATCAAAAGTCTGCGGTTAGTTAAATAGAAATTAGAGAGAAACAAATGAATTTCTACCCCACGGGGTATGCAAGAGCCCATATCTTCTGAACAGCACTATTCCAATCAACGATATAGAGGTAGACTTAATTGGTATCCTGCAAAGCTTTAAAGATTAAGATATTGACAAACGTTCGTGGCTAGAACTAGAGAAAACATGTAATTTAGCCAAAGTCCCCTTCCGGCGGGGTTCAGTGAGCTTAACCCCACGTGTTCCGGTGGAGGTCAGCGGGCTCCAGCGACCACCGAGGAGTACGCTGGAGGTCAGTGGGGGCCGGCGGGCGCTGGTCCCTCGAGGTGAGAGGCGCTCAGCGACAGCCAGCGCGTTCCCACACCGGTCCAACGGAGGTCGCTGGCAAATAGTGACAAACACCGAACCCCAGCGTCCACCGATGTTCACCGGAGGACACCAGGGAACTTGCTTCCCGCGCGCATATAACATAGAAGCGCCTGCACCATCTGCGCAAGGGTAAGTGGCTCCATCTGGCTTTGAGCTCAGGCTGACATTTGCGACAGGACCTCCCCTCGAACTGTTCGTACCCACGGGGAAGAGAAAAAGTTAGTAGAGCTTCGTGACGAGATTGCACAGGAAATGGATGGCGAGTTTGTCGAGGTCACGTTCGATGAATTCAGCCATCGCTATCTTCCTTTCGAGCCTCAGGAAAATGAAGTAGACGCCACGGTCACTAGTTTGCTTTCGAATGAATCTCCCAATATCACTGCTACTCCTGCCACTGCCACACCTGTCACTGCCACACCCGTCCCTGGAAGTACCGCCCAAAAACCCCTTCGCCGTTCGAGCCGCCAACCTGGCAATCCAGCGATTGAGCCTGAGGAACCGATGAGCATTTTGGAGGAGGTTCCTGATGGGCTCCGCTTTGGTCATTTTCCTCAAACGCCCCTCGCTTCAGGTCTCCAGGAGGACAAAGCATTCGCTCATATCGCAGAAATAGCGACCGCCATTGCAGAGGGACCAGCACCGGCCGGGAGAGAACGTAACTCTTTCGCCTATGTGGATTGCCCTCGAAGGAAGATCGAAGGGCGCCACCCTGGGTCGAACAACCTTATCGATAGCGCGATGGCGTCAGGAGCTGCGACGTCGGGGGCTCTCGACACTTCGAGGATTGCTCTCGTGTGCGAATACAAGCTACACTGCGACGATAAGATCAAGGTGAGTATAGAGATGTTTTTCAACGCACCGATCTCAAGCCATCTTTCACAGAATGCGAAGCAGGCAGTCTCCGCCAACGTTCAAATCATGAACGACGATGTACGACGCACTCATTGCTACGGGGTACGCGAGCTTCCTGATTATGACAAAATTCCACCGCATTCATGCTGACCCTTTGGCAGATGACCATCGAAAACGACCAGGTCAGGCTGTGGTTCCATTGTCGATCCCATTCGGCTGTCTCCAAGCCGTTCAGTTTTGTCAAGGTATGGACTGCGACTTACACTACCTGCAAACGAACACAACGCTGATATTGAATTACAGGAGCCCCGGAAATTCATCAAAGTTCTCCTATCGTTCCTCTTCGCAACGGAGGAAGAACTAGGCTACGACCCGAAGGTCACTCGCGTGCGCGATGGTTACATTTTCGAGCTGAACGGCACGGACGGTACTCGCTTCTTCCGCACACAAGGTGCTCCTCTCTCCGAGTACCGCTCCAGCAACATCACAGGTCGGATGACTCGAGTCTGGAAGGTGGTTGAGGTCAGATCGAATTCCGCGGCCGCTGCGAAGCTCAGGGAGAAGCCCTTCGTTTTGAAAGACGTATGGATCGAGGAGGGGGCGTCAACGGAACGCGAGGTTCAGGAGGAAATGTTCAAGGACATCAGGGGGTATTGGACAGCCGTCGATGTAGAAACAGAACCTCGTCTCCGGAGCGTGCAGGTCGAAGCGGCAAAGCTGAAGGAAGAAGTTTTGAACGAGACCTTCCAGAAATGGTTCCTTCCCATTCGGTGGGATTGTGTTGGCGGGACGACGAGGCCCGCGCCGGACAAGGCTCAGCGGCGCAGAGGCCTGTTGCTCAAGAAGGAGGACATCCCGCCACCTGTGGCCCATTCTGGCACTACCCGCCCACCAGGGCAGACCCATTTGCGCGATCTTCCCCGACAGTTCGTCGCAAAGAAGCAATATCGTACCATCGTCGAGGAGGTGTGCACTCCTGTCGGAGACCTCAAGCGATCGGACCAAGTCTTCCAAGTTCTTTATGGAATCATTCATGGTAAGTGCGCTTTTTATTTTGCATCGACTTTCGCTAACCTTTTAATATGGATAGCGCTTTTGTTGTTGTTCGGCGGCCGCTGGGTTCATCGGGATATAAGTTCTGGCAATGTACTTGGGCTCCTTGAAACTTCCCCCGATGGGGAGCTTCGGTACCAGGCCAAACTGGGTGATTTGGAGTATGCGAGGAGATACCCTCCTGCTGATGACTATGTTGCCGGAATTGACCCGAAGACGGTGCGTCGTTTTTCTCTCTTGCGCGATAGACTTGTCATGACCGTTACCTACTTGAAGGGAACACCATTCTTCATGCCATGCGAAATCCTGCTCGGCGCCTTTTTTGGCGTCCCTTTGGATTCGGAACCATCCGAGCCCACCAGGGACGCCCCATTAACTTTTAAACTCGGACAGCGCAATACACCCGTGGCCCCGATGGGTCTGGCACCCCGAATATCAGTCATCCACCACTTCCTTCACGACTTGGAGTCCATCTGGTGGATCGCAATATGGACGCTACTTACCCGCATTCCCCACCCTCTATCCAACCCCTTAAGCCGTGCCATATTCGTCAACAACATCAGGGCATATAACGACTCCGACAGGATCCAATTTTTCATGAAGGTGGTGGGGAATATCCATCCTAACGTTCAAGACGAACTCCAGGACGTTGCCCACGCGCTGGAGGCTGTAGGACGAGGCTTGTTTGGCTATCTCTCCAAATATGGTCGTGCTTTGCACCGTGGAGAGGATAGGGGCTCCGTCGTTGTCGATACTATCCACAGCAATGGCTTTGCAACCATGTTCAACATCTTCAGTCAGCTTCCGGGTCCAAATGTGCCTGCATTTGACCTGACTACCCGGTCAGACAGAACGGCTCCCTCCGCAGACAACGCGACTCCGCGGACAGACGACATTGGGGCTATCGCTCAGCCGGAGCGCAAGAGAAAGCATCGACACACCGATAACGACGCCTATCTACCTGAATCATCCAATGCCGGGTCCCAATCTCGGGGGAAACGATCGAAGACTAGCGGTCAAAACCCGGGCAAGCAATCCAGCGGTCGAAACTCGGGCAAGCGATCCAGTGGTCAAACCTCGGGCAAACGATCCAGCGGGTCGAGGTCGAAGTCGTCGAAGTCGAGATCCTAGTCGAAAGCAGATAGATACCATACCGACACCGATATGTAGTCGAGTATTGCGTTGTGAATGTTGTCCCCTGGCTGGCGCTTGAGTTTTTGTTTATTTATTCGTCGTTTAATGCTCACGTTGTGTATCCTGTACATACTTGGTACATACTGCATGAATACGAAAGCTCGGATTATCATGAAATGTGTGAAGGGGTCGCAAGAAGTGTGAAACGCAGCGGACGCTGGACGGAGGTTGAGAAAGGACCAGATGGCTTCGAGACGAACCATCGTGCTTGGACTCCTCTCGATCGCCTCGTACATTAATTAGTGGGCTAAACTATGGTAAGATCAGGTATTGTTGTCGATCTCGAATCGTGAATGCGACTCTGCGAATCAGACTTCCTTCCGGACTGACGTACTGTATCACGTCAGGGTATCGTCGCATATAAGATCTCTTTGGTCTACTTGCCTGAGCTATTCTATCTCACACCTGACATTCAAGCTGGTAGAAGAGAAGTCGAAGGAAGAAATAGTCCTGGCTATAGCTATTAGCTGAGTTCGCGTTTGGAGGACCAATATCCAGGCCAAAACCAAGACTCTGACAGAACGTGACACGGCGGGCAAACAGCTGGCGACACTCGTTCCGGTGCCTATATGCCCAATCTTCCTTCTGACAGTCTTTGCTGCAGTACACTACCCAACGGAAACCGGAGCACGTTTTAAACTCGAGCTCGGTCATGCGGGGACATGTCGATGTTTGTAGATGCTTTCAGACTGGGAGTTAGAAATAGACGAGCACCAGCACCAAGTCGCGAACTTACAAAGGCGTTATCACAAATTGGAATAGTGAAAATGGGACCATCGTTCGGCATACGGACTTCATTCTTTCCATCGACAGTAACATAAACCCAATCTCTAGCTGAACGGGACTCTCGACTTCACCCCCAAGTGGTGCTATGGCAGCATTTACTGGCACCCGGGATTCGGGAAAAGGACAGCGATCACTTTGGCATTGAACACAAACCTTGTGATCTGTCTGGGCATCTCCCGCGCTGCAGCCAGCTTTTCTTGGTCGTGGACAGCATCGAAGGCGACAAGAATCCGAAGAATGGTTGGTAGTAAGCCTTCTTTGAATATATCTCGAAGGGCGACCCATTGATTAGATTCCCCCACTACAGCAGCTGAGATGACGCCGATACATAGTTCGAGTAGTTTGGGGCAGGTTGAATCTCCAATTGTCATAACAATGGCCCTGGTCCACACTTTTAGTACTCCAGCGTTGACGAGCGCCCTCCAGATACTGCGGTGACTGCAGATGGATGCGGACAGGTATCGCATACAGTGCCAGACCAGTTCTGTCTCAGGCGGAGGGCGCACATTGGATGTCGATTTTGCGCTGTTTCTAACCAGCTGATCGAATCGTCCGACTAAGGCTTTAACGAACGCGTCCAACCGAGCGCGCGACGCAAGAATCTGGTTGAAGAGCTCGTCGCGTCTGGATCCGTGTTCCTTGTTGAGCAGGTTCTGCATCAGATGCGCAGCATCGTCACAATAGGATTCCACCCCAGACATCGTCTCCACCCCGGACTTAGCTACCGGCGTTGCCCACAGCCGAAGCGCGAGTCGAATCGCCTTGGGAGACGCGAACACCGCATCCTCGAGGCTGGCGGACCTCGCGCACATCGCGTGTAGGACCTTTGACACGAGGACGCCGGTGACCACTAGTAGTAGGGGCTCCTTGACCAAAGCTGAAGCCAGGAAATCAGTTTCACCTCGTCACACACCATGTCAGAATAACGTACCATTCTTTACAATCTTTTTCGGATCGTCGAACAAGCTCATGAGTTCCCCTTCCCTAGAGTCCATCCTGTCGACTTCGAACGGATGACTGGGTAACGGTTCATCGGGGTTATCCGCTGGCGGTCTCAAGGCCCATTCCGCAAACGCAGCCAGTGAGTCGATTATCTCTTCGAATTTGGAGAGGATGATCGAGACAGTAGATTCCAGGATTCCTGGTGTTCGAGTGCAGTGGCTGACGCATGCATGGAAGACGTCAATAGCGTACCCAGTCAAGGGGAATCGTTCAACGAATTCTTGGGTTGTAGGCTGGACCAGGGAAAGCGGGAGGGGCGTATCTAGGTGTACGAGGGAAGCTTCCAACGCGGAGAGGACGTAGTTCTTGGCTGTTATTGACCTGTGAAGCTGCTTGACATGGTGGACGAGAAACAGACGTGTAATACACCCAACTTACCTTGGGATCCAATCGAACCATCTCGATTTCGAGTTGGCGATTTTGCTCGAGTGATGAAGTTAGAAGATGATTGACTTGGGAAACTGAATTATTAATGCTGATTCCATAGTACAAAGAATTATACAACAAAACGAGTATAGCAAAGAGTGTATAGAAGACGAAAGAGCCGGCGTTCCAAGTGAGTGAGTGAGAGGATGTAGTTGGTACAGGAAAGATTGAGGATAGTCAGATCTAGATTGAGTCTAGGATCGGTGCGACGTCGACGTGAAAGAGTCGATGAGAGGTGGGAGTGGATTGAAGCTCGCGACCAAGAAAACTCAGATTTACTTGGTGAATCGGTTGAACCAGTCGAGGATGGAGTTGGCGGAAGTCTCCTTGGCCCAGGCTAAAGAAAAGAGTCGTAAGTTAATCGTTTTTCGAGTGAAATTCGATGGAGATGACGCACCAGCACCAGGGTCAGTGAGATCAGCACGAGTAGCAAATCCGTGCTCGGTACCACCAAAGATTTGGGCAAAGTGAACCTTCTTCTCAGCAGCGAGGATGTCCATAGCACGATTGCGAGCCTCGGTGGGGAAAGTCATGTCGATTTCGGCGAGCGAGAGCATGAAGGGCTCTGTGAAGAATCATTAGTTGGATTCACGGGTGCTAAGACGAGACGTACTCTGGACGTTGTAGAAGTGAGACTCGGTCAAGAAAGCGGGTTGGGCGAGGGCACCGGCCAAGACGCTGTTGGTAGCAGCGGCTTCGATGGAGTATGGAGCGCCGAAGCAGTATCCGACAGAGACAAACTTGGTGTTGCGAGCTGGATGAAGTGTCGGTCTGAGTTCGGCATTTACCCTAGAACGAAAAGGAGGGAGACGTACGGAACATGGACCTGACAGCTGCGTTCCATCGAGGAACGTAGGGGTCAGCACGAACCTTTTGAGCAGTCACCCAGTTTTCGATCTCGACGGGGTCGGTGAGGTTGAAGTTTTGAGCTGGTTGTCCGAAGAAGTAGTCGAGACCAATGACGTGGTAACCTACACAGAATGAAACATCAAAAATGCGAAACGAGATGAAACGAGGAAAAAACGTACCCTTGGAAGCATACCAGTCCATCAACATGAAGTTGTTGGGGGAGAAAACGCTGTAGACGTCGGAGTAGAAGAGGATAACCTTGTCGGGGGTACCCCAGGGCTTGAACCAGTTGAAGGGTGGCTTGGAGTAGTACGTCGGAATACCAGCGATCGTAACATTCCATCCCTTCGCGATACCTCGGTATTGGGCACCTTTGACACACTGTCGGCTGACAGAGGCGAGAAGAACAGGATCTTCGACGAGCGACTCGACACTGTGCGAGTGGGCCTCGATTTCACCGTCCTCTCCGATGGCGTCGGCAGTAAGAGGCTGGGGTTGAGCAGCTTCGAGCTCGGCAGCGGCCTCCTCTAGCGATGGCTCTGGGATAACTTCGGGAGTATCGGTCGAGAGAGCTTCGGTGGTGGGCTCAGGGAGAGGCTCGGAGGTTGGGATAGGCTCGACTGCGAGGATCTCGGCGGGAACGACGGAGGGGAAGGGGAGCTCAGCGGGGGCGGATTCGACGGCACCTTCGTCTTGACGAGCGACATGAGGGGCGGTGGGGACGGCGAAAGTCGAGAGAGGGAAAGCCAGGAAGGCTACAAGGAGTGTCGAAATCCGGATTCGGGCCATTTGTGCCAAAGGTTAAAGGAGGTCTCGGTTAAGAGAGTGGAAGGGATAACTTAGAAAATAGATAGAGAATGGGAGGAAAAGGAGAAAGGAAGGAAGGACCTGGAGAACCTTTGCGACCTCACTTCGTGGTCTTTTAAAGGAAGGGAAAAAATGTCACGATTACCGGATGTGATAAGAGATGAGAACCCGACGGAACCAAAGGTCGGTAAGGTATGCATCAAATCAGGAAGCGCCCACAATCGTTCCTGGATGCTGAGATGAGACTTGGCTGCAGTAAATCCTTGGTTGCAGTCGCTTACCTCCATCCATACCAACACTCCGACGTTCCCTGACGTTCCCCAGTGATTAGGGTGATGAACATGCAGCAAGTTTGATCACGGAGAACACCATTACGGCATATTTTGTGAGGAAGGCGTTCCAGAAGAACATTGAGGGTGCCGTGGCCGTCGTACCACTCGCCGAATCAACCGATGGTCGTGGCAATCGAAGTTGAAGAGGAATCGATTTCCTTTTCCGTTTGTATTGGAAAGTACTCAAGTCTCGCCTTGCCTTGGTACGTTGAAATAGGATAAAGTCGTTTGTTGAAAACCAAGTGAAACCCTGAATCCATCGTCGTTCGTTCCTGAACAGACAGATCGAAGTGGAGCACTTCGGAGGCGGCGAGGGAGAGTCCCATTCAAGGCTGGATGTGCCAAAACGTGGCTCGCTTAAGACACAGAGAGCCTATCACCTCCGCCACGAGAGGGAGACAGGCTAAGCGACTCGACGTCGACAACAGCCATCACATCGCTGTGGCGGTAGGACCTGCGCAGCAACCCGAATAGGTGGCGAAGGGATTCTCAATAAGTCAACTTTGTACACAGTAGGCGATAAACGTGCTTACTCTTCCCATCCTTGTGTGTATTGAATTCGAGCCGACACCCGAAGGCTGACTTCACGACTGGCTACTGAGCGGGTCCGGGACTTCCAAGCTTCTGATGAAGGCCTGGGCCTCTCAACGAGAAGTCGTTGCTGCGACCTTCCGAATTTCTCGGTTTGTGGACTGGCCCATGACAGGCACGCTGTGTATGGAGACGATACGAGTCCATGAAGATGAGCGATAGCTTTGGCCTCAAGTCGAACGTCGGGTGCGAAAACCTTCGGCTACCGCTGATCCATGGTGCTGCAGGGCGTCTGGGAAAGTTGGGCTTGACGGTTTCAATCAATCATTCAAGAGAGTTCTGAGGAACTCACCATCTGATGATCTGAACGCTCTGCCCAAGTAGGAAGCGCAAAGAGCGAGTCGGGTTGGACATACATACGCACCCGCGTGTACGCGGGAGCAAAAGAATTCATCGTGTGTGTATGAGCGTCTGAGCTCACACTCCGCAATCGAAGGTTGGTGCAGGTTCTCGCTTTTCCTGGCCTGAGATGTCTCATTGGAACATGAAGGGCTACAAGGTTTATCGATAAATTAATCAGCGCGGAACGTTCAATTCAGGTCGACCCCTACGTACCTCAAAAACGATGCGCTCTAACCTCACACGGCATCTATTCCGCGCTTGTTTCGTTGTTTCCCCAATTGGATTAAGTACGCCCAAGTGGGTTGGCCCTGAGCGGCCCTTCGAAGAGAAACACATGGTCTCTCTGTCTTGTCGTCCCTGTTCCATGGTATGTATGATGGAGTTGAATGCAGAAAGACAGAGAAAGACTGTGGTGTCTCGTTTGTGTGTCGTTTGAAAACCGGTAGAGGCCTCCCCGCACGGCTGCACCTGTACGTTGGCTGGCAGGGTCAACGTTGTCCTTCGAAACCAGGTTCCGTGGAACGGATCACACCGGCAGACGTTCGGAGTTGGTGGGATTTCGGCTTTGCGGCCAGTACCAAGTTCTTCGAAGCACTGCGCTCGTGTCTGCCCTCATCGATAGAACTTGAAGCAAAGAATTTACTGCTCTGGAACATTGTTCCCCTGGTCTTTGGTTACTTCCTCAGGAAGGATGAGAGGTGAAAACGGGGTATAATAATTTTGTAATACAGGGATATTAACAAGGACGAGATCAGCATTTCCTCCACACAATGTTGCTCTCCTGTTTGAGTATTCTACGGTGAGCACGATAATCTATCAGTAGGAGCCTATGCACTTACCCAAACACCGTTGACTGAGATCGATCCTGAGGACTGCCCAGTGGTATCGACTCGCACGTCGGTGTTGATGTTGACGACGGTGGATGATCCACAAGGACTCCACCTTGCTGGGGAGAGGTTGTTCACAAGTGTGGATTCGCCTGCAGGGAGGAAGGAATTAGTACTTGTACGCTACTTTCCATGAGTGTAATAAACCCACCTCGGCTGACTGGTCCATTGACCACGCTCGTGCCTGAGCATTCTTGGAGTTCACCTTGGAAGTAGGCAGTACTGGAGCTGACTAGTCTGGTTCCAGATGAAGCAGAATACGCCGCTCGCTACACGATGGCAAAACAGATTTGGATTCAAGAGACCTCAGAATGAAAAGCGGTAGAATACGCACCACGACCGCGTTATCGACGGAGAATGAGTAGCCGGCTGGTACCCTAGAGTGGTGATATGTTGTTGGCGAAAAAGGCAAACCTTGAATGGAAGGTCAACCTACTTGACTCCGAGGGTGACTTGACAATTTCGGCGATTCTCCGAGATGGCTACCCCGGGTCCACCTTTGGCTGAGAAGTCGTTGACGCGGACACGGATCTTGTTGGCAGCATCTGTAGTTGGAGCAGGGTGAATAAACGAGACCACCTTCGAAGCTGGATGAATCGGGCTTACTGTCGACATCGACGGCGGCGGTGCCTGGCTCGCAGCCAGTACCAATAACGCCAACGCTGGACCTGTAGACGTGCATAAGGTGTGAGAAATCTCAGAAGATCGACAAAAGTGGTAGGAGAACGCCGTACACAGAGAGGGACTGCGCAGCGACGCGTAGGAGGAGGAGAGAGAGGGCAAGGTAGAGTCGGAAGAATGCAGACATATCGATAGGAGTGAACTGAAGTTGTTTAGGAGGGATCCTGGTTGGACGACATCGTTAAATCTGGGCATTTTATAGCTTTTCGGTCGATCCAGACTGCATAATACATTTTAAGCACCTCGTGAATCGAGGAGTAGGATATGGACAAAGTGGTCCAAAGGCGCGGCTAGGTACAAATGTCGGATAAACGAAGGGGGTGGCTCCTTGCTCTTGGAGAGCTCCAGTGTAGTAACGAACATATTTTACCCAGACTGAGCGCTTCTCCATTCCCTAATATCGGTACCTGCATACCATATTCTCCACAGAATGATTAGAAAGAAGCGCATTTTGTATGGTATTGTATGCTAAGAAGTCGAGTCTATTCTCACTCGGTCTTCGTGTAGTTGACCATGATACTCCGAGAATTCGAAACACTCTCGTCATAGCAACTTTGGAATCGTTGGTGCCGTCGGCCGACTTCGATACGCATCTCAAGCATGGGAGTGTGCCTCGTACAAAATAAGGCTTTTGATTAACGTCGAAGTACTTTAATGTGACAATGTGAAAGGTCAGCCTTAATTTCTTAATCTCGTAGCGGAAGGACGCGAGAATAAAGACGTGGGGGAAATGGGAAAAGGGGTATAACGTGTAATTAGGTACAGCGTAGAAGGATTAACAAGCCTACGTTCGAACGCGAAGTTACGCCTCCACCTCAGGCTCGTCTGGACGCTCGGGGACAGGTTGCTCAGGTTCTTCTGGGCGCTCGGGTGCAGGCTCTTCAGGTTCTTCGGGTCGCTCGGGAGCTGGTTGTTCAGGCTCCTCAGGGCGTTCAGGGGTGGGTTCTTCAGGTTGCTCGGGCTCAGGATCTTCAGGCTCGGGAGTAGGATCTTCAGGCTCGGGAGTAGGATTCTCAGGCTCGGGAGTGGGTTCTTCAGGTTCTTCCGGGGTGGGATCCTCAGGAGTAGGCTCTTCGGGGGTAGGCTCCTCCGGAGTAGGCTCTTCTGGAGTAGGATCCTCGGGATCTTCAGGCTCAGGCTCTTCAGGCTGCTCAGGTACGGGCGGTGGGATCTCGCCACACTGACGCCAGACGAACGTAGCCTCCTATAATCTGAGGTTAGCGAAGAAAGGGTGGCGGGTAGGTCGAAACTCACGTAAAGATCGTCAAGAACGATGGAGCCTGTGCCGGCCCTGTTATCGGTATTGACCACGCGGAGGTCGTTGGACAGGTTGACAATCGTAGGCTCTCCGCAGGGGCTCCATACAAGAGGAGAGATTATGTTGGTGAGGATAGCCTCGCCTGAAAAGTGTCGGAGCGCGTTAGATATGGTGATTGATGGAAGAGAAAGTCGAAGAACATACCTCTGGTAGGACCAACGATCGTGGTACCACCTTGTCCTTGTTCTACCTGACTTGGACTGCGAACACGTCAGAATCGTTCTTCGAAGGAAGATTAAGAAGAGAGCATTGATACTCACAGTAGTACGCGTTGTTGGCGGACAATCGCACGTCGGCATCGGCAGAGATTCGTGCTTTCTGCAGTCGATAAAGTGAGGTGGTGTCAAGGGAGTTATAGGCAAGAAACTCACGACGAGCGTCTTCTCAGCGGCGATAGCGTATCCTTGTGGAACGCTAGAGTTCGATGAGCTTTGCTATTCCATATCTGAGGAGAAGAGGACCACTCGCTCGACACCGAGAGTGATACGACAGTTTCGTCGACCGTAGGAAATAGGAACGCCAGGGCCGGCTTCAGCCTTGTATCCTTGGATGCGGACTCTGACCTTCCCGTCAACCCCTTTGGAAAACGTCAGCGTCGATGCCTGTGTGCCCTCCAAGTCCTTAGCACTCACTATCGACGTCGACGGACGAAGTACCAGGTGGGCATCCTGTTCCAATCACACCAACACTCGTACTGACGCGTTCAAAGAGTCCAGTCAGACCTTATTGAGTACGGTGTAACTTATCGATAGTACTTACACGTTGAGGGGGATGGCTGCGACGCGTAGCGCGACGAGTGAGAGAGTGAGGTAGACTTTGAGGAGGGTAGACGTCATTGAGGACTGTGGAGCGGGAAGACTGGGCGTTTGGTTCGGCAGAGAAGCGCAGAGTCTATTTCTCAATTTATTGCCGAATTTATTCGCGCCCTGGTGGCCTGGAATGATTCGCTCTGCTGGTTCCTCCTCACCTAACGGAGAGGAACGAGGGAAAATAGCTCGAAATTCCCCACACCAGAGTCGCGAACCGTGTAGAAAGTGCGGCGTCTCGGAGAAATAGACAAGGGCGCTTGGGAAAGAAATAAGGCTCCCGGGGTGTTTGAAAGCCACGAGGGCTTCTGTTCCGCTCAAAATCCAGCTTAAATCCCTTCAAAAGCATGGACGGACGACGATCCTCTGCCTCAGGTGACGCAGCGCGTAACTTTGAGTGAAACCGATTTCCTGTTAAGGCGATAAAAAACGACGCTTTCCAACGCGAATGCATTGTCTATGCCATTTGTCCCTGGTTCGAAGCGCCGTTGGGAAAGTCTAAATAGTGCGGCCATTCTCAGGCCTTCTCTCAGGCCAGATATCGAGCTTCTTTGGCTTATTCAGGGACCGTCCTTAAAGATCACATCATGAAAACATCGAGCCATACAACCCTACGGAAAGTAACAGACTACTGAAGAGATTCCTATGTTTGCTAGCACTTGCGCCAGACGAACGTTCCCTCCTGAAAAGAGGTCAGTTTCTACTGGAGTTCACAAAGCGATTCCAAACGCACCCAGACATCGTCAACCGAGATAGAGCCTGAACGTTGTCGATTCCCCGCATTATTGACCCGCAGATCCGTTCCTAGATTGAGGATCGCATCCTTTCCACACGGACTCCAAACGCGAGGCGAGACCTCGTTGGTAAGCGTAGATTCGCCTTCAGTAGCTGATTAGTTCGGTTCACAATAGGATGTCATTAAAATAACATACCCTTAGTTGGCCCTGAGACCGTCGTAGATCCTTTGCCCTGCTCCAGTTCACCTTGGACTGAGTATATCTGGTCAGCGCTCGCTTCGTGAACGCCCATAAGTACAGTACGCACAGTAGGCGAGGCTGGAGCTCGTCAAAGTGACGCCAGACTGAGCTGAATAGGAGGCTTTCTATGAACGAGCCAAATGAGCTTCGGTATCGAATGTCGATGGATCTACCTACCGCGACCGTTTTCTCAGCAGCAAAGGAGTAGCCTTCAGGGACGCTGAAGGTGTGTGGTCAACTTCCCCGCCCGACTGTCAACTCCAAATGCAGTTCGACGTACTCAACAGCTAGAGTCACCCTGCAGTTTCGTCGACTGGACGAGATCCGCAGCCCAGGGCCAGCTTCAGCCTTGAATCTCTGGACGCGGACCTTGATCTTCTGGTTCTTATCTATCCACGAAGTCAATATAGGTTCGAGAGGTGCTGATAAAGGTGCGACTTACTGTCGACGTCAACGACGGCCGTTCCTGGAGGACACCCAGAGCCGTTTGCCCTCGCGCTCTTTCTGGTTCATTATCGAATATTAATTGCTCTGAACTACAAGACACTGAAGCTCAACGTACACAGTGAGTGTTTGGGCCGCAACATGAAGAAACAGCAGCGAAAACGCAAGGTACAGCTTGAGGAACGACGTCATTCTCGGTATCAAACAGAGCTGTAGCTCGTGAGGAGGTTTGAAGTTGCCAAGAAGCGATGGTCGAAGTTCTTCGTCCTTCCTGCTGTTATATTCGAAACTGATCGGTCTGGATGATTCGGTGTGTTGGTCTCTCCTGACCTGACTGAGGGTAGTGAAGGGAAAAGAAGTGGAGGAATACACCGACTTGCTCGTGAACGGTGTAGACAGTGCGGCGTGGCGGAAAAATGTAGGGAATATATCAGCCCACGGGATTTCCTGCTCCGCTCAAAGTCCAACTCAAATCCATTCTAATTCCTCGTTCCTATTATCGTCATTTGTGTTTTTGAGCTTCCCATTAACTAAGGGGAACTCGGAGCAGGGATATCGAAGCAATTGAGGCGGTGGATACACGCCTCCGTGCGAAGTTCCGTAAATCGTCGCAGATTGAGTAGGTCATTGGTAGGTCATGTGTGTAGGAACGACTGGAACATGCTGCATGAAGTAACTCCGCGTTACCATAGCTTGAGGTCGCCGTACATTCATCGCGTCGAGCTGTGACGATAAGGGGGAGTTGGTCCTCAGCCTGGCGTTGTATGGGGAATCGCCTGGCCTCTGATGACCCAGAGACTGGACGCCGTCACCATCGTCCATCTAGCTGTATTGGATAGAGAGCCGCGTCAGACACCCATCAAGCGCGAAGATCTGAAGGCTATGACTGAGTCTCGAGTTCCAGTCAATATTTCGCTTTACCCGTCACTACATTTTCGATGAAAATTCGTTTGCACATACGAACGCAATAGCTAAGATATCTTCAAGCTTTCTCCGTACCACAACCGCCTTTTGCGATCGTGGACTACCCTGGTCGCCTGGGAATTCATAGACATCGGCTCCGAATGTGACGCATTATCTAAGGGCATAGGCACTCAATGTGAAGGTACAGACAAACAAGAACATACGACTTGGAGGCGCCAAGTCGCGGACTTCCACCGAAGTGGCGGTGCAACAGCATCAGTCACACAGAGACTGGCTGCGTTTTTCTTCTCTCCTTGAGCCACGATGCACTACTAGTAGTAGCCGCCAAAAGCTTGCGATAACTCTCGACAGAGACTGACACGCCTTAGCCCTATAATCTCCCTCCCCTCGTGCGTTTACAACAGGGCCTGCCTCGAGAGTCTTTGGGTCGAACCTCGGCACCGCTACCTAAAATCCGATTCTCATCGTCGCGCAATGGTTGGCCTGTGGACATGGAACCTTTGTCCGTCTGCGATATACCTATAATCTCGGATGAAACTCGAGCACTCTTATTGGACGATCAGCGCAGACAGGCATTGGTTCGGTACATCGACTTCTCTCATTGGTTCTTCGTCGCGGGTTCTCGGACATTTCGAGGCTTCTTTCTCCAAGACTTGGTCGCACCCTGATCTCGGAAACTGGAGGAGGTATGTACTTGTTCTCTCAGAATCCAGCTGTCTTGTTGCGTTCGCGTCTCTAACGTCGCTTGACCATCTCCCAGTGTTGTCCACGATTTGAACTCGTGAGCGAGTCGAGCTACGAAGATAATCGACGTCGCGTAGTAGGTCTCCGTTGTGCACGAATCCCTCCGTCTAACCGCCTCTGCCTAGCCGCTTAAAGTCTCTTTCCGACTCCCCAATCTTATTTCCGTTCTTGCGAGGAAGAAGGCGGATCCACCGTCAACTGACCGCATCACCGAAAGTCGTGGAATCGAATTATTGAAACTAGGCAGGCATTTGAATTGAATTTGAAGTGTGTTTCTTTCGTATTCAGCTTCTTGAAAAACGCGTTGACGATTAACACAGCCATTTGAATGGATGGGAGAAAGGAACGCGCCAGATATTGTTTTTTCGAGCCGATTTTATCCCGACTTCTTTGACCGAGGAGATTTAAACCGTTCGCCCTTCGTGTCGCCCCACGTTCAAGCAAGATGATCTCTCTTCTTACCTTCTTAGGTGTCGTCTTTTTGAAAGGTTCGTCGAACATTTTATCGCCCTTTGGCCGGGGAACTGACCGAGTTTTGCTGCTGTTCGTTAGCTTTATCTGTTGCTGGACAAGGTTCAGCTTCCAGATGGTGCGACAGCTGGACTGGCGTTTGCTTCCAGCGTCTCTACGATGCAGGAAGTGATTCTGCCTGGGGATATGTTTTCCCGCCATCTCCTCGAAGCGAGTTCATTGGTATCATGACCGCTCCCATCAGGACTGGATGGATGGCGCCAGGAAT